ATTTTATTGCATATATTAACCATACATTACAACCAATGAAGATGAGCTACTCCACAATAGAAAAGTGAAAAGTTGAGTGTAATAATGATATGCCAAAACCAAAGGAGTCGTCAATAGATTTTTGAGATTCGTAAACACATGTTCATAATTGTAGACTAAATGAAAGATGATATTAACAACTTCAACAATGCTCGCAATTGTGTACTGTGATTAGAAAGATGATTAATAAAACAATCGAGATATTGCACCTTGCTCAAAAAGCATTGCACATCATTCACACACTTCAGAGTAAGGAAATTATAGATTTGTCATGATCAACTTGCAAACTTTCATGAAAAATATATTACCCAAGATAAGTTATGTCTTTGGACCTAAACACACACTTCAACCACTTCAAATTTAAATCAACTTCCCATAACTGATCCAACACCTTACGAACATTATAAACGTGTTCCTTCTACATCTCTTTCAAGTGGATTAAGACATTATCGATGAAGTCAACAGTCACCTCTAATATATCGCAAAGAACCTTATTCATCATCTGCTAGAAAGTTATTAAAGCATTGTTTAAATCAAATGGCATCACTAAGAATTCATACAGACTAAATAGTGTATAAAATGTAGTCTTAAAAATATCTTCTTCAGCCATTAGTATTTGCTAGTACCTAAAAACAAGATTTAACTTGGTAAACCAATGACTTCTCCCCAAACAATCCAAGAGATCAGTAGTGTGGGGAAGACAGGTACACATCCAAGATCGTCACTTCGTTTAACGGATGATAATCGATACAAAAACAAATACTTCCATCAAACTTTGTCATAAGATGAAGTTCACAAGCCCAGGGACTTTGTGACTTTCAAATAACACCCTTTTTTAACATTTTCTTAATATTTGCACATAAAATTTTGTTCTCTTTGGGTGACTAATGATGAACAGGAGTCTTAATTGAACAAGCATCCCTAGTTGAAATAGGATGATATGTTGTAATCTTGGCCCTATATGACATGTCAAATTCAAAGAGATCAGCATACTCTTTCATGAGTTTGTCAACTACTACAACACAAAGACCATCAAAAAGATTGAAAAAGGGAAAAGAGCAATAAGACAGAAATATAGAAGGAAATAATGAATAGACAAAAGTGATAGAAGCAAAGGTAGAAATAAAGGGATAAAAAGGTATAAAAATGAAAGGAGTAAAGAAATATAAAGAAGTATGAGACAAGGGGGAGAAGCTTCAAAATTACACTTGGCATGATTGCATTGCAACCAATCCATACCAAGGATGAAATCAAAAGTTTGATTTGACACCACCTGCAATGACTAGCAACATCAATAAGATGTTATTAATACCAAGGTCTCCATCTAAGAAATAGAGATTGCCACTCTAGAAAATGCTGACAACGTTAATAAATACAACCAACTTCATCATATGCCCAGTAGCAGATATCACGGCCACAACCACGTCTTCGCCCTTGTCCTTGAACTCGGGTAGCAACAACATCAACCTCCATTAGAACAGGACCATTTCCTATATGAAGTGAAACTGAAGGGTGTGGAGCAAGAAGTGGAAGAGGCAATATCTCATAATGTTGTGCCAAACAAAAAGTATTATCAATGGTGGCTAGAGTAAATGTATGCATAAATCCTACAAAATCTTGATAAAGTGCTACCCACAACATTTTTAACTTGATTCATTCCAATATATTTAACTCCGTACGAAGTAAAAGGCTTCGGAAATAAACACCAAATTACATCACCAACTTAGATGACTCTTGACAAAGACGATGCAATTGTTAAAAGCATCATCATAATCGTCAACATGTCTAAATGTGCGTTTGAAAATATTTGGGAGAATGCTTCAATCTGCATAAGTAGCTACACTCAAACCATTATACCACTATAGCATTGTCCCTTGGAGACATAGGAAATTTATACAAATGCTAAGCATCATCCCAAAAATGATATGTGGCAATCACTATAAAGTTTTGCTTTTGTTGCCAATCCTTGCGTTTGGTTGGAGTTCTTCCGTGAGAATTCTAGAGAGTTTGATCACTAGGAGCTATACCACATGCCACGAATACTACTATCAACTAAATTTAGTTATTCAATTACAATCATATAGTATTGAACAATTGCACCAACTATTGCTCCAGAGTCAAAGGAGGAGGAGACTATTGCTCTGCCATGAAGATAAATGAAAAGGAAAAAGAAAAAGAAAAGAAATGGAAAAAGTTAAAAGAAAAGGGAGATCTAAATGATATAAAAGTTAAATCTAAACCAAACTCCCAAATCCAAGCACTTAGGCACAATCAAAATTACCCTCCATCTTCACCAATGTGAATGTATAGAATATAGAAATATGTATATCAATTAGCCCAAAGATCCTAGCTTATATATAAGAGCAAGTGGTCCAGATTAAAACCAATCCGATATTACCAAAATCCCACTACACTAATATTAATATATGGCATTGTATTTGTACACTTGGACCTCATAAATGAAAAAGGGACCCTACAAAATTACCAGATGAAGAGAGGAGTGTACCCAAGACTTGATCATTAGATACTGCTAGAGCATCTAAACTGCCTTAGGATCAGAAATATAAATATAAATAAATATGAAACTAATGAAAATAGAAAGAAAAGTGAAAGAAGTATAGAAAAGAAGAATTCATGGATGGAAGGACCCTACAAAGTTACCAGGTGAAGAGAGGAGCATACCCAAGACTTCATCATTAGATACTGCTAGAGCATCTAAACTGCCTTTAGGATCAGAAATATAAATAGAAATAAATACAAAACTAATGAAAATAGAAAAGTGGAAAGGCAGAAAGGGAGAGAAAAGAGTGGGAAAAATAGAGAGGTAAGAGGGGAGGGCAACAAGTCACTCGCATGCTGGCATATGGCATTAGCAACAAGTGGCACTTTCTTCTCTCACAGTTAGCTTTCCCTAATATTCACAATGGTGAATCGTTGAAAGATGGCACTTTAAATGCATATTGGGTGTGACTTCAAGAGATTGGGCAAGGAGGAGCAACACCTTGGTGAAGATTTAACAGCTGCAGCATGATTAAATGGAAGAGCCAGTGGTCATCTCCTCTGATAATGAAAAGACTCTTGCTAAAGAATCTCTTATCAAGTTCACTCAACGTCCTCCCACTCTTTTGTGCTGGATTCCAGTAAGGGGATCTCAGAGCAATGTGTAGCATTCATTATTGAGGAGACGTTCTGTGCACTAGGAGATTGGTTAAGTGACCGTAGCCAGCATTGCCACCGAAGACATGTGAGGCTGAGGGCAAGAGCAAGCAGTCTGAGGTAAAGAGTGCATGAGGAGATTCCTTGACATGGGATTAGCAATCTGGATACTAGAAGAGGCAAGTTCCCTTGTAGCATCAGCTTATCCATGACTGCAACAAAGGATGATGATCCTTCAACCCCAAATTGTGGACTTGGAAGCAAAGGTAAGTGTTTCCACCTTGGTTTAGAGTAGAAAAGGTGGTAAAGTTGAGTGTTCTTGTGTTTGGGAGAATAAGCTTGGGTTAAAGAAAGAGTTAAGAGTACAAGGAAAGACTAAAAGAAGAGGGGAAAAACATAGGAAGAAAACCATAAAAGGAAAGAGGATAAAAGGAGAAGCAAGGAAAGAAAGAGGACATGACATAGAGGTGTGAGACCAATGGAGTGTGATGTAATAAGCAATAGAAGAAGCTTGGATTTTCTCTTGTGTTTTGGCTTAACAGGTCAACCACAGTCAAGTGAAATTTGAGGTCAGGATATTTCAGGAGTTCTGGGGCACCCCCTCATGGGTGATAAGATTTGGGAGCAGCACCCAAGTGATTGGTGTGGTGGTGACCAACTGAGTGACTCCTCTCACATATGGTAAGGGGCATAAGATGGAGGTCACTGAGATCCTGAGCAAGGCATGGCAAGTTCTCAAGAGCGATCTCAAGGACAAGTACAAGACCCTTGAAGTTGAGAAATTTTGTTTCATGAGTGAGTGCTTGTGGCTTGATCATGAAGGTATTATGTATGACTATGAGGTGTACCTTCAGGAATACAACAGGATGTGATTGCAGGGGAAATACTTGGTCCAAGTTAGTGGATACATGCTTTTGGCATGGTTGGGAAAACATGTCTAAGGTGGGTATCTTGCCCCAAGAGGTGGTCATCCAGAAACTTTAAAAGCGGAGATACAGAGGATTCAGGAGGAAGAGGACATGGCTGTATGGGGCATGGATGAAGACTGACACTTCAAGTGGATTTATGAGATGTAGATACTGGCATGCATGAAGATGAGGTGTCTTGATCATGTGATTTCCAGTATGTTGATGGAGAATGGGTGTTTGAAGCGTCGTCTTGACCAAGAGGAGGCCCGAGAGGAAGCTCACCTGGATGGATCCAAAAGTTGGAGTAGCAGTTTACATTTATTCAGGTGAAGGAATATTTGGCAACTAAGAGAGTATGTGATGAGCAGATTGAGAAGATGTATAAGGGAAAGTGCCAGATAAAGATGGCAAAGGATGTAAAGGAGTTCAAGTAGAAAATGCTAGAGACAAAGGTTCTCCTAGATGCGGAAGGCAAAGATGAAGGGAGTTGGGCTTAGTGCATAGCAGCAGTTCAGACTGAGTGTTGCAGCTACTGATAGGGATGTCTGTGGAAGGCTTTGGAAATGAAGAAGGGTATGGAGTGTTTTGTTCTTTGTGAGCATCTTGAGTGTAGCTTGGATTGGAATACATTTATGTTCATTCTTTGAACATGAATTCTTTTATTTGAACAGCAAATGTGTTTCCATCAGTGTCCCAAGTAGCTCAAAGTGCATGTGCAAAACTGAGTGATGTGAGTGCACTTGTTTTGCGTCAATGAGGCTGCCACTAGCAACAAAGAGTGACCAAACTGTTTCAGCAAGGGATTAAGGAATCATTGCCAAGCTGACGTGACAAGATATTCTATGTCAAGTGGCTTCCCCTGGGACATTCGTGTTTGGAGCTTTTGGGCGATGGAGAATGATCAAAGGAAGAAGCATTTACGTGTTGCTGGACGAGCTCAAGAGGTGTAGATCGCTGGAAAGAGGCAAGCAGCTTTACAGCCAAGTGATGGATGCCGGCTTGCGACCGAGCTCACACTCGGCCATCTTGCTGCTCAATCTCTACTCCAAGTGTGGATTCATCGACGAGGCTCGTTTTATCTTCGATCGATTGCCGTGTCACGGTGTGGTCTCCTGGACATTGCTTATCTCTGGCTACACAGAGAATGGAAGGCCCGACTTGGCCCTCGATCTCTTCTCGTCGTGCTTGCAAGCGAGTCGTGGAAAGTGGGAGCCAAACGCTCGGACCTTTGTGGCGGCGCTCACGGCCTGCTCGATGCTGCTGGATAGGTCAAAGCTGGTCAAGACGGATTGCCTCGAAAGGGCACGATGGATCCACTCGCAAGCGAAGAGCAAAGGCTGCGATCATGATCTCTTCGTCGCAAACACGCTGCTGGATTTGTACGCGAAGTGTGGGAGCTTGATCGAGTCTCGGGGAGTCTTTGATCGGATGAAAGCTCGCTGCATCGTGTCGTGGACTGCGCTGATGCTGGCATTTGCCGAGAACGGGGACGGGGAGATGGCGATGAAGCTCTACTCTCGAGTTCTCCTCGAGGGGCTTGGGCTCGATGGTCGAGTTTTTGTTGCTGCTTTGATGGCTTGTGGAATCTTGGCAGCTCTTGAGGATGGATTGGAGCTCCCAAGCAATGGAAGCGTCGTGAAACTCAAGTCCCTGGGAAGAACAATGGCGATCCATGATCAAGCCTCGATCACTGGCCATCTTTTTTATGATATCTTCGTCGCAAACGCGCTCATCGACGCTTACTCCAAGTGTGGAAGCATGGCTGATGCCACTCGTGTCTTTGGATCCATGCAATGCCACGATGTTGTGTCTTGGACGTCCCTCATACTTGGATTCATGGAGGCCGGAGAGATGGAACTCGCCCTCCAAACTTTCGATCTCATGAAAGCTGGCCGACTTTGTGTTCCAAATGCCCGGACTTTCGTGGCCGTGCTCAAGGCGTGTTCTTGCATGGGCAAAGACGCTGGCGAGAGATTGAGATTTCTGGGAAAGGGTCGTGAGAGCATGGGCAAAGACGATGGTGAGAGATTGAGATTTCTGGAAAAGGGTCGTGAGATCCACTTGGAAGCGTCGTCCAGGGGCTGCGACACGGATATTTACGTAGCAACAACTTTGGTGGCGATGTATGCTTCGTGTGGATCTCTTTCCCAAGCTCGATCCATCTTTGAGTCGATTGCTTCTCGGAGCATTGTCTCCTGGAATGTGATGATCGCGGGGTGTGTCGAGAATGGAGAGAACCTCGAGGCTCTAGAGTTGCTCCAAAGGATGAAGAAGAATAACGGATTGATCATACGTCCCAGCGCTCAAACTTTCATAGCGGCGCTCGAGGCGTGCGCTGCGTCGACGAGCTTTGGAGCTGGAGTGGAGCTCCACGGCGAGATTTGTAGAGCCGGGATGGAAGACGAGCACTGCGTGGCCACCTCCCTGGTGGATTTCTATGGAAAGTGTGGGAACGTGATCAAAGCCCAGCAAACTTTCGATTCATTGAGCTCGAGGAAGATCGACACGGCAGCGTGGTCGTCGCTCATCGCCGGATACAGTCGACTCGGAGACGCTGGGAAAGCGTTGACTCTCTTCGAGAAAATGAAAGACGAAGGAACCAAGATGGATAACACACTTATTCTCGAAGTTCTTATGGCTTGTAGCCATGCTGGCCTGGTTGACAGAGGAAAGAACTACTTCGCTTTTTTTGGTGGAGTTTGTCTCGGAATCGAGCACTACAATTGCCTGGTGGATATGCTTGGACGAGCAAATCGATTAGACGAAGCCATGGCGGTGGTGAAATCCATGCCTCTTGGAGTAAATCCAAACCTCATGACTTGGAGAACAGTGTTGGCTGCCTGTAAGAAATGGAACAACGTGGAGATGGGAAAGGAGGCCTTTGATTGTCTGATGAGGATGGATGAAAGGGAGGCAGCAAGCTACGTGATCATGGCAAACCTCCACACAATCACATAGTATCGATCAATCGATCATGCGCTCAGCCATCCTCGGCTTCTTCCACCGCTTGCTCCACCCGAAGCAACACAAAACCAACGGCGACTCCCACGAGAACAAGCACGGTCATGATGGGAACAACGCGAAAGACCTCCTCCGAGACGCTGGCCTTGGCGGCCAGTGCACCACCACGCCTGGAGGAAGATTTGAGCGCTCGGGCTTGGAGCTGCGCGAATTGTTGGTCAACGCATTGCGAGCACCCCAATCCCATGACGGTGTTGATGGCTTTGAGGCCTCCAAACGAGCTCATCCTGTGGATTTGTTTGCTGCTTCCGCTGCTTCGCGAGATTGGAATCGTGGACGCTGCTACAAAGCTCGCAGACATTGTCGCCATAGCCGGCAGCGATCGATCGATCACTCGGAGTGCTAGCTAGATCACACAATGGAAGTTTTGGAGATCGCCCAAGAAAGAGTTCTTCGTGGGTGTTCTTACCTGGTGCGTGTTCTTCCCAGCTATGGCCGCGCTTTGTGTGCTTCTAGATAGATAGGATGATGTGAGCTTCACTGGTTGCCACGTGTCGATAATGTTGGCCGCTGACGTGTGCCCTATTGCTGACGTGTACTATGCCAACAGGGCGATTGAGCGCCACGGCAAGTGCGGCAATGTGGGCATGGCGCGGCAAGTTTTCGATGCCTTGGGCGATAAAAAAAGGGACATTTTTTCATGGCATTTGATGATCCTGGCTCATGCGCGAAAGGGCGAGATCCGGGAGGCTAATATTTTGTTTGATTTGATGCCGCTGTTTGATATGCCGACTTGGAATGTCATGCTTACAGCATTTGCCAGAAGCGGGGATTTGGAAAAAGCCGAGGAGACCTTTCTTCTCATGCCCGAGAAGAATCTGATATCCTGGACTGCCATGGTAACGGCGTACGCACACGTATTAGACGCTGACAGAGCAAAAGAAGTTTTCGATCAGATGCCGCAAGTGAATCTCGTGTCATGGACTGCCATTCTTACTGCAAATGCCCAGAGAGGAGATATTTCTTCTTGTGAAACTATTTTTGCTGGGATTCCCGAGAGAGATCTCGTGTCATGGAACGCAATGCTTGCTGCGTGTTCAGTTAAAGGCCAAGTCAAGAAATGCAACGCAATATTTCTGCTTATGCCACAGCACGATCTTGTGTCCTGGACGACAATGCTTGCAGTGAATGCCCACAATGGACCTAGCATTGAGGACTGCAAGCGTGCGTTTGACAAGAGCCCGCAGCACAACCTCATCTCCTACAACGCGATGCTTTCGGCGTATTCACTCCACGGCTACGTGCTCGAAGCGGAGCGTTTGTTCCTCCACTCGATGCCGGAGAGAAACCTTGTGTCTTGGAACACAATGCTTGCAGTTTACACTCACAATGGACACACAGCCAAGGCTTTAGAATTGTTCCACTCAATCCCACTCCACGACCAAGTCTCATTCACGCTCGTCATCTCCCTTCTCGGAGACATGGCCCTGGAGTGCAGCAACCGCAAGGAATCGTGGGAGCTCCTCTCGCGGGCCAAAGACTTGTTTGATCACGCAATGCCACACTACACGCTCATCGCTTGCAATGCCATGCTCTCTGCGTATGCCCGAAACGGGCAGCTCGAAGAAGCCCGGAGGATCTTCTCGGAGCTCCAGGAGCGCGACGTCGTCGCCTGGAACTCGATGCTCTCGGCATTCTTGATGTCCGGGAGCTTGGACGAGGTGAAGAAGACGTACGACGACATGCCATGCAGGAGCCTCGTTTCCAACACCACAATGCTGGATGCCTACGTTCAAAACGGCCGCTTCAAGGAAGCCAAAAGCTTGTTCGACGCAAGGATGCCACAGCACAACACTGCCTCTTGGAATGCAATGCTATCAGCGTATGCCCACAATCGCTACTTGGAACAGACGAAAGCCTTGCTGGCTCAGATGCCCGAAGCCAATCTCGTGTCTTGGAACACGCTTCTTTTCGCATATGCCCAAGAAGGGCATATGGCGAAAGCCAAGACGTTCTTTGACAGGATGCCGGAGTGGAGTGTTGTGTCGTGGGGATCACTGCTAGCCACCTTAGTAACTTACAAGAAAACCAAGTTCCAAGACGAGCAGCTGGTGTCAAATTGGACAGCACTAAATCTGTTTACGGGATGGATGCATTTGAGCAGCACCCCTCCGGACAAGGTTTGCTTCGTCTCGGCTCTTGTGTCTTGCAGCCATGCCGGAAAGGTCTACAATGGCCGGGCTTGCTTCGTTTCGATGCAAGTGGACTTTGGGATCAAGCCCAACAAGCGGCACTACTCTTGCATGCTGGACGTGCTTGTTCGCGCTGGATACCTTGCCCAGGCATGCGATCTCATGTCAAGCATGCCCTTTGTTCCAGACATTGTAGATTGGGTGTGTGTTTTAGGAGGCTTTGAGTCGAGTAGCGATCTCGTCAAGTTGAGAGGAGCAAATGCTGCCGGCGAAATTGTTAGAAACGTTATTGATCTTAAGCCTTTAGGTGGAGCTGCATACATCTTGCTCTCAAACATGCACATTCTCACTTTTTCCCCGCCTAGATGCTAAGAATATTCTAAATCCTAGAATATTTTATCTCTTTTGAAAAGTTAAAATCTAACCCGTTAACAAAGTAGAATACATTGATTCGCTAACGGCCTTTTAGGGTTTCTAGAAATGGCAAGGAGCTTAACAGGACCTTTAGAAAATCTAGGCAATGGGAAAAGTGAAGAATATTCATGTGGCTCCTCGGACCGTTGGTTCGCGGAAGGAACCCTTGGTGTTATGTGTTGGAGAACCGATGGATAACAGAGCTGGAGCAAAGAGCTGTCGGCATGTCTTCGTTGAGCGGTTGCGATTGTCTCTGCGCCCTTTGGATCCAACGACCAGTACCTGCTGTCCATCCGACGCACGAGTGTGTGCCACGCACACGGGCCCCGTCTGGACGGCGTGGATTGCCGGACGCTTGACAAGCAGCTCAATGTGGTGCATGGTTTTTGGGAGAAACGGGACAGTGTGGTGAGGAGTCCTCTTCTTCTCTCTCCTCTCCTCTTCTGTCCTCCTCCATCGCATTAGGGATTGCGCTATCCCTTCCGCTGGGGCGCTGGCGCCATGAATCGCAGGCGCGTTGCTCCAGATTTTGGATACAATGCAGGGGTGCGCCGCGACTCCCATCCAGATTTGGGCAAGGCAATGCGGTGGATGATCTTCAAGGCGATCGATCTAGCTCCATTGGGAGAGGCGGCGAGGATTTGAAGCATCTGGATCGCGTATTATGCAAGCATCGAGCCGAAATATCACTGTGGATAGGCAGAGTAGCTCAGGATAGGGATTTCGGGCATCCGGCATCATGCCTCCCAGTAGAAGAAGCTCATCGGCGTCCCTCCTCCAGCAGCGCGGCAAGGGAGGCACGGGCAAGCACGGCGGCACCCACATTCTAGCTACATTGTTTGCGCTGCTCGTCACAGCTCCACTCGTCTTCCTGGCAGTGCGTTTCAGCAGCTTTGGCTCAGCTTTGAGTAAGTCTCTTCTTTTCCTTCTCTCGCAAATGGCTAATGCCTACAGGGTGTTCTAGACGCCAAGGATTTTTTCGATGTAAGTTATGGTTATCCCTCTACCTATGATTGATTTAATTCTAACTCTTTGTGTTTGATTTTCCAGCAAAGCCATGGTGCTGAGAGTGCTCGCAAGCTGACGGGACAAGATCATCAAATGGAGAGCTTTTTTCCCGAGGAGGTAAATGTTCTCGAGAGAACGCGTCTTTTGTGAACGCAATTTATCTCGGGTTGTCGGTTGCAGGTTCTGAGCGTCATTCTGGCCAATTCAGACGACCCAGATCGGATACTGAGGCTCAAAGCTGTAAAGGATACACCGTCTTCTTTAGTACAAGAGCATGACGAACAGCAGCTTAAGTTTGAGAACGATGGTCTTCAGGTTTGTTTTATCCTTTTTGGTGAAGTCATCAATTCTAACGCATCTCTTTGGAGCAGGAAGGACAGGAAGGAGAGATTACAAACGGGACACCCTCTGTTACTTCCGATTCGTTCAACTCGTCGGAAACGGGTCAAGGTAATTAGCTAGCTGACAGGAAAACGAAAATGGGTGTTTAAGAGGTTTGTATGTTTACAGGAAAGAGCGGATTGCTTCTACAAGATGTGCATTACCGGGAGCAGCCGCCAGAGGTATGGAGTTGATTGTGAGCACCGAACTTGAGTTCTTTCTATACACGCAGCATATCAAACTACGCAGGGAAAAGGAGCGACTGCTGCAGCTCACTAAGCACGATGAGAAAGAGAACGCGCAACTAGAGGCCGAAGCCATCGAGCGAACTAAAGTTGTGTCGAGGAACATCATGGGGAAGTACAGCATTTGGAGGCGCGAAGACAACGAGAACTCGGACAACCTTGTTCGGCTGATGCGAGAGCAACTGATTATGGCCAGAGTGTATGCAAGCATTGCTCAGTCTCGCAACAACTTGAGGCTCCTTCGGGATTTGAAACTGCGGATAAGGGAGACCACACGTGCGTTGGGAGACGCTAATCTGGATTCTGATCTCTCTCGTAGGTAATTTTCTTTCTTCTTTCGCAGCACAGCAATTCTCTAACATGTTTCATGCCGCAGCGCACACGAGAGGATCAGAACCATGGGGCAGACATTGACGCAAGCTCGCAGTGAACTATATGACTGCGGACTGATTGTAAGGAAGTTGCGTGCTACGTTACAGTCTTCCCAGGAGTACGCCCAAACATTGAAGAAGCAAAGCACGTTTCTCAGTCAGCTCGCGGCTAAGACCATTCCAAAGGCTCTCCATTGCCTTTCGCTTCGCCTAAACGTGGAGTACTACACACTCCCTCCCGAGAAGCGCGAATTCCCATCACAAGAAAAGCTCGACGATCCAACGCTCTTTCACTACGCACTTTTCTCCGACAACATTCTTGCGGCATCGGTGGTAGTTAGCTCCACAGTACGGCATGCACAGGTTCGATGACTCCAGTACTATATAGCGACTTAACGATTTTCTGCTTTTCAGGAACCGCATAAGCATGTCATTCACGTTGTCACGGACAGGCTTAACTACGGCGCCATGCGCATGTGGTTTCTCGCCAATCCGCCTGGGAAGGCCACCATTGAAGTCCAAAACATTGACGACTTCAAGTGGCTCAACTCATCCTACTGCCCGGTTCTTCGACAGCTAGAATCCGCTGCCATGAAGGACTACTACTTCAAGCCCGATCATCCAACGTCCGTTTCCTCGGGGTCATCCAATCTCAAGTACAGGAATCCAAAGTACCTCTCCATGCTCAACCACCTGCGCTTCTACTTGCCGCAAATCTATCCCAAGCTGGACAAGATACTCTTCCTGGACGATGACATCGTTGTCCAGAAGGACCTCACCGGCCTGTGGAGCATCGACCTGCAAGGCAAAGTGAACGGTGCTGTCGAGACCTGCGGCGCCAGCTTCCATCGCTTCGACAAGTACTTGAACTTCTCCAACCCGCACATCGCCAGGAACTTCAACCCGGACGCGTGTGGCTGGGCGTACGGGATGAACGTCTTCGATCTCAAAGAGTGGAAGCGGCGCGACATAACGGGGATCTACCACAAGTGGCAGAACATGGTAATGGCTTTAGGATCGATATCTATCTTTTGCCTCGTGCTTGACAAGAGGTTTTGCTTTTGCTTTCCAGAACGAGGACAGGCTGCTGTGGAAGCTCGGAACGCTACCCCCTGGCCTCATCACCTTCTACAACTTGACGCATCCATTGGACAAGTCGTGGCACGTCCTGGGACTGGGCTACAATCCAAGCATCGACAAAGCGGACATGGATGCAGCCGCGGTGGTGCATTACAACGGCAATCTCAAGCCATGGCTGGACATTGGGCTTTCGAGATACAAGTCGTACTGGACGAGGTACGTGAGCTACGATCACCCATACCTGCAGCAGTGTAACATCAACCATTGAGCTTGCGGGGCGGGCATACACCACACTTTCCAAGCGTGCATATTGGAAGTGAATATTGGATTTTTTTTTCTACTTGGCAAAGGTATGGTTCCCTTTGTTTCTTCATATCCATTCGATTCTCTTGCGGGAAAAGCAAAAAAGAAGCTAACTGTACAGCTCTGCGCGTCGAGAAAACGATGCCACCTTGCTTTAATTTGGAAGTTACGTATCACTCTTTTGTCCTCGTAGAAGATGTTTGTGAGCTGCAAAAAGAGTGACAAGCGCATATGATAGATCATAGTGAGATTATTTGTCATGCTCCCCATCTATAACTGATTAATCACATGATAATGAAAGACATAACAGGACATGGTTATGACATTTATCTTTCCAGCAAACCAACATTGAAGAGCTTTAGCTTTCTTCATTCCTCTACTTGTCCTGTCATCAAAGCTTAGTAGTAAAAATAACAAATTACTAGCAAAATTACTGAGCTGTACAGGGAGACTCTCGGCATATCCTTTTCATCGTTTGCTCCTTGCGGACTTGCTGTTAGCTCCACTCTTGTGAGCTTTGTTGTGCTGCTTCTTCCGCTTCTTCTGGATCCCCCCCAGTGCCTTGTTCACGCTCAGGCCCTCGAGCTTCTTGGTCACCTTGAAAACGCTCTCCATTCCCTTGCGGGCCGCGGCCTTCTTCTCCCCGCGCCGGTTAAGCAATTTAGCGTCCAAGGGCCAGTACGCGTACGGCTCTAGCTTCCCGTCCCTCTTGACGTCCCCTCCAGCGCCTTTCTTGTTCACGTACTCGTCGCCCTTGTACGACCAGCCAGTGCTCCTCTTCTTTTGGTTCTCGGCGGCCACTTTGCCCCGTTTCTTAGCACCTTTTTGGCTCCTGCCAAACTCTTCTTCTTCTCCTTCCTCTTCCTCGTCTCTCAGCCGCTTGGAGGCGCGTCCTTGCTGTTGCTGCTGCGGCTGCCTTTCTTCCACTATCAAACGGCCATCTGGATCAAAATCCATGTCTTCGTCGCTCTCTGCCTGGCTCTTCTTTGGCTTTCCTAGAGTTGACAGTGCCGCCCTCGTCTTTGAAACGTCAAGAAGATCCAGAGGCTCGTCCCTTCCTCGCTCGTCTTCCGGGAGCCTCCTCTTTTGCTTTGGCAGCTTCTTTGACCTGCTTTACCAGCAGTAACGCTTGCAAATGAGGGAATAAGAGAGGTGGAGCTTACCTGGCAGTAGTAGCCTTGGACCTTGTGAAAGCCGTCGCACCTTCGCTCTCGTCGTCGCCATCGTTGTCCTCGTCCGAGTCAGAGAAGATGTCCGTGTGCTTCCACTTACTGCGCCTGCAAAAAACGAGTGTGACAAGTGAAAATGATATACCATCATTCTACTTCCTACGTTGTGGGTGCACGAGTGAAGTGCGATCTCTTGTCATCCTCGCCATCAATAATTGATCTCTTTTTCTTCTCTTCGTGGTCCTTCCTCTGCAGATTCATCCGATTTAGCTAGACAAGAAACTGAATCAAGTACCTTTCGAATGTTGACGAGGTGCTTGGCATGCTCTTTGGGCATAACAGCAGAAACGGCCTCAAATCCACATTTTTTTAACAACTTCTCCAGTATCCCGCGGACCTGTTCCATTCGGTAAGCATAAAGAGCGTGCACCAATAAAAGAACGACCTTTGCTTTAAATCTGTTCTTCGGATCATCAGACCAAACCATCATAGCCTCCACCATTTCACTCAAACGGGGCATAAGCTCCTCTTTAGACATCATAGCAACGATTACTTTTAAAAGGCCAAGAACTGACTGCAAAATAGAAAGCACCAGTTATTCTTTTCAACAAAAACAAAATTAAAACTAACCTTGATTACTTCTCGACTCTTGTAGTTGCGAAGTAAATAAAATGCACTCGGAAGATATCGGTGTATCTCGCCTTTCAGCTCCGATGGGAACTCGTACACCATCCTTGAAATTGCACTGAGAGCCGCACTTATTACATGCGGCTCTCCAGCTGAGCCTGTTACTGCGGAACATCCCACCAACTGGGCCCAGAAACATCAAATATATGGAGTTAAACAAGCTGTCAATACCTTTCTAAAAAATTGGACAAGTTTCTCGTCAGAAACTTGCAACAGGCCATTCCCAATTCCAATTAAAAGCTCATAAGCTCTGTCTCTTGTTTTCTTGTTATTCTGTAAGAGAAAAGGCCAATATGCTGCTTCAGATTGACGACTGATTAAATACCTCCTTCAACGCAAGAACAGACTCTTTGAGAAGGAATGCTATGTAGTCGTTCGTATTCTCGTCCCCCTGCTGAAATGGCAACAAAATTATCAACGACGAAAACTAATTGAAGATGCATCTACCTGCACGAGATGTAGAATCAACAACTGCAAGCAAGCAACCCTGTATTGTTTTGCAGAGGACTGGCATGCAGATGTAGCTTCCACAATAGCTTCAAATATTTCTTGCTCTTTTGAAGAGAGAAAATCAGTATGTTCCTGTAAGTTCGAAACATAAATCTGAGCACTTGAAAACAAAATTTACCTTCAAAATACCAGCAAGAACTTTGTATCCTTTTTTCTGAACACCAGAGTCTGGATCCTAAAGGGAGATAATTAGATAATGAAGAAATAAAAGGTTTTGCGTGCCCAAAACTCCCACCTGCAATGCAGGCTTTGCAACTGCGAAAAGCGCGCTCAAGCCTTTATGATCCAAACCACCAACTAGTGACAAAGCAAGATCCATAAACATGCACCTGTCCAAAATTTTAGACCATAGATGATTTCAGTAGTTATGTAACGAATTACCTTCTCTCTTTCGCATTTGTATCTTTGGTGGCTTCCAAAAGCTTCTCCATGACCGTTCGGAAAAACTTCTGAACAGTAGCTTTGCTTGATATAGACGCAAAAGCACCAATTGCAGCCTAGCAATTCACTTGTTAAAAAAAAAGAGAGAAAATAGATAATGCATCCTAGTACCTGTAACTCTCCCCGTTTTTCTGGTGGTGACTCGCAAAATATATTGAAAAGAAGTGGAAGAAACTTATCCGAAAACGCAGAAATGGCTGACAAGTTTGCCGAGGCAATGTCCTTGGAATAACATGCTTTTTCCTTTGCATCCAAATCCACGTCCATGCCGTCATTAGCGTCGCAGATAGATTTGTTTTGCTTTATCAATGTCTGAGGATAAAAACACGTCAAGCGTAGTGCACAGGAAGTAAGAAGCTTCACCTGGATGCTGGAAGAGATTACTCCTCTAAGGTCCGGATACTTTCTCATTGACTCCCCAAGAAGCTTTGCAATCACCTGGAAGCTGTCTTTGGTGTCCACAGGATAATTGCAAAAGGATGGAAGAAGAGCCCAAAGAGCTTGTGCGCATGCTTCTGCATTTTTTGCAGGCGCCCCAGCAAGCTGCAAAGAACGCTGTTTAGTACGATTCTAAAAGAAAACATATATATCAACCTCATGTGCTTTGACTGCAAGACTTTCTGCCAAAGGACCGATGGTAGTCGCGAAGTATTTGAGCCTTGCTCCAACAAGATGTTGCTTCAAGATAGGTATCAACCAGATGCGGGCTTTGTCTAGCTGCGTGGCATCCATGTCCAATGGCAAGAGCTCCAAAAAACGTTCTGGTCCCATAGCCACAACGGCTGCTCCAAAACTATTGTGTAGCTGTAAAAGAGTATCAAACGTGAAATCTAGCGTGTAAAACTTGCCTGCTTTCGACAAGGCAAGTCCTCGTCTCTAAGTTTTTGTAGTTCGGCGAGAACTTTAACAATTCCTTTCATGAATCGAAAGGAGGCCTCACCTGGAAAAACAAGGAATAAAATCGAATGAGCTACAGCTTTAAAAAGCGAGAGAAAGTTACCCATTTTCTGGAAAAGTGCCGAGACTACGAGCAAAGCTTTATCCCAGGCGCCGGAATATTCATAGCTCAAGGACCTTTCAACGGACGAACAGATACTTTCAATAGCAACTGGATCGGTTTCTAGCTGTCTCAGCATTGCGCCATCTATGAAGCGATCTGCTAAGCCTCGGAGACACTCCGCTGCACCAAACACAACCTCTTCCTGTTCCGAAGCAAAGAGATCTGGAATACAGTAAAAGAAACTTTCAGCTCCAAGAGAAAAAAGAAAGAAAAGGAGCTATACCTGTGATGGCATCGAATGGCGCCGGAAGCTGGCCGGCGCAGAGCTTAGGATCGATGGCGTACAAGTTAGACAGCCCCTGCTCTATCACATGAACTGCCGTCATGACCTCGTCCACATCCCTGTTATCAGCCGCGACGAGGGAGAGAACAGCACGAATAACGCCCACCAATGCCGCCGATGAAACGCCCGTCCTGGATCTTCTTCCCAGAGAAAGAAGAACATTGAGCACGCTCCTGGTGACGAGTGACTGCTTCAAAGTGATGAGAAGTGTGATGCTGGGAAGCACTCTCGCAATGGTCTTGGGAGACATGGCTGGCAGAAGAAGCCGCATGGCCCCGATCATGTGTAAGAGCTTCAGAGCGCCAGCGGCAGCGTCCTCGTTGCTCTTGCCTTTGGCCAGGAAAGGTGACGCGCATTCTTCGAACGACGAGGCAACTAAGTCGCTAGCTTTGTCGAGAGCCGCCGAGCCATGGAAGCTAGACAAGACTTGCGCAGCGCACAAGTGCGCGCGCCTTCGCACCTAGAGAAGCCTGCGATCAAGCTCCGGAGAAAGAAAAGAAAACGAAGCGAGCGTACCTTTGGTCTCATATCCACGCAAAACTTGAGAAGCAACTGGAACGATCCGGCCAGAGCCGGCCAGCTCGATCGATCGGCGGCGCAAAGGATGCACTCGATGCACGACAGCGCGGGCTTGGCAGTGGCAGCCGGAAGTTTTGCGTCGCCCAGCACCTTGTCCAAAACAACCAGAGCCTTTCCACTCGTCGATCGCAGCACGGAGGCGGGAAGCTTGGGAAGGAGCGTGGCCAGGAATGTGAGGAAAGCCGTGGTATCGGCTCCATCCACGGCGCCTGCATTGCATTGCTGCTCCAGCGGCGCCATGGTCGCGGCGAAATACGCCGTGGGAATCAGCGGCAGGCCCTGCTCTTTCAGCACCTCCATCACCGCGCTTACCACCGCCAGTAGCTGCTTGTGCTCGGGCGCCGGAGAATTGTGGAAGCGATTGAGCAGCGCGCGCCCCACATCCTCCTCCTCCTCATGCATCGCCATCGCTAGGGCTCCTCAGAAGCGAGAAATTTAGGGTTTTGACAAAAACCCACCATAATTAGGGCTAGGGTTTTGTGGTTCTATGTGGTCAGGTAAAGGTTGATGTTTTACGGAAATGATCCTACATTCTTCTACTTCACCAGCGGCAAGGCGCCAGTTAAGGCGCCATCGCTCATCTTCATGGCAGCCAGGTAAGTATTTTAAAGGTTGAGAGAGGTGATGATAGATTTCTCTTGTGGAGCAGTGGTGGCTTGCCGATTTTTCTTGAGGAGCTTCTGTACGGGCCTTCGATCATCATCCGCACCGCGGCCAGGTAAGAAAGTTGATGGAAACGATTTCAGGTTTTCTTTATTTCCTTTGGAACAGGTGGTCATGAATCATCATGCGATACTCGGCCGGCACCGCAACTTGTTTTGCGTTACAACAGAGCCAACACTTCACTCCTTCTCTTCGGTGACTGTTGGTACAATGGCGGTGGCCATGGTTGGTCGATGAGAGAATTTGGGGCCTTGCTTGAATCTGGACACTCCCAGACGGAGTGTACTAATCAGACTCGCAAGCACTGCAATGGCACTTACTGGAGCTGCCCCTATAGCAGGCGCGACATAGATTATGACCCAGACATGGCTCCCTCCATAAGAGAGCTCGAGCAATGCCAGATTAGAAGCATTGAGATTACCGGCGTCCTCTCGACTTTGGAGCTCGGGCTTAGATACAACAACTGGGATGGCGGGGCATGCATTTGGGACACAAGCGTGGAAACAGATCGTGAGAGAATAATCGAGGAACACTTGGAGATTAAGTACGACAGGGCTGCAACAGGATGCGTGCTTGTATCCGTTCCTACGTTAGCTGTCAAGTACAAGGCGCTTAAGTGGATACTCAAGACCGACGTCACTAGCTTCCCCCTCGAATTACTTCCTGACGAGTTTATATCAAATTCGAGCACGAAGGTTAAGGACAAGGCGATGCTCGAGCTGGCGGAGGCCGTTTTACAGGGGATAAAGAGGTATGTTATTGAAGGGATTGGCATTATGAGGAAAGCTGGTTTGTTTTTTTCCAGGTGTGTTATTGTGGATCTCCGAGGGATTGGAATAATGAGGAAAGTTGGTTTGTTTTTTCCTGGTGCGACGGTGGACAAGATGCTCGACAAGATGCTCGAGTATATCGGCAAAGAGCCTGTCCCAGTTGGGGAATTCCTCAAAGAAGACGACTGGAAGGAGCTCGGGGTTGAGAATGTTGCCAGAGAGGAAGTAGTCTGCTTCACCATCGATTTGGAGTGGACTGTGGAGCTGTTACTGGAATTCAAACTTGACAAATCAATCGTAAGTACCCTCTAGAATCGTTGTATCTAAACTTCTTGCGTTTGGGCAGGGGGTAGGAACAGGCCTCTTCCCTCCCCGTTCGGAGCCATCAACTGAGCAACCGAGTTCGCCATGGCAATTATTTCTGGAAACCATCTAGTGACAGAGGTAAAAATGTGATCATGGGCTCGTTGTTGGAGGACGGACATAACACATCACCATAGAGTCCTATGTATCATTCTTCATTCTTAGTGACACAGTTTGACGCATTATGGAGAACGATTTTCCTGTAATTTAGATGCGGACTTCCCGAATGAGGATTTCTCCACGCCGCCAAAGAGAACGTACAAGGCCCCGGATCCTGGCAGCTGTGTTCTTCCGGACGGCTCTTGCAAGTGGAACTCGATCTACGAGCATCTGGCTTAAAACCAAAACTAATCTATTGTCTATTCAAACCTTTATGGAGGTAAAACTCTTCAATATATGCTCCTAGCAAACCAAATTGGACAAAAAACTGGCTGAGTGCCAATGTGTGCTAGCACTCGTGATCTCGTACTTCAAAGATAACACAATAGTAATGACTATTCAAAGAAGAAACACGAGTTGTCGATCAAGCTCCACTTCCTGAAGCCCGGTCTTGTAAGTCGGCTCATCTCGTACACCGACGTCCACTTGTTCGTGCCGTCTGAAAGCTTAAACTCGGGCATCGGTCCCTTGTGGATCCTGTTTCGAGCAGCAGCTCCTCCTCCTCTGGATGAAGCTCCTGGTTGCTGGAGATTGCGACGACGGGGGAGGAGAAGAGGAAGACGCGTAAGGATTTGCTGGCGATGGCGATGGGGATGGAGAAGGATTTAGTGGCGTTTGAGAGCTTGGTGGTGCAGCTGATGGAGCGACAAAGCCACAAGAACTCACTCTCCACCCTAAATACTGAGATCATCTGTGGTTTAATATTTTCATAAAGGCTTGAGCGCGCTTTTCGCAGTTGCAAAGCCTGTATTGTAGGTGGGAGCGGGAGCACTGCTGCAACTAGCTCGCCGGCGGCAGCCCCTGGAGCGGCTCCAAGTTTTGACTCAGGTATAAAGTCTTTGAGTATGGTTTGGTTTCTAATGTTGTTGACGCTGGTAATCGCAGCAGAGAGTTCTGGATCTAATGCGGGACCGTCAGTTTCCGGCTCTAGTGTTGAAGCGGCAGCTTCAGTAGGATCTAGGAGTTCGTCAGCTGGCGAGCCGATGCTGGTAGTATCATCGTCAACTTCGCCAGCTTTAACCGAATCATCACTATCAACACCAGCTTCTGGAGAATCCACACTAGCATCGTTGTTGTCTGGATCGTTTACTCCAACGCCATCGTCCACTTCGACTGGATCAAGCACGCCAAGCCAAACTTCGAGCTCGTTCGCTCAGACTGGATCAAGCTCAGCACTACCTGGCTGGAACTGGATATGGCGATTACCTTGTCTCTTTCGCATATGTATGTTTCGTGGCTTTCAAAAGCTTCTCTATGACCGTTCGGAAAAACTCCTGAACAGTTGCTTGATATGGACGCAAAAGCACCAATAGCAGCCTAGCAACTCACTTTGTTGAGAATTGTTACTACTAGAAAGACAAAGAAGATGCATCCTAGTACCTGTAACTCTCCCCGTTTTTCTGGTGGTGATCACAAAATATATTGAAAAGAAGAGGAAGAAACTTATCCGAAAACGCAGAAATGGCTGACCAGTTTGCCGAGGCAATGTCCTTGGAATAACATGCTTTTTCCTTTGCATCCAAATCCACGTCCATGCCGCCATTAGCGTCGCAGATAGATTTTGTTTTGCTTTATCAATGTCTGAGGATAAAAACACGTCAAGCGTAGTGCACAGGAAGTAAGAAGCTTCACCTGGATGCTAGAAGAGATTACTTCTCAAGGTCGGATACTTTCTCATTGACTCCTCAAGAAGCTTTGCAATCACCTTGTCTTTGGTGTCCACAGGATAATTGCAAAAGGATGGAAGAAGAGCCCAAAGATCAAGCTCCGGAGAAAGAAAAGAAAACGAAGCGAGCGTACCTTTGGTCTCATATCCACGCAAAACTTGAGAAGCAACTGGAACGATCCAGCCAGAGCCGGCCAGCTCGATCGATCGGCGGTGCAAAGGATACACTCGATGCACGACAGGAAAACAACCAGAGCCTTTCCACTCGTGGATCGCAGCACGGAGGCGGGAAGCTTGGGAAGGAACGCGGCCAGGAGTGTGAGGAAAGCCGTGGTATCGGCTCCATCCACGGCGCCTGCATGGCACTGGGGCGCGCCATGGTGGCGGCGAAATACGCCGTGGGAATCAGGCAGGCCCTGCTCTTTCGATGCGAAATTTAGGGTTTATACAAAAACCCATAGCTAGGGCAAAATGGGATTTTAGGGTTCTTGAGGATGGAGGAGGAGGCGATGGAGGCGATGGAGGCGATGGAGGTGAGCTTCAATGTGGGGCGCTGCAGCGCGCCGGACGTTCCCGTGGCGCACGGTGGCGCCGCGGCGGCGGAGTCGGCGCTGGCGGTGGTGGATCCTCTCCAGAAGCGAGTGACCTTCAACCCTAGGTACGAGCAGATGTGGGCGCCCATGGAGGGGCCGATCCACCCCTACAACAAGGACGGCCTCTCGCGGGGGATGAAGAACCACGCGCTGGGCGTGGTGGAGGACTCGTCCATCTCGCCCTTCACCTTCGACGAGCAGTACCACACATTCCAGGCGTTTGGCTATGCCGCGGATACCTCGGCTCCAAATGGTGCCAATTTGATCGGCGACCCGGACAAGATCAAGGACAATGCCGGGCTCACAGTCTTCAACATCCCACAGCACGAGCTCAAGAAGAGGAAGGCCGAGGGGCGGCTGGAGAGGGTCCAGGAGCTCGAGGGTGGCCTGGATCCTTCCTCGGACGAGTGGCTGGCCAAATCCATCACGAGCCCCTGGGCCGGGACGCGCAAGGGGATCCAGGTGGAGATGACCGACGAGCAAAAGATGTATGCCGAGGAGCACGCCAAGAAGAAGCTGGCCAGGGAGGCCCGAGAGGCCGGTATCAAGCCCGAGGTGCCGGACTCCACCGAGTTCCATGGCGACGAGCACGTCGACTACCAGGGGCGCTCTTGGGTCGTTCCTCCGGCGGATGTCAAGGCCGCAAACGATCGATGCTTCTTCCCCAAGCGCTGCATCCATACGTGGGTCGGGCACAAGGGGAATGTGATGACGATCCAGTTCTTTCCAAAGTATGGCCACCTCCTGCTCTCCGGGAGCAGCGACCACCAGGTGAAGATCTGGGACGTGCATAACCACAGGAAGTGCGTGAGGACGTACAAGGGGCACAGCGCCACTGTTCGTCACGTTTCCTTCACCAACGACGGGCTCAAGTTCCTGAGCGTGAGCTACGACACCAAGATCAAACTTTGGGACACGGAGACGGGCAAGGTGATCTCGTCCTTCACCACCGGGAAGACGCCTTACGTCGCCAAGCTGCACCCGGACGATGACAAGCAGAACGTGTTGATGGTGGCGATGAAGGACAAGAAGGTTGTGCAGTGGGACGTGGACAGCGGCAAGATCACGCAGGAGTATGACCAGCACTTGGACGCCGTGAACACCATCACGTTTGTGGACAACAACCGGAGGTTCATCACGTCCAGCGACGACAGGTCCCTCCGCGTGTGGGAGTTTGGGATCCCGGTGGTGATCAAGTACATCAGCGAGCCGCATATGCACTCGATGCCCAGCATCGCGGTTCATCCAAACGGCAAGTTCTTCGCGGCACAGAGCATGGACAACCAGATCCTCGTCTACGACACCAAGGAGCGCTTCCGGCTCAACAAGAAGAGGTTCCACGGCCACGTAACCGGGCTGGGCTGCCAGGTGAACTTCTCCCCCGACGGCAAGTATGTCATCTCGGGGGATGGATCGGGGCGGTGCTGGTTCTGGGACTGGAAGACCACCAAAGTTCTCCACAAGCTCCACTGTTTCAAGCGGGTTTGCCTGGGCTGCGAGTGGCATCCGCTGGAGCAGAGTAAAGTCGCCACCTGCGGCTGGGAGGATGGTAGGAACGCTGGGAAGGACGGAGTTGGCATCATCAAGTACTGGGACTGAGCAACGTGTATTTATAATTTATAGCGCTCTCAAGAGTAACCGTGAAAGACGTAGTTCCTCCTTGTTGGGCTCAATCTCGGTCCGATCTAGGCAAAGTATGAAGTTCTTACTTCGAGGTCCGCCACCTTGTAAACGGCTTACACGGTCTTCAGTCTTCGGTCTTCGGTCTGCGGTCTCAAACTCTGACCGTTGAAAAGACAATCTCAACTCAAACGTTATATTCATATTTTTCCCTTAGGGAAGAACAAATTAGAAAGCCTTCAACAGAACAATCAGGGTAGAAAGTGTGAGAGTGAGAAAAAGGATATTTTGATTCTTAAAATATTCTTTATTTTCGATTTCAAGAATCTTCCAAAGTTTAATGAGATTAATGTGGGAATATTTTAAGGGTCCAAGAAAAGGTTAACTTTTTTTTAAACTGTTTTTCCCACACCAAGTTTAAACTGGGTGCAATTGGGGAACCACCCGTCTAGGCTGCGGCCTGTGAGAATTTCCCTAGGTTTATACGGCACTAAACCCTGGTAGAACTTTCGGCCGCCGATGGCGGACTCCGGTGGCGATGGGGACGGCGGCGATGGGAGTTTGACGGTGCGAATCTTGCGGTTCGATCAACCTTGTGACCGGCGCCGATACCCCAACACTATCTCGGCGGAGGAGCTGAGCAAGGAGCATGGCGACGGCACTCTTGCGCCCTCACGCGACGTGTATGTTTGTGGTATGTACGCAACTTAGCTGCCTATCTTGTGTCTCATGCCTCTCTCACGCAGCACTTCCTGCAAGCCAGCGCGATGGTCTTGAGAAACTGGCCCGGGGTATGCCCCCGTTTGATCCGTCACTGCCAATATCTCGAGAGAACCTCTTCGCATGGCTCATCACCAACGTCGTCCCTTGGGACGATCCTCTTAAACGCCTTGCATTCGATCTGGCTGGATTCTTGTTGATAGCCGATCAGGAATGGATGGATGGGCTGCTCACAGCGATTCAAAACGCCGGGGACTCGTCGAGGCCTCTCTCGGCCGTGCTTGAGTATGCATCTCCAACCACAGTACGTCCAAAAGTTGACTATCCACTGAGTGTCAAGGAGGCGCTACAGGTGGCCTGGGATCGCCCTTACCAGGATCCTTGCAAAGTGTTGGACTACGTTGCAGAGGTTATCAATGGCTTGTTTGACGAGTGGCACAACGATATGGGGCGGCTTGCGGCATGGACGATGGTGCTGCAGAGCTCTGGGTGGGGAAAGTCAAGGACCATGCGAGAGCTGGCTACCAAGGGCTTTTACGTAGTGTACGTCTCCTTTCTCAAGGTCGGGTCTACAGGCATCCCGGATCAAAGTGCTGTGGCGCAGCAGCTGATTAATAGCAAAATGAGCAACGATCCACGGGCCGTGGCAGCATGGGTTCTCGCCATTTTAACTCAGATCAAAGAGAAATCTCCAGAGGAGTGGATGAAGGAGCAGTCGGAGCCACATTTTGGCGAAGCCGTGGCTATAAGGTTATCTTCTCTCCTATCTTCTCTTTTTGCTTGCTGACTTTGTGCTCGTTCCTCCAGCTACCTTAAACTCAGTGAGGAGGTGCTGGAGGAGGTGCGCGAGTGCAAGCCGGGTCCAGGACAGGACTGGGATGGTGTGAAGCTAACTCACTGGATCCGGACGACGGCCAACAAGATTTTCGTACCCGATAAGAAGATCATTGTCTGCATGGACGAGGCGTCTTCATGGTTTGGACAGGTGGCCGGTTCATTCCTGGCCTGCAGGAGGTTTTTTTCGTGCATTCCACGCAACTTAAAGGTGTTCGGACTGGTAGCAGATACTGCCGGAAAGCTCGGCCTCGTCATCCCTCCGCAAATGCAAGATCGCAGCTCCCGGGCAAGAGCTCCTTCGACCAGGTTCTTTGAGCCGATCTGGGTGGTGGGGAGCTTGTGGTGGGACTTCGAGCAGGCAAAGAAGCTAATGTCCTTGCAGCTGAAGACAAAGGATCCGACCACCCCCTTGGCAGAGCTGACGAAGGAGTTGTTCAGGTGGGGGCGGCCCCTGTGGCGTGCTACTCTCGACAATGGCGCAGATGAGATGGAGGTTGTGACGTTCGCCATGCAGAAGCTTCTGGGGATGCCCATGGAGAGACTGAAGCCGGTCGGTGAGGAATCGCTGACAAACGCAATGGGCATTGCCGTTCTGGGGTGGCGGCTGGCCTCGAGGTGGTAGCCTGGTCCGAACTAGCCAAGGACATGGTGGCGGGCAACATGCGGACGGTGAGCCACGTAAGTGGCGACCGTGACTGCGTCTTCACCGCGGACGCGTTCGAGCCTATATTGGGGGAGGCAGCTGCGCGCATACTGGACAACAAAGATCAGTTGAATGCGGTGCTGGAGGTGGCGCAGCGGGTTTTCAAGCAACCGTACGTTGTGGAGGGGCCTCGAGGGGAAATAGTTGGGCGGATTGTGCTGCTTCTGGCAGTACATGCCTGTTGCAAGCACGTCGTCGAAGCCAATAAGTTTACTCACCCCGTCAAGCTCCGGGACTTTGTGACCAAGCTGTGTGGGAAACCGCTGGAAGTAAAAGGGCTCGTCTGCTTCAACCGCTTCATTCTCCTCAACAGAAAGCTGATCACCAAGGAGGACTTGCTCTTATGCTTTCTGGGCAGTGTGGCGATCATACCGCAACGGAACCAGGAAGCTTACGATGCACTGCTTCCAGTGCTGATGCCTGGGCCGGATGGGACGTATGAGCTTCGTGATGACAGAATGCAAGCCGTGCCGGTTCAGATTCGAAACAGAGACACCTACTGTGTGAACATTCAGAAGCTTGCCAAGGCTGCATTGGAGTATGCTCTCTTTCTCACTTGCTTTTAATCACCAGTCTTTTTGTGTTCATTGCAGGTGGGATGACGAAGCACCGGTTCCAGGAGCAGCCAGCTCCAGCCAGGCCAGCCGCAGCCAAGTTCCACAGGTCCTCCCTGAGGCTGACGAGGGAGTGCTCCAACACATGGACGTGGATCTGGACGAAGCTCCCCAGCGCCCTGTGCGTAGCTGCACACAAATCAAACGGCAGAGTCCGCGTGGTGAAGATGGTGATGACATCGAGGATGAAGATGAAGACAAACTCAAGGATCCAACATATAGAGATATAGACGATGACAGTGATGAGAATGAAAGTGATCAGGAGGAGCCATCTCGGAAGAAGAGGCGAGTTGTCACGGATGGTGAGACGTTGGGGAGTCCTATTGCCATCTACATGCACTTGAGAGGACGCAAAAAGTCTTCGGTTGAAATTTCAGAAGATGGTAGAGTGTTAATTCTACACCAACTGGCATATTTGTTTCTTGGGGTAAGTGGATAGAAAAGTATTTTAATGAGCTCATTTTCTAATTTTTTGCAGGAAAAGATTCTTAATGCTCTTATGCAATTGTGCACAGCATATTTTAAAATGGAAGATCATTTAGTGGGGAAACGAGGTGACATAGTGAGACACAACTTGTTCAATTACTTTAAATTGCCCAAGACAAAGGTAAAGAAGCCTTAGCGCAATTTGAGAGTTGTTGGATTCCCAAGTTAATCACTGAAATTGTCTTTGCTGACTAAACATTATTTTCTACAATACCTTTCCGTTTTATGTTTGTCTTGTGTTTTAACACAGGCTGCTGTGGACCAAGTCCTCGTGACCAGCAAGCCGAAGACTTGTGTCGAGAAGGTTGAATGTCCACTCGGAACCAAAGGCTCGTCCTCAATCTGATTTTCCGAATCAAAGTCCACCAGCTCTGTCTTGTCGTTTCCTGCTAAGCATCCCAAAGCTGTGGGAGAATGCAGCAAAAAGAACAAGAATTCTTGCTGCTGCAAGATATTGCCAATAGGTGAGTAAATAAAGCTTCTTTTCCGCTTTTCATTCTTCTAGGCATTCTCTAATAACAGGAGCAGATGGTACGAGAGTTTGAACAAGTAAAGGAACGGTGCAGTATTTGATGTTGGTTTGGCTAGTCCTTGTCAATGAGTTACTTGGGAGAATCTTTTGGTCATGTCAAAGCAAAGCCTAGTAAACACCTTGGATGAGAAGCAGCAGCCGGGGATTGGCGATGGCACCACATTCTCTCTGGAGTTCTTCGTCTTGACTTTCGTAAAGCTCATGAGCCAGAGATTTGTCCCTTGATCCCCATCCTAGTTTCCAGCCTCCTCGGTGTGAAAGTTCTCGTGTTTTGCTCCATATTTTGGTGTACATTCTAAGATGATGTTTAAAGTGGACCTCAACACAAACTCTTGCAGGGGATTTAGAATGCATCACACGGCGCCTGAGAAGAAACGCATTCATCCAAATACCTATATGATGATGGCTCAGGAAGCCTACGAAGAGAGGCAGCAATACTTACGGCTGATTTCTCGAAGTCGTTCGCGAACAGTAGCACTATTTCCATGGTCCAGACCAAGTCGTTTATGAAGCATGCCACTGTGTTTATGTTGATGTCACCAACCCCAAGCGCCTCCCAGTCATCTTTGTTGAGGAATTCCCCAGCCAGGCCCGGGGCTTGCTCCTTAGTACTCACAGCGATCACCGTCTCTAACGACCCAGCATATCCTCGCAGCTTATCCACAGTAGCACCAGGTAGAAACAACCCCACCTTTTTCATGATCCCAATGCCCCGGAGATCCACTACAACACATCTCCTGATCCCCTGCAGCACCGCCTCACCCAACTCAAGTATGGCATCTTTTTCCTTGAGCCTCGTATTGGAGCTGGCTGCATTTGTCACAAACTCGTGTGGCAAAATCTCCAGCGGGAAGTTGTTGCAAACATCGCGCTCAAGGTTCCATTGCAATGCCTTGTACTTGAGTGCCTTTGAAGGAACCGAGAGTAGCACACAATTTGTAGGAACCCTGTTATGCCAGATGTCCAAACATTCCTCAGATGATCTTGCGCAATCTATCTCCTTGTTACGCCACGCGTGCATAAACTCCTTATATTCCTTGGATAATTTTGCACGATCTATCTCTCGATCTTCATCGCTGATCACCACCGAGTCCATCTTGTATCTGATACCAAGCTCGAAAGTAGAAAGGCAGCCGGTGGCCTCGATGCTCTCAATCTGGCACGGCATGAGCTCAGTCACGGACGGTGGCATGTCCGGGTCGTAGTCTAAGTCAGGGCGGCTATACGGGCAGCTCCAGTAGGAGCCATTGCAATGCTTGCGCTGGTGAATGGTGCATTTGGTACCTCGGTGAGCCAACGCAAGCAGGGCCCCAAATTCTTTCATCAACCAACCATGGCTGCCGATGCTGTAATAGGAACTGTCAAAAAGAATGAGGGATGTGTTGATCTTGTCATAGTGCAAGACAAGTCGCGGTGCAGGTTGAGTAGTTGTTAATGATCCATGGCCACTGCACAAGCTCCTCTGGAAAAACTGACGAGCCGCAGCTGTTCTAGAAAATGCGATCGTTTTGGGATGCCTCTCAACCGTAAAGCTTCTTACCTGACCGCCACATCTCCTCCCCTGGCTAGGGTTTATAGCGGATCCCTGCAGGATATTTCCTGAAGTTGCTATTTTGGTGCTCGATAGCTAAACAGAGCGGAAGAATGAAATATATTCAAGATGTAGCTCATTAAGATGATTGGTTCTGGTTCCAGGAACCAAATCCAAAGTGCAGCCAGTACAAACGTCATAGTTGAGATGTTTGACCGTTATCAATTTTGAAAATTGTTAATCGCGTCTTTGCAAATTGGCCAAAGTTTTGCCACTGGTGTCAACCCATCCTTTTGGAGGAGGACAAGCCGGTTCCACAAGAGCTTAAACATCCTAATCCCTTGCCTTGTACATGGGCATATCTCTCATGAAAAAGTTGACCTGGAATTTCATGATATCTGGAATGCTCAACATCAAAGGCGAGCAGAAGGATTAGTATACCTCCTTATTGTGAGAATAAACGCGCAAGTTCGGCGACACATAGCACCTTTAACTTTGTTCGAGATCTCGAGACTCCAATGCTCAAAACGTTAACGTCCTTCTCTCTGAAAATTTTCCGCAAGAAGAAGCACTTGATCGTCGAGTGTATACCGCTCCACACTCTTGTCAAATGCTTTCACGGACATAATCTCCCTTATCATTGATCTCCAGGCGCCAATTAACGTTCAACCTACATTTTTCTGACTTCCATGATTCCCATACGTCTCTTAAAGCAGAGTGCGCGAGACTGCTCAATAGATGACCGACTGGTATTCCCTACTTATGTGTATATATTCCCTTGACCCATAGACTAAAAGTCTTGAGGTGTCAGCACCTAGGCAAGCGAAAATGACATAGTTATTGAGACATTAGGATCTGGTGAGTATTCTTAGTGCCTAGGCAAGCGAAAATGACAAAGTTTGCGACATTCTACGGCCAACAGAATCTTTACCATTGACATGATTTGACTTTTATTGAGATGGATGGATGTTCTTGGATTTACCTTTCTTTAGTGGCCTGAGAGTTTCATCTCCTGGAAAGAAACTCTTTTGTGGAACTGGATATTTGCCACAGTTGTCGACCCATCCTTGTGGAGGAGGACAAGCCGGTTCCACAGCTTTTCTTAACTCATAGAGCTCACTTTGGGTATACCTTAGGACGTGGTACCCTCGTTTCTCACTGGATTCAATAGATTTCTTGAGCAATCTCACCAATTGCCACTTCCAGCCGCTGTCAAATTCGAGCCCAAAAATCCTAAAGTAAACGTCCCAATCCCTTGCCTTGTACACCTCTTTCATCAATTGCATCAGCTTCTTGGTCATGGCTTCGGATGGAAACCCATATCTCTGGTCAAACTCCTCCGTTGACCTTGTCATCTTGAAAAAGTTGACCTGGAACAGGATCAGTCTCATGGATGTCTTGCAAGCTTGGAATGTTTGCCTGATTCGCAGCTCAGAGGGATAGTTCTCCGGCTCAATGTACGCCAGATGTGGGAAGTCTTTCAGGCACCATAGCACCCTTCTGGTAAGGGATTCGCCCAGAAACATCTTGGAGACCTGTGGCTTTTCTTTGTCTTTGGGTTGCCATTCAACATCCTTAGTAACTAGCAAGTAAGTGAGGAACTCCCCAAGGTCTGGGACTGCATTCTTTCCCCGGAGTTCTATGTTGTCAATGAAATCTTGAACTTTGTGTTGTATAAGGTTTGCCAACTCTTGGTCGTCCCTCACCAGCTTAGAAAACAAGTGATAGAGAAGGCAATATCCCTCCAGGGCAAACTCTGATGCCTTCATAAGCTGGTGGCTGAATCCACTACTCTTCAAGAAAGCTGCCTTGTGCCGATCACAAGACTGCACAAGCCTGAGCACCATCAAGTTCATCATCACTGGAAGAGTTTCAAGCACGACTTGAGGGCTCCATGTTTTGACATGCACCAGGTTCATAAGCGAGCTCTGCATTAAACCCTTAGCACGCTTGAAGTGCTCATCATCTAAGGCGAGCGGAAGGAAATACTGGAAGCTCACTCCGAGAAGGCTCTTGTTGTGAGAATAAACGCTGAAAGACTCGTGAGAGAGCACGTCCAGCGACACAACTGTCGGCTTTAACTTGTTCAAGCTGTCGAGGTTGACTCCAATGCCCAAGACGACGTCTTTCTCTCTGAAAGTTTTCCGCAAGAAGAAGCACTTGAGCCGCCTTTCAAGAAGTCGAGTGTATATCTCCACACTCTTGTCAAACGCTTTTACGGACATAATCTCCCGGTCATCGAGCTTGTCAATGATCTCCAGGCGGCAATCAACGTTCAACCTCTCACACATCATATCTACGACATTTTTTAACGCTGGCTTTCCATGCTGCTTTCGTTTTGGCCGCGCCAAAGCCTCCAACGGCAAAACATCCTCATCACCATCAACATCTAACCCCAAAACCCCAAACAAGTTTGTGTCCTCCTCCTTCTTTTCTATCTCCTTGCACTTGATAACTGCCGTATCCACTGCCGAGAAACTCACATTGAATCCACACTTTGGACACTGGTAACGTTCTACACGCGGTTTCAAGCCTCGGGGACCTAAACACATCTTCGAGTAAGACTGTAGATTCACGTTGCCGCCACCATGTGACTGCTCAATATTGTCGCTTGAGAAGAGGCTCAAGAGCTGAAGAAAGACATAGCCGAGCAAGTAGCCTGGAGTATAACCCCCGAAAAACTGGTGATCGAGAATATCGCAGCAGATCCTAGACCCCATGACGTTTGGGTGAGGCACCGGTGTCTGGATGGTTACCTTTGGGGGATCCGTTGGATACATTGCCGGTATCTTGACATCCAGGTGGAGCTTCAAGCCCTGATAAGGGCCGCAAAGAGGTGACAAAACCAAGCACATCCGCTGCATGTCTTGCTCGTCCACAACAACGTCAATGCCCTTCAATGGCTCCTTGGCCAGATCCTTGAGATCACGGTGTAGCCGGACTTTCCATGGCGGCGTTGCCATGGTTAGGGTTTGATAAGGTTTAGGGTGTGGGGTTTATCATATCCAAAGGTTTGATATGAATATAAACTTTAAGATGAAATCATCCCTATGCCTTGCCTTTGTAGCTCAGTGGTAGAGCGCCAGTCTTGTAAACTGGAGGTCCAGAGTTCGATCCTCTGCGGAGGCAATTTTTATCGCATTTTATTTAGACTTTCCCGCCAATCCACGTGTCAAGCAAAGAGCATTCCTAAATTTTTTATCCTTGGGCCCTTATAAAAGAAGAGCGCAGTGGATCAGAAAATTAGGGTTCTTGGGCGGCATTGTGGGGCGGATTTTTGGATTCCCAGAGATGATGCGTCGGGCGATCAATCGGGGCAACAGCGCCGCTGTGCCGGCCACTGTAGCGGCATCGGCAACATTTGTGAGTAATCCAATCCCTCCTCTCGGGCTCTCTCTCTCTCTCGATCTTGTGCTTCTCTGCTAGCAAATTGGGGGGATTATGCCTGGAATCGCTGCATGCCGGGGCTGGATTTGTTTGCCCGGAGAAATCAGACTGTCCGTTTTGCCCCCTCTATATGCAGATGTGCTCCAGATTTCGCTATGGCGCATTGTGGTTGAGTGACCTTGGATGGGTACGACCCCCTTGCATTGCATGGCCTCCCACCAAAGCGTGTTTGCCTGGTCAATTCTCCTAGATCTCTCTTGTTCTTCCTTTCTTGCCTCTCTAAACCCGATCTTCTTTTTCTTAGATGAGGTTCTTCAAGCCGTGCGCCGCGTCTAGCGCCCAGCAAGCGGCGGGCAGCACTCCAAGCTCCTCGGACAAGGAGCCATCGTCGAGAGAGGGCTTCGTGCACACCCCATCGCTGGAGAAGGAGATGAAGACCAAGGACATCTTCAATGCCGCCAAGCGCAAGGAAGCGGAGGCCGCCGCCGCCGCCGCCGCCGAGAAGAGCAAGGAACGAGCCGGCGCTGCGGCCTATGGTACTGCGCAGCACAAGTAGGAGGATTGGGCGTCGCTCTGGCGCACAGTCCCACAGGTTTGGAGTGATTTCCTTCGCTCGTTTGATATCGACGAAAACAGGTAGAACTCTAGTACTGCTCTCTTTCTTTCTAGGTGGTGGTGGTGGAATCATTTAGGTGGTGAAGCTCAGCTCAGCTCACCGCAAGGATCGTCTCTCTCGATCGATCTCTGCGAGCTAGAGAGGCACAAGAAAAGAGAAAAACTTAAAGAGAGTGGATTTGTATATGTATAGCTCCTGTTTTTGGGACTTGGGATCAATCAATCAGTAGACTTTGGTGGATGATGAACTTTTCTTTCTACAGTCGTATCGTACTACATCAAGATCGAATCTAGCTATAGCAACACTCTATTATTTGATCCAGCTATGAAAGTTTCGGTATCTATCACTCACGGATCACGCACTACAGGGGCTTTTGCTCGCTCTCTCTCCAGCGTTGTCAATCAGTGTGTCTGGAATGGAGGCATCAATAATGTCGTGTCGTGTGGATGTGGACATGCGCAGATTTACATGATTGATTGACTGGCTCTTGCGATTAGAAAAATCAAGGACGAGAATGAATTTTTTTTCTTTTGTTTCACAAGCTCGAGGCTCTTCTCTCTCGTTCAGTCTATTTACATGTTGGCCAGAAGAACAAGAAGACCAGCGTGCTCGCTTTCCACGGCAATGCTCGCTACCTTTCTCGCGCGCTCCACATCGTTATGGACTTTGCAAGCGCTGAGGAGCGACACCCACGCAACCACGCATGGCTCGAATGGCATCGTTTTCACCACCTCCTCCGCCTCGTCCACCAGCCCGGCTCGTCCCAGCAGATCGATCACGCACAGGAAGTGATCCGCGGTTGGAGTCGCGAAGTAGTCCCCCGCGATGGAGACGAAGAGCAAAAGTCCTGTTTGGAAGATCCCACCGTGGCTGCAAGCTGCGAGAACGACGATGAAAGTCACTGCGTCGGGACGGAAGCCTTCGTGATCCATCTTCCCGAACAGCTCCAGCGCCTGGAGCTCGTCCCCGGCGCCCGCGTACGCCGCAAGCATTGCGTTCCACGACACGACGTTCTTGTTGGCCATGGCGTCGAAGAGCGCTTGAGCTTCTCCCAGGCTCCCGCAAGATCCATACATGTTGATGAGCGAGTTCCACACCACGGGGTCTCTCGCCACATCGCTGCTGCTCGACACCTCCTCGTGCAAATGCCGGCCCTCTCGTAGCGACGAGGAGCTCGCGCACGCGTCGATCACGCACGCGAAAGTTATCTCGTCGGGACGAGCGCCTTCCAGGTCCATCCTGAGGAACAGCCTCACCGCCTCTTTCTCTTGCTGTTCTTGCTGCGAGTAGCCAGTGATGACCGTGTTCCACGACACAGTGTTCCTGGAAGGCATTCTCTCGAACAGAGCTCGGGCTTCCTCCATGTCTCCGGCCTGGGCATACGCGGTTACCACAGCGTTCCACGAAGCGGTACTCTTTACCGGCATTCGATCGAACAGGACCCTTGCTTCTGTCAGGTTCCCGTTTTGAGCGTAGCCGGCGATCATCGCGTTCCACGACACGACGTTCCTGTGAGGCATACTATCGAACAATTCCCTCCCTTTGTTCAGCTGTCCGTCTTGGGCATAGGCCGTGAGCATTGCAGTCCAAGATACTACATCTCGCTGTTGCATCTGATTGAAGAGATCCATTGCCTCTTTCAGCTGGCCTGCGCTCGCGTACGCGACCACCATCGTCGTCCAGGTCGCGGAATCCTTTTTCGCCATGCTATCAAACAGTGCTCTCGCTTCTCTCAAGTTTCCATGTTGGGCATATGCTGCAACCATTGCATTCCACGACACGATGTTTCTATCGGGCATTATCTCGAAATGTAGTCTCGCATTATCAATCTCACCAGCTTGTATGTATGCTTTCAGCATCGCTGTCCACGAAACAACGTTCTTCCGCGGCATACTTGCAAACACGGCCTTTGTCTCACCAAGATCACCCCTCGAGGCATATGCGGAGAGAATGGTAGTCCACGAAACTACGTCCGGCGTGGGCATGCTCTTGAACATTACGTGAGCTTGATCCATATCCCCGGCTTCACAGTAAGCGGCGAGCATTGTGTTCCAAGTCACAAGGTTCGGGCATGGCATCGCCTCAAACAATGTCCGAGCATCCTCCAGATGCCCGTTCTTGGCATATGCTGCGATCATGGCATTCCAAGAGACAGCAGTGGGTCTTGGCATAGCGTCGAAGATCACTTTGGCGTCGCTAGCTTGACCATTCCGCGCATACGCAGTGATCATTGCATTCCAGGACACGGCGTTCTTCTCGGGCATGAAATCAAAGAGCCGCCGCGCTTCGCCCAAATGCCCGTTCTGGGCATATGCGGCAATGAGGATGTTCCAAGAGAAGAGATTCGGCGCCGCGATGGAATCAAAGGCGCGGCGTGCCTCCTCCACGCTGCCGCATTTTCCGTACATGTCCACCACCAGATTGGAGACGTAGCGGTCCGAGAAGTGGCCGTTGTCGATAACATGGGCGTGGATCCGGCGGCCCTCGACGAGATCTCTGGTCTCGCCGCATCGCTTGAGCCGCGACGCATACACATCTTGCTGCTCCACCGAGATCGCGGTGGACATCCACCATAAACCAGACCTAGATCCAATCCAACGGCGCCCATTGGCGCGCCAGCAAAGCTATGAATTCTATTGGGTATAAATTGCGAATCGCGACGCTGTGAAGAACAGGCCAAAGCCGACCGGAATCGCCAAAGCTCTTGCCTAAAGCTGCAAAACAAAGCCACAAAACTACAAGCAAGAGGGCAGTATATATCGCCACCTCCGCGGCATCTCTGAATCATGTCGATGGCACGGAGGAGGCTGCTCCTTCTCGTCGTGCTATTCTCAGTCTTCCTCTTGCAGCTCTTGCATTTGGCCGAATCCAATCACAAGCACGGCCACGGTCGAAGAGGATGTGGGAAGAAATGCAAATCCACGGCCAGCTGCAAGAAGGGGCTCGTGTGCTTACAAGGTGAATGCAAGGATGATCCAGACAAGGAGACCAACATCTGCAACAAGAACAAGAACAAGAAGAAGAAGCAGCCCAAGAATCCATCAGATCCTCCTTCTTCTCCCCCGGAGATCGAAGCCCCGCCGCCGCCACTCGAGCCAGCTCCTGGCCAAGGGCAGTGCCGAGCCTCGGGATTCCTCCATGCTCCAAAGAACTCCAAGGGATGCAAGGATTGCTGCCAGGTCGGGAAGTCCTACCCGCAGTTCAAGTGCTCGCCTCCGGTGACAAAGTTCACGAAGGCGATTCTCACCGTGAACGATTTCCAGCCGGGAGGGGACGGCGGCGGCGCCTCCGAGTGTGATTCCAAGTTCCACTCCAACAAAGACTTGGTGGTGGCGCTCTCCACCGGATGGTTTGCCAAGGGGAAGCGTTGTGGGCGATTTGTGATCATCCATGCGCCCAACGGCAAGAGCGTCCGGGCGAGAGTGGTGGACGAGTGTGACTCTCTTCGTGGCTGCGACGCCGAGCATGGATTCTATCCGCCATGCCAGCCCAATCTGGTGGATGGATCGCCCGCAGTTTGGCGCGCGCTGGGGGTCTCGAAAAATAGCGATAAGTTTGGCTGGATGGACATTACTTGGTCGGATGCGCAGGGCGCCTCGGATTAAAATTCTGTCCTTCGCGAACAATAGAATAATACAACTCAATTATAATATAATTGATTTTATTAATATTTACTAGTCTTTAGAGCAATGCAATGGCCACCATTTTTATAGCAGCAGCACAAGCTGATCGTCTAAAGAGTTTTCTAAGAAATCTAACCAATATCTGCTTGTGGAGCTTTGATCTTCCCATGCCCCAATTTTATTCTCACACTTCTGTGTGATTTTTACGACTTTACCTCACTTTTTTTGCTTGGTGTTGGCTGCTTGTAGTTGTCTCTTTTAAAGCATGGAGAGATCCTTCCCTTCTTCCTGGAAACCTTAGCTTTCTTCTTACCTTTTCTTTGTTACCAGCCTAGGACTTGGTAACTGTGTTTTTACCCTCTAGCTTCACCCAAAGTCAAACCACTGCCCAAGTGTGACCTGTGTGGAGTCCCTTTCCTCGCTCGTTGCCGGCCAGGGAAAATCCCCTCCGTCCACGTCACCACCTGAGGCGGTGTGGACGGGCAGATCCCCACCAGGCCCAACCGCTGTTGGAACACTTCTCCATCTCCATGCTCTTCTTCCTCGGACTCCTTTTCCTCCATAACGTTTTCCGTTTTCTCTCCTCGATCGGTCGCCTCCTCTACTGGCAGATCAGCTGGAGCGCTGGGCGCATTGTTTGGCGTAGCGATCTTCTCCTGATCGCCGGGCGTGGGCGTGGCTAGCAGTTCCTGGTGCTGCTGGGATTGGATTTGCTGCGTGTCCAGCTTGAGCTTCTTCCTGGATCTAGATCTCTTGTGAGACACGCCGTCTTCCGGGTAGACCCGGTGGTTGCCATTGCCGACTTGGGGCTTTGGCTGGACCATGAAAGTGAGATCGTTGTGCTTGCTGATGCCTTGGAGCTGCACAGTGAGATCGAAGAAGAAGAAGAGTTTTGGAAAGAATTTGGTGTTGGGCTGCCTACCTTGCATCCCAGCGAGCAGTAGCGGAAGCTCTCGTTGAGGCTCCTCTCGCAAATCTCGCAAGTCTTGGTGACGCCCTTGGCGAGCTTGGTCTGGGGCCTGCCGTTGAGGAACACCACCCGGGCGCTGTTGATGATGTAGGATTGAATGCCGCTCAAGTCGAGCACCTTTTGGATCTCTGACACGCGAATCACGTCGTGGTAGGACGATCGACGAATCTGTACATAGAAAGAAACCCACTGTCAGGCATTATATACAAGGCTTCCCTTGAACTCTCTCGATCAATGTCCACCATATCCATATCGGGCAATTGCCCACCTCGGGTAGCCGATCACTTTCGTCTCGGACACCCGAACAACCACAGAAGTTTCTTTTCATCGCTTTTGCGTACCTGCACGACGTGGTGATTCTTGTGGCAGAATGTACAGCCAAAACAGAGTGGCTCGTCCATGCAATCCAGGCAGTAGAGGTTGCATTCGATTCGAGCGGCGCTGGTGGACGCGGCGGCCTCGCCAGCGGCCGGGGACGAGGTGGGGGAGCTGTGATTGTTGCAGGGCTCGAAGAACTTGGCGGAGATGAGGGGCTTGAGCCAAGGGGGGCAAATTGGATAGCTCTTGTGCTGGGCCACCTGGAAATTGGGCAAGAAATTCGATCAATTCCCTCCAGGCATTGGCTCCACAGAGTTGAAATTCATAGAATTCATCGCAATCAGGATGCATGGTCACACTCCAAGCACACACCAACTGCAATTGAACCGATCAATCATGCAAAGAAGAAGAATTTACCATTCTCTTCCTCTCCAGGCTCTGTAGTGTCGAATTCCGGTAAGAATTGCTCGAGCCCGCAAGAGGGCTGGGCCGAGATACAATGCCGTCACTACTCACCAATTGTCACGGCCCAGATGCATTGCGCAATGGAGCATCGCCGTGCGAATCAAGAGCACGAAATGCAAGTCTTGCGGTGCAAGAAATTCCTTACGATTTGTTTACAGCGAAAGCGGCCCGGGAACGAAGCAATCACACTTATCAGTGGCTCGCACTCCAATTCATTCACACAGCGCTCGGCATGGAATGGGAAATTCGGGGCGACAAGCCATGGAAATCGGTCTGGGCGAGAGGAAGAGAAAAGGTTTGATGAAGCAAAGGTGTTTAAAAAGAGCTCCAGAGACGGTCGCGGCATCTCCGATAAACCAACGGCCCCGATGCGTCGGGATCCAACGGCGGGAGATGTGCCTAGATTTTACAGTATGACATGGGGGGCGTGCTGACGTGGGCCAGTCACGCGTGCGCATTATGGACTCAAATAATTGGCCGAGCGATTTAATATCTCACGGTTTTACCCATGGCTATGAATTTAATCAAAGATATATCTGTGGTTTAGTGGCCCCGCAAAGGTTGTAGTCTTGCTCTTGTTGTGCACATTACATGGAGAATTTGGGGGGAATTTTTTCTGGATAGGTGTAACTTTGGTTTGGTCGTGCTCGTAGCTAGGCCGGTTGGATTCGTGAAAGAGGACTTTATTTTAATTTTTTTCTAGACGTATATACCACCTTATTATCAACAAAGTTGGGTTAATTAGATGCAATGAAATTAAGCTTTACCAAGATTTTTTAGCTACGAGGAAGAAAAGCTTGGCTTTCACCACCCTCTAAGTGACTGGTGCGATGTTGAATTTCTTGTAGCGAATAAGATCTGCCTAAGAAGATTCCCAGCTGATTTGGTTTGCGACTTGTTTAAACTTTAGCTAATCCGGGGTCCCCTCCCCCCACCACCAGTGTATAATCTTTTCTTTGACGATCTATGTGCTCCATGATTGCTCCTGGGATCCAAGAACAAAACCAAAGAGGAGCGAGCATTTCCTCTTCCTTGACTGGATCCTCAAACAAAAGTTGCCACTGCTGCCTGTGATGTGCTTCACGTTTCTTTGCCTGTTCACCAGTTTAAAGCATTGTATCTGTGTGAGTTTTTGGTGAAAAAAACTGACCGGACGGATACGATTCCAACTTGGCCCAGCGCAGCAATATAAAATCAAAGAATATTTCAGACCTGCAACGTCACCCAAAGCGAAAATCAAAAGCTTGGGTTAGTTGATTCCCAAAGAAGAAGTAGCCATCCCTTTCAAGTGGACTAACTCACTCCGCCACTAACTCTCACACTTTGCGCTGAGCTGAGCCGAGCCGAGCTCTCGAGAGGGAGAGCTTTTGTGTGGTAGCATATCCACCAACTAGAGGCATAAACAAGATGGGAGGAATCAAAAGCTTTGTCATACGGAAAGGCAGCCGTACCTCTGAAAGGAGCGATGAGCGAGCAAAGCACGCTTAGTGTACACTTGTCTCTCGCTCCTCTCGTCGAGCGAGCACTCGCGAGCTGACTGATTGATTGAGGCCCCGGGATGGAAATGAGCTGCTGCGTGATCTCGTTGATCTCGTTGGGTGGAGATTCTTGTGAGAGAAACAAAAGGTTGTTCCATCGGGCCAAGGGCGGGTGGCGGTTGCTATAGTTTGATCCCAACACGACAAAGCGCCACCTCCGAAAGCAAGCCAAACCGACTGTGCTGTGCTTGGAAAGCGTTGTCCCTCGAGCCACCTACAAGCGTACAGCGTTAATATATACGTTTCCTCGGAATTCCTCTGTGCCCCACCTTTGCAAAGCCAGAAGAAGTATAGCGAGCCAGGCCCACGACTTGTTAACATCAGCCTCCACAAACCAACACAGCGGCCTCGCCCTCTCAAGCATATCTTGTGATAATGCTTCGCAGTGGTCGAGAGAAATCGAGTTCGTGACAAAGAAAAGCGGAAGGGATTGACCATCCTCTTTCCTCCTCCTCCTCCTCTTCCTCCTTTTCTCGACCACTAGTGGGTTTTTGATGATCCACTACATATGGTTTTGACGTTGGCTCCACACGAAGAAAGTTAGAGAAGACAAAAGGGAATGACGCTATACTAGAATACGTACACATCACGTAGTGATCTCAGTTTTCCATTTTTGTAACACAGTGATCTGAGTGGCCCCTGTACCTGTTCGAGCACGCAAAAAAGAGTATTGTTACGCTTAGAAGACTAGATACAGAATCTCGTACCTTGCAAAAGAGTGCAATGCACACACTGAAATCTGCGTGAGATGCCCCTCGACATTCATATCCTCTCCTTGGTAAATACTGTGACAACGTGATCTGGAAAAGTCAGCTCTATCTCGTCACTAGCATCAACTCAAAACAATGTCAACACTGAGAGCAAGGGAATCAACTGCTTCTTTGAAAAATTCAAGCACTATCAGGGATCGAATCACCACCTTGCACTTCTGGAAAAGCCTCTATCCGCAGGACCTGGAACACAGCCCTTCAAAGTTGTCAAGTATCACTGTCTTTCACCGCACCTCTACTGAGGTAAAAAGCATGCCTTGTGAGTGAGAGAGAGAGAGAGGGAGTACGACGGCATCATCCATATCGTACCTCCGAGGCGAAACAAACACGCAAAGGAAAGACCTTATTCACCGGATTTTTCTTTCGCAATGCACGATGAAAGAAACTCTCCTCTGACACGTAACACATCTTCGGGTATTTTTTCCTGATCCTGTGCAACTTAAACACTGGGAAGTTAGTGCAAAGCCACCGGCTGGATCAGGGATGGGCTCGCAAGGAAAACAGAGGCACCAAATCCATGGAGGAGCATCGCAAGGAACTTTCCAACCTCGCTGCGATTACGAGAGAGCTAGATAGATAGTAATTCCAATCAAGTAGCTAAGAACATTGGCAAGAAAATAGCGTTATGGAGGTTGATAAAGTGGAAGTCAAGCTGAATTGGAACGATTGACATGCAATCACAAGGTACTTTGCCACTTTGCCACAGGGATTGGGCATGAGAGCGTGTTCTTTAGCTCTTGGGAAATCTGGTCTCAGCACTGGAAGCCGGGGTTTATCCATGACTACTGCTTTTGGAAAGAAGCTGACAACGCTGGATGATTTCGGGTGCACTCTAGATAACAGAGACAATTTCCGGCTGAAGTTTCCATTCAGCTCAAATGTTCAACCAGAGCGAGTGGGATTTATATGAACTTCAACAGCATACTTTTGGATCTCATTAGAAGGAACCATATTAATGTCGAAATTGAGTTGCTTGTAAATCCCAACTTTACAAAGAATGTAAAATGAAGTCTGTGTGAGTTACCGCAATAGTTCTTGCTCAATACTGTGATCTGGGTAAGCTGTATCTCATCACTAGCATCAACATAGAACAGTGTAACTCAACTAGAATCACCATTTCGCACTAGACAAGCGTCTCTCCGCAGAACCTGGAACACAGTCCTTCAAGTATCACTGTCTTGCAAGAAAAAGTATACCTTGTGTGTGAGAGCGAGTGGGAGAGGGACAACAGCATCGTCCATCTCGTACCTCAAAGGCGAAACAAACACGCAAAGGAAAGACCTTATTCACCACATTTTACTTTTGCAATGCTCGATGAAATGAACTCTCCTACGACACGTAAAACTTCTTCGGGTGTCTCTTCGTGAGGCAAGTGTCCGCACTCTTTGATCTTGTGAAACGTAGACTTGGGAAACACTTTGGCGAGCTTTTCTGCGTTCCAAGCAGGGACCAAACGATCTGTGTCTCCCGTTACTATCAGAACTGACGGGCGAGAAAACCAATTACGGCATGGATCGTTTTAAACAAGAAATATACGTACCTGGACATGAGATTTCTTCAATCTTCTCGGCTAGTTTCCTTCCCTTTTTGTCTCTGGTTGACAACATGGCTATAACGTACTCTAGCAACGCTTGGTCCCAGTTCCTACATCCCAAGGGCTATAGAAACAATCCTATGATTAAAGTGTTTCCTGAAACATTTGGTGACTCACCTTGGTGTAGCCTTGAATGATAGAGTTATCAACCATCTGTGGATTGTACCAAGCAAAACGCACTGCCTCCCTCGAGTATCTATCCATTATCTGCTGTATCTGTTTCGAAACGAAAGCACATGAGTTAGAAGGATGAATGTAATCGTAGTTTGAAATGGTAAACCATCCAGATAGCAGCCTTTGATCTGAGTGCCGCGGCTAAAACTCCCGCGAAGATGTTGGCCACCAGTTCTTTCAAACTTTGAGTGAAGCGCTTTAGCTTGGAGTAAAGCTCGAGAGCAACAGCACGCAGTCCCAGAAAGAGACTGGTGACGAGCTTGACAAGCAAGCGAGCACGAGACAGGGGATTCGGTTCCAGATGCTCTTCTTTCCGAGTTTCTCGTCGTTGTCGTCGTCGCAGTTTCCCCATGAAAGGCGCAGCTATGGCAGGAGCTAGCATCACAATCCCGGCAATTCGCTCTGGAGCTTTAAAGTACGTATCGGCAGCGACAATGCATCCAGCAGAGTGCCTGCATAGATGGAATCAGCACTTTTCTTCTCGCAAGAAAAGAAAAGAAAAAAGAGAGAAGAACGTACCCGACCAATATCACTTTGTCTGCCCCTAGAAAATCAATGAAAGCCGCGGTGATAGATGCCGAGAAATCCAGACTATACGGGTTCTCTTTCGCGGCACTTGGTTGAATCCTAGGCCGGGAAGTTAGTCCAAAGCCTGGCCGATCAAACGCCACCACGGTTGATGCTAACACCTTGGCCAAGGGCTGCATCAGACGCTCCCACGAAAAAATCGAGGCACCAAATCCATGGAGGAGTATCGCAGGGAACTCTCCAGCCTCGCCAGCGCTGCGACCACGCGAGAGCTAGATCGATAGTTATTCCCATTGTCATCAAATCAAGTAGCGAGAAGAAAATACCTGATGTTTCCTGGGGATCCATCCCTGGCGATGATCTTGTAGTGCACCTGGACTCCATTGTACTCCGCGAATCGGCTGCTAGGATCTGCTAGAAGCCATGGCTCCATGAGCACAGCCTGATCCACACCCGCGATACTCCTCGATCGCTTCTTGCGCTCCCACAATTCATCGCCTGGATCTGCCGCGGCGGACGACAAGGAGCACCTGGCGATCCAAGCGCCACGCCAGCGCGCGGCGCCTTGGAGCTGGAGATTTTGAAAGCGAGGAAGCGCAATGCAATGGAGGAAGAGCGCCATAGCTGGGATGAAAATATTTTAGGGTTCTTGCGCAGGAGAAGTGATGAATGGAGGTGGAGCGGCGATTCTTCCAGCGATGGCTGGTATCCTGGATGTGGCCGCGAGAAGGGGCGTGAGCCTGGAGCTCAAGAAGCTCGGCCCATTCTTCACGGTGATAGCATCCAACAGCAAAGATCAAGCGCTGCTGGGCGAGGCGAGAGGGGTGATCAGGCCATGGATAGACGGCATGGTTCTCCATCTGGATTCCATCCGGATGACAAGAGCCTCCAAGATCAAACAAGACAAGCCTCTCTTCGGTGTGGCACTCCTGATTGGAGCAGCGGCGATTCGCCATGGCTACGATTGTGGCTGCTCCAGGGCCGAGCTCCTGGCCATCAACGACAGTGATTTGTACCACTCCAAGGTGAGATTGAGCGCTCTTCTCTCTGGTTGATGATCGATGGTAATACATTCTTCTTTCTCTTGCTACGCAGCTGCGGAGGTACTACCAGAGGGTTGGATTCGAGGCAGTGTATGAAGTTAGTGGAGAATCGCTGCGGGATTTGCCACACATGCTCGTGTGGGGAGGGATTGGGACTCGCATGGATGCAAGCATTCACCACCTGCTAGTCAAGTGGTCAAAGGTGTTTCACTCAGGTGGTCAAATGCCTTTGACCCAGAGTTCAAAAGCTCTTTTAAGCGCTAGGTTGGATCAGAATATTCGCAGCTGAGTTTGGTTTTTGATTGCGTAGTATGTAGGGATTTACAACGAGCCGATGGGTCCAGAGTAGAAATGGATGTCTTTAGGACGCAGGCAAAACGTCTTTGGGACAACATGCTTCTTTGGCTGGCCAAGTCTCTTACTAAAGCAGAGATCCAAGTTTTAATTGACCAAGCCAAGAGCTCTCTATTGGCTTTGAGAGGCAAGGTGGAAATACCTCTCATTATATTGGATGAGGCACAGGTGATAGAACTTCCAAATGAAAACTTCGAATCGATAAGGCCCTTTGCTGTGGCAGTTCTGGACGGACTCTATGCTGATGATTTGAGCAGCAAACATAAGGTCGTGTTTTCGGGAACAGGGTTTACTCTGCAGTTTAATCGCGTGGCTTGCTCGGTGGTGGTGGGAGGATGATATTTTCACACAGTCCCTTGAATGGCAGAAGACATGGCGAGTTATGCAGAAGCTGTGCGACAGTAACTGAAGATGTTCGTAACATCTCTTTTTTATTTTGATTAACAAATAAAGATATCAAGTCTGGCCGGCCGGGAGACCGAAACCCCGAGGGTTTCGGCATCAACTCGGAGTGTGGACCTCGTCATCAAGGAGGACAACTAGGAATATGAATAGATGGCCAGAGCCCAGATGCACCAACACGAATGCCAGCCTACATGGGGAACTCAATAGACGATTAGGCCAAGACGTGTATCTTTCATCTTCTGGACAGAACCACGCGCTAGCTAGCCCGATTTTGAAGGCAGAAGATTCCGCACAGCAGCTCCGGATTTGCGATACCACCTGATATACGACTGGACCACTCCCTGGTGGAAAACAGACAACACTAGAATCTCCAAGCCACCTTGGACAAAGGCTGCTTCCCGAAAGCGATGGAGGAGTGTGGGAGGAGACTCTCCAGTCTCGCCAGCGCTGAGATTATGTGAGAGCAGAAGTAGCCAAGAATCTTGGGATGTCGGGAGCACCGCAATCCACCTCTTGCGCTCCCACAATTCATCGGCTGCCGCGTCAGAAGCGAGCAAGCGCCGGATAAGCGGCAATGCAACGGAGGAGGGACGAAAATATTTTCGGATTCGAATAGTATCCTGGATGTGGCCGGCGTGAGCCTGGAGCTCAAGAAGCTTGGCCCATTCTTCACCAGGAGATCAGCTCTAGAGCAGCCAAAATCGTAGCCATGGCCAATTGCCACTACTCCAATCTGCAATGCCACTCCGAAGAGAGGCTTGTTTTGTTTGATCTTGGAGGCTCTTGTCATCCGGACATCCAGATGGAGGACCATACAGCAGCGCTTGATCTTTGCTGTTGATGCTATCACCGCCACCAACGACAGCGATTTGTACCACTCCAAGGTTCCATGGATCGATTGATACCTTAGAATCCTGCTAGTCAAGTAGTCAAAGGTTTTTTACTCAAGTGGTCAAAGGTCTCTGACCGAAAGTAAAAAAGACGTTGACTTAAATTCGAGCTTAAGTGCTCAAATTTTAGGGCGACACTTGTCCACGCTGCTCTGGCGCTACACAGCCTCGTTCCTCGTCTTGCTCGTCTTCCTCTCGTCAGGGCGCGCGCGATCCAATCCATCCCCGCCGCGGCCATGGCAGGAAATCTGGATCACGCCCTCGCGGCAATGCGGGCCATTGCTCCGCCCTTGGATCCCAAAAAACACAAGGGACAAGCAGGTAAAGAAAGATCTCTCTCTCTTTTCTTCTTCCTGGTTTTACTTCTGGATCTCTTCCAGGGAAGATTGCAGTGATTGGAGGCTGCCGGGAGTACACTGGAGCGCCGTATTTCTCTGCTATCTCGGCGCTAAAGATGGTTAGCCGGCATTTTTTTTTTCTTGTTCTTCCTGGCTTTGTTTTTTTGATGGAAGTTCTTGGACAGGGCGCAGATCTCTCTCATGTTTTTTGCACGAATGGTGCAGCAACCGTGATCAAAAGCTACAGTCCAGAGCTGATTGTCCATCCAATCTTCGTGGAATCGCATGAACTTGCGGATGAATCCCAGGAAAGTCAGCAAGCCACCAAGAACAAAACTCTCCGCGAAATCGATCGATGGATAAGCGGTTTTAGCTGCCTCGTGATCGGACCCGGACTTGGCCGAGACCCTCTCCTTTTGGTATCATCCACCACTTTTGTGTCCAAGGCTAACTTCGTTCATGCCAGGACTGTGTCTCGGAAATTATTCGTAAGGCTCGAGCCAAGGAGATTCCCATGGTGCTGGACGGGGTACGACTTGTCATTGTTTGGAAGTTCATCGCGAATAGCTTTGCTAGATTTTCAGGATGGACTTTTTCTCGTGACAAGCGAGCCAGAGTTGATCTCCGGCTACGCTCTAGCGACGCTGACACCAAATATTAACGAGCACAAACGGCTTGCTCAGAAGATAAAAGGCGCTGAGCACGAAGTTCAAACGGACAAAATTCCGGACGAGCTCAAGTCCTTGGCCAGCCAGTATGGTTTGACCTTCTGTTTTTCATCTTCGATGTTTCCTCCGCTTCTTTTCAGACTGGGAGGAGTAACAATATTGCAGAAAGGTTTCACGGATTACATGAGCGATGGCACCTCAGGTTCTTGCTTGCATTTCTAGCTGTTCCGGCCGAAGGAATAATCGTGCTCTGGATTTCGTTTGCAGTGCTAGCGTGTGACTTTTACGGATCGCCTAGGCGTTGTGGCGGTCAAGGAGACATTCTTTCGGGCACTGTCGCAGTCTTTACGTCCTGGGCGAGACAATGCAAAGGGTCGTCGGACATGGAAAAGTAAGCACAGCCTTTGGCGAAGCGTCAACCTCTGATGAGTCTATTTTTTTTCTTTGTCTGATCAGGCTGTCACGGAATCCCTGCATGTTAGGAGCCTTGGCGGGGTCTGTCCTGGTAAGAAGAGCCGCACAGGACGCTTTCACTCGTCACAGGCGCAGTACTGTCACTGGCAACATCATAGAGTGTCTCCAAGCAAGGTAAGTTACAGCCTTTTCCTTCGTGGTTTCGACAGTATGGCTATCTGAAGTGCAGCATGGACGAGCTGTGCCCCCTGTGACGGTTCTTCCAAGTTGTGAGCAAGCAGCAAACGGAAGAAACATCGAGTTAAGCGTGAGATTTCTCATTCAAAGAATTATCGAAATGGCTTTCTAGATCTTTGCAGCCGATGATCCTAGCCTCACGAGTATCTCCTTGTACAGCTTTCTAGTCCGCAGCACCAGAATGGAAGTCATGAAACAGGCGAGAGCCATGAGCAAGAAGGTGACCCGATAGCACCGTGCTCCGGCGTCACCACCTTCAGCTTGACGGACAGAGCAAACATTCCTACGCCTTTAGCAACCGTGGGAACGTTTTGCAGGTGGCTGGGTGTGGCATACCTCTCCAGCAGCTTGTCGGACAGTGCACCGGCAGCGACGCCACCCAAGAAGTCGCAAAGGCCGAGGATGGCAACGAACACGCCCGTTTCCGAAGCCGAGTAGCCGGCGGTGATGGAAAAGCCCGCAGATCCCACGCAAACGTCCCACAGGCGAGAGTGCAAGAAGCGGTGCGTGAGGCACAGCCAGGTGACGAGATAGCCGGCCAAGTTGAGCGCTGCGCTGAAAGCCAGGAGGAATGGAGCGCCACCCAAGTTGTAGAGGAGGCCGGAGAAGCTATTGATGGACTCTTGGTCGTAGCCCAGCGACGCTCTCATGTGCTGCGAGAAGAGGCTGAATGTGTTCAAGGATCCGCACGAGACAATCACGATGTAGAAGCTCGCCATGGTTGACATCCATCTCGTCGTCACTGCCATCTTTCCTGTGCTTACCTCGTTAAACGAGAGAGATAACAACAAAATACCTTGCTTGATCAAAGACCCATGAAGCTTGGAAGAGTTGGGAAGAGCTCTGTCCGTGAGGAGTCGGATACGCGATCCTGCTATCACCACTGCTCCATGTATCGATCCAGTTGCATTGCGGGATCCAGCTCCATCTGTGACGAGAAGGTGTTGTTGTAGTCACTCCGCTGCCAGCCACCACTGTGAGTCGCCACTGCCGTGGAGGTGTCCGATGGTGGTGCTCGAGAGCTCTCCAGCTGCGGAGTGTAGACGCCGGGATAGTCCTGGCACAGCTGCTTTGCGGCAGCCAAGTCGCCAGTCTTCCACAGGCTCTTGATGACGAGCTGGAGCGTATTGAAGCTGGGATGGAAGTGGAGGCGCTTCATCTCGTCCAGGAACTCGAGAGCGTGCTCCACTTGGTTGTACCTGGTGAGCACGTCGATCAGGCCGCAGTACGTGAACTGGTTGGCAGTGATCCCGCGACCCCTCATCTCCTCGTACAGGTCGAAGCACAGCTCGATGTATCCTCCTCGCCCCAGCCTGACGATCAAAGTGTTGTAAGTGACAACCGAAGGACTGCAGCCGTTTCGCTTCATGTCGAGGAATTCCTCCCAAGCCTCTGCAAACTTCGCAGTCTTGCCGAAGAGGTCGATCGCAATGTTGTAAGTTATCCCATTCGGTTTGGTTCCCGGGAACGACTTCATCTCCCGGAAGAATGTGAGAGCCAGCGTCGTTTTCCCAGCTTTGCTCAGCCGGCTGAGGAGAGAGTTGCACGAAACCGAGCTCGGGTAGATGTTCTTGCCGATGAGCTCCATGTAAAACGCGTGAGCTCCCTCGAGATTGTTCACCATGGCAAAAGTATCCAGCAGCATTCCATACGACTTCACTGTCGGTTGGCAACCGTTTTCCGCGATCTTCCGGAACAAGTTCACGGCTTCGTCCAGCTCTCCGGCCTTTGCGTGGAGTCCGAACAAGAGATTGAAAATCTCCTCGCCCGGCAAGCATCCTCGTTCTAGCATCTCCAAAAAGAGCCTGGTAGCACCGGTGACGTTGTGGCACTTGATGTAGCCGTCGATGAGGATGGTGTAAGTGAATAGGTCGATGGTGGACTTGTCCTTCATCTTGGAGAAGACCTTCATGGCCTCGTCCATGTTTGCGACGTTGCACAAGCTGCTAATCACCGCGTTGTACACGTAAGAATCTGGAGCGTGTCCAGCAGTCATGAGGCCCTTGTACAGCACCGGCACCACCAAGTAGCACTCGGATCGTAGCATCCTGTCAATCACATACTTGTACTCGTTGAAACCCGGAGGTGACGAGGACCTCTCCATCTGTGAAAACACCTCCAGCGCGTCCTCAACGTAGCCCCCTTTGAACAGGCTGACGAGGAGTATCTTGGAAGTCTCGACAGTCCTGGGAATGTCGTCGTTCTCCATCTCTTTGGCAAGCCGGGCCATGTCAAGATACTTGCCGGCTTCTTGGAGGAGCTTGAGCATCATGTTGTAGGTCGCGCTTACGTGCTGGAAGAAAGGCTGGAGCCCGGCCCAGCGGAAAAACGCGAGGGCGATTCCAGCTTCGCTTGGAGTGCACGACTTGAGCACCTCAAAGACGTGGAAAGGCCGAAGCTGACCACCAAAGCTGCGAACAACGTCCTCGGCTTCCCAGGTAGCCACGTTCCCTTGCTTGAACAGGCTTCTCATCTCGAAAACCAGGCACTCGTCGGAGGGCGCCGGCTGCCAGTCCTCGTCCATGTTGCCAGAGATCTCGAAGAGTCGGCAGTCGGGTCTGTGGAACGTTTGCAGCGACGAGTCGGCATCGTCGGACAGCGTCTTTCTTATCTGGAAACGATCACGAACAACGAGCTCGCTGTCTTCGTCTTCCGATTCCTCGTCCTTCTTCTTTGGAGGAGTGGACGAGTTTGCTGCCGGCACCAGCTGCGATTCGCTAGAATCGAAGCCAGCGTAGGCCTTGGAGCTGCTGGGATACTTGTCGAGCTTACTACCCGTGAATGGATAGTTACTCTCTTCGTCGTCATCCTTGGCACTCCAAGAAGAGTACCTGGATTCGCGATCGTGGCTACGATGCTCGTAGCGCTCCCCCGCGAACTGAGGCGGCTTCCACACCTTCCTCGAGTCCTGCGGCACCGTGTAGGAGAAATTCCCGGGATCCACAAACCCCTTCTTCCTGTAGTTGCGATCGCTGTAATCCTTCCTCAGGTAGCCTCGGTCGGCGAAATGCCGCCTAGCGCCCGCGCTGGAGCTGGAGATTCTCACCGCCGCATCGATCCAGCGCCCGCCCGCCAGGAAGAACGCGCGCATCTCAGCATAGCTCTAGCCCTAGGCCCTCGTTAAACCCTTCCCCCCTTACTAAAGCCAAAACCCTCGCTAAACCCTAACCAAACCCTAACTAGGGCACTTCTTTACCCTTGGGATTTTTACGCTGTTACTTCCCATGATAGAGTAAATCCATGGTCAGATTTTAGTGGGCGATTCTCTCCTCTTCCTCCAGGCGATGGATGCTTCGTCATTTCTTATGGCTCCCTCGCACGCCCGGCTTCTCTTTCTCCTTGGCGGACGACTCCACCCCGGCGTGCTGGTTGGCAATCTTCTCCTCCTCGAATGGGAGCTTGGCGTGGCGGGCGTCGTGGTGGATCTTCATGCTCTTGACATCCGGCGCGGTGGCCTTGCAGATTGGGCACACGAACTTGGCATGGCCGCCCTTGTCCGCCCCCAATCGGTCCTCGAGCCCCGCCTTTCCGCCTCCTCTGTTGGTGGTGGCCGCGTCCACCTTGGCCGCGATCTCCTTGGCCGTGTGCTTCTTGGGCTTGGCCTTGCCAGTCATCCTCGGCTCGATTCCACCTGTGGATTGCCAATCGATCCAATCAAAAGCTTCGCAATCCTCTATCGATCACAGGCCAGGGACACAAGGGATTGATTGATAGGACCCAGACAGGCAGGGAGATAGCTCTAGGCATTCCAGGATCAATCAATCAGACCAAGGCGCCGGTGGAGAGGAGGAGAAGCGAGTCCTATGGCGCCATACCTGGTGATCGCCAACGCCGCACATACGCGCCCACAGCTCTAGGGCTAGGGCACTGGCGAGCAAACCATAATCAATCACTCCCATTTCAATCCAACGGCCAGGAACAAAGCATGTTTAGTTAAAACGCTTTGTATTAAATTGTTCCTTCCATTGGTGGGCGACTCGATTAAAGCACCTCAAGCAATGCGCTCGCTGTAACATGGTGGAATCGCCATTCTCCACTCTTTGTCTAGCACAGCACCTGGTATACTACTACTTACAAATGTGTTCTTCCTTCTTCTTTGTTCTTCTTCTTCTTCCATCGAGTGTTATATACAAATTCCTCCTCGCAGGAACCAGCCAGTCACGCCACCGTGCTCTCGTGAAACACCATCTCCTGGACAAGCAAAGAGAAGTTTCATCACTCCTCCATAGCCCATGGATTCGATCGAGAGAGACCCGAAAGAAGAAGAGCTATCCATACATACCTTGTCACAGACTGGGCAGTGCTTGCTTCTCTCCATCCATTCCAGGATGCAAGCGAGGTGATAGTGGTGGCCACACTCGGTGTTGATCTTGGGATTCTCGGGTGTATATACTGCAAGGAAACAGAAAAAGATCGAATGAAGATCGCAAGAGCTGGAAAGAAACAAGCAATACCATCGAGACAAGTCGGGCACGCGTCTTCGTCGTCAATGAGCGACAGCATCGACTCCGACTTGGTCAGAAGCTTGGACGAGTGCTGCTGCTGGAGCTGCTGCTTGTCGATCGAGTCCGAGTCTTCGGCGTGCTCCGCCGCCGCCGCCGAGTCGGAGCTCTGCCGGGGGAGCAGCGCCAGCGCCTCGCCGCCGCCGCCGCCACCGCTCTCGCTACTGTAGTGGCTCATCCCAATCTTGTCCCTCCTGGAAACCAAGCCATCGCGCGGCAGCCTCACGTATCTGGCATCCACGTCGTAAGGCAGCGGCCGCGGAGGAGCTCTGAAAGTGTCGAGCGAGTCGGAGGAGCGCGGCGTGGACACCACCAACCCGGACGCCGATGGAGGCGACTGATGAGTCGATGGCAAGCCCGGCCCAATCCTCTCGAACATCGACGCGTACTACAAGAAAGAAAAGGAAGGAAGAATTTTTCGATCCAAAGGAAGAGCTTTAGAGGAGAGATTTTCTTGTTTCACTCACCCAGAAGAGGAGCCATCTCATGCAGCCTTGGAGACAAGCACAGCGCTGGTAGAGCGTGCCATTGGGGTAGGAGACGAGCTCCTCCACATTCTCTGGAACCGGGCAGCAGCACAAGCTCCCCATGGGAAGATCCACAGCCCTAAAAACCTGGAATGGATCGATCGCTCGCCCTTTTTATTTCCGGAATTCCATCCTCCTGCCCTAGCGCCCCTTCCCCTTGCCTTTCCTTGTACTTCTAGCTGTGGATTTATTAATGCCTTCGCTATAAGCGCGGTATCTAAGAGAGATTTACGCTAGCCTCGCGAGCTCCAAGCTTTTGTGTGAATCAAAGGTTGCGTTTGATCTCGCGAGTATGTTACAGTGAAAGATGCTACACTCCACCGCTACTCAGCCAACCATGAACGCGAAGTCGAGGTTCTTGTCTCCCATTCCAAAGTACAAGGAGCCATACGCCTTGGTAGACGCGTTGTAGTAGAAGGAGTATCCAGGCCACCAAAGGCTTCGCAGGATCACATCTCCGGTGATGGGAGTCATTTGGACGCTCCATGATCCTGGAGGAGAGAGAACACCGGCTTGAGCTTGCGAGAGATCAAAGACGTGAGAGCTTCGTTTACCTGTGATGTCTTTGGAGAGAAGAGTGTCTTCGTAGCGCTGATAGAGATGACCATAGGAATCGAGCTTCTCTGGGAACTTAACTCCTGCGAGAGAGAAACGGGGCTGTCGAAAACGAGAAAAGGATTTGAGGATGATCGTGTTACCTGAGAACAGTGTGTTTGGAACGAGCTGTTTCCTGGCGTTTAGGACCAGCGCATTCACTGGCATCACTCCGCACTCCTCGTCGACTGCTCTTATCAAGGCGGAGAGCCTGTCCAGCTGAGAGATCCACAGAACATCACTCGAGAAAAGAACGACTTTGGAAGACCTTACCTCGCCAAATTCCACAGTCTTCATGTTGGGATCCTTCTTTTTCTTTTTCTTCTTTGCGCCCTCTTCGCCTTCCTCGCCTTCTTCCTCTTCTTCCTGTCCCTCCGGATTGTCCGTGGTCACCTCGGCCTCTGCCGGCTTCTCAACTTCCTCCACCTTTGGTGCGTCTGGATTCTCACCCTCTATAGGAGCAGCCGCTTCTGCGAAAACACGAACGCTTCCTTGAGAAAAAGAAGCAGGAAAAGAAAGAAACGTTCCTTCAGACCTTATGTTCTTGTTGAGGAAGCGAAAGCGAAAGCGAGGGCCGAGTTTTTACTTGGAGGAGCTGGTGGCGTCGGAGGTGGCGGAGGGACACGAACAAGAGCCTTGTACCTTTGGCTGGGATCGCCTTTAAATCCTCCCTGGATAGTCTTGCAAATGTCGTAAGCATCATCCGTGAGAGGCTGAAGATCCAGCCACTTTGCTCCATCCAAGCTACAAAACCAAAGAATGGAGAGAGAAATCCAACAATCCGATCGAGAAATCGAAACAAACCTGTAGTAGCACTTCACATCGACATTGATACGATCGTCCGAGGTCTGGATCCCATTGCAGCCCTGCGCTACCAGATAATCCTTGCCTGTGAGCGTGTAAACTCTCCCCCAAAAGCCCAGCGTGCTCAACCCCGCCTCCTCCTTCTTGATCACCAGCGACGTATCCATCGCCGCCCGCTGCTCCGTGGGAACCACGAATCCAGACGTCCCCAGCGCGTCCAGCGCTAGGGTGTGATTGTTGAAGAACGCCATTCCTTCTTCTTCTAGAGCCCTAATAACTAAATCACTGGAGTGAATATTCCACCCTGAAATTTTAGGGCTCCTGGGCAGCAGCGATGCGTGCTCTCCTCCGCGCGTGCTCGTATGGGCGGCATTTGGGATCGTCGCAGGCTCTGGCATTCCAGGCGCGATTTCTTGCGGATCGGGGCCTGAATAGGAAGGATTACACGGATCCGGGGTACCAGGCGTCGGGCTACATCAATCCTAGCTGGTACAGTAGCACGCATGAGGGGCGATTCAAGAATCCCTACCCTAGGGCGCCGCTCTACTGCGGGAACACTATCGACGAAGAGGAGCTGGCCAAGAAGATGAAGAAGAAGAAGCGCATTGGCGATGCGCGCAAGCAGTATGAGGAATCCAAGGCCAAATCGGGTGAGCCAGAGGCGCGGGTCTATAGATTTAATCGCGCAGAGAGCGATCGACGTAGCAGTGATAGTGGCGAACCATGGGAGGTGGAGGACGATGATTTGCTTGGGCAGCCGCGAAACAGGGAGTTACCTCCCAAAGTCTCTGTTTTGAGCGAGGATACTCCAGAGCTAGAAATTCTCCAGGAGGAGGAGAAGAAGAAGAAGAAGAAGAAGCCACCGAAAAAAAAGAGGCTTTTCAAGGGGAGGATCGAGACGGACTATGCGGATTTCAACTATAGTAACAGTGGTTTGGATGAATACACCAACAAGATCAAGGAAAAGGAGGACAACAAGATCAAGGAACTGGAAGAATTCCTGGCGATGAAGAAAGCTCGAGAGGTAAGTCATATCTTTTGCTTGCAAAGGTTTTTTATTTCTACTTCTTTTCTGTGTAGAAGAAAACCGAAGGTGATGGAGATCATACCATCTGACCACCAGAATACGCTTGGCCGATTCTCCAGTTAGCAGGGACAACGTCGTATGCCGTCACAGTTTTTCCAGTCGTGAAGGAGGTGACCATGAAAGAAAGGCTTTGGCCATGGAGCGATTTGAAAACCTGGAATCCAACTCCCCAGTTGCGTGACATTGGTAACCAGCCAGTTTTGGATCCTTTAACAGCCATTCTTTTGATGTCGCCAGGCCCTCCAACGTTGCTCACGAAGACAATGAGCCACCAGCGATTGCCTTTGAGCTCGAACTTGATTCCACCTTTCCTTCGACAAGGCACCCTGCCAGACAAGATTAGTCTTCGAGCTTGGGACAGTCGATTCACTCCACAGGGCCGCCTACCTTCTGTAGCGAACAGGAACTATTCCAGCTCTCCAGTAGGCAATCTTCGAGAAGGCAGGCTTGGACATGTCAAAGTGGATTCGCGGGGGATTACACCAGCCACCATTGTTGGATGGTTTATACCAGTTTGGCGGACAGAGATTGGTGGCAGTGACGATGGTGGAGCCGGGATAGCAATGCTTGGACTGTGTACAAGATATCTCGTAGCAGCCTCCACAACCATAGCCGCTGTTGAAGAGGACGGTGCTCAGTGCAGTGGTATCAGTGCCATATCCTTGCGAATACAAGTTCCCGTATCCACAAGCTCCTCCTGGAAGAAAAGACGTGAAGTTTAGCCAAGTTCAAATGGAAGCTAGAACAGGATCATGGTGCTAAAGGCTCGAAGGAACAAACAAAGCAGGGACGAGGAGGAGGAGTTCTATCTGGTGACTTGCCCATGGTTTCGAGAGCGTCGTATTCTCCGTAAAAGGTCGCGTGAGCATATCTCCAGAGGCCTCCTTTGTATCTGGATGGAGTGGAGTAAGAAGAACTATAAACTGCTGCTACTGCGAGTGCTTGGATCGCCAGAAGAATGCTTACAACCAGTGCTAAGATCATCGCAAAATTCCGGTCTGGGGATGAAACGGCGGTGATCCTCTCTTTGGTTTTGTGAAACTTGGGAGCGATGTGCCATGAACGAGGCAGACAACGCACGTAGTTTTTCTAGAGCAGTACTTGGTCGTACTGCCACGTCGTGTCCTCCATGGCGCCATATCGACGTCGTGTCCATGTCGGACTATTTGCTAGTGCTGGGATTCGAACCGCCGCCGCGTGCTGCTACACTGCCACGTCCTTGCCACGTTGGACAGATCCGTGCACGTCATAGTCTCTTTGGGAAGATCAAGCTTGAGAGAAGCGAGCGATCGATCAGTTCGTCAATCCCGAGAGGAAAAGATGGATTTCGTCCCCAATGTTCCTCGCCTGGTAGGTCCAGCAGGTGATTCCGGGGGATTCTTCGCAGATCTGTTTGGATCGGCTCCATCGGGCTCTCTGGTGCCCTCGTCTCGCCACGACGCCGTCGCCCACACCGCCGCAGAGCTCAAGCTGTCCTCCTCGTCCTCCTCCCCCACGGGAGGGCACCAATCCAAGAAATGCTCCATGGTGCCGCACAACAGGCCCGCCATCAGCATCCTCCCCGGCGAATCGATCAAGCTGGATCACAATGGCCTGCTGCTGCCGTCGCCAGGATCGCCATCGCACTCGTCGCCTCTCCTTGCCGCGGCTGCCTCGCCCTCGCCCTCGCCCGCCAAGAAGGCTTCCAGGCCTCTGGCCACCGCTGCCGTCGATGCCGATGCTACCAACAAAATCGACGGCGCTGCTCAGCCCCTTGCCTGAGAGGTAAGAAAATCTTCCTCTGCTCTCTCTGGTAATTTCTCCAAAGTTTGTGGTCTCTCGCAGTTTAACTACCTGGATCTGTCGACACTACCTACATACATACGTAAACACTACAAGTACCTTGTACATAGTTTTCTCCTCCAATGCTTGTCTTGTTTGCTCTATAAGCACTTGTAACTTTCTTGTCTTCTTTCCATTGCTATAAAAGCTTCGAGCACTGATAGATTCGTTGGAGCCTTCTTGTGTTCTTTCCATCGCTACAAACGCTCCCAGCATTGATAGATTCGTTCAAGAGATCTAGTGGAGCTGCCAAAAGAACTTGTGAGGATCCAAAAGAGAAGGAATCGAATGCCACACACTCACCTTATCGCGTCCCAGCTTCTTCTTCTTCCTCGCCATCTCCTTTCTAGTGTGCTCGTCCAGGCCGCTTCCCTCGTACTCAAACCCGGTATAGTCCTTGAAAGCTCGGCTCATGAGCATCTTCCTCTTGTTGTCGATCTTTCGCTTGCGCCCGGAGAGATCAAACGGCCCGGGGAGCTTCCCCACAAGCTTTGGAGATCGAGCGAGCTTTCGCTCCTCTCCTCCCTCTTTGGATGCAGCATTGCTGGCGGTGGTACTAACACTCGCCCTCCTCAGCCTGGCGAAGAAGGAGAATTGTTCTCTACTTTGGAGGTGCGCAGCGATAGCACTTTGGAAAGGGCCTGGTTCCCTCCAACACCTTGACGAAAGTGTGGACGTTGCCCCACAAGCCCAGCCCACATTGCATGACCAGCATCCACAGGATAGTGCCCAGGCAAACGCTCAAATCCACCGCCCAGCCCAGCCTCGACAGGGATTTGGAGCCTCGCCGCGGCTGTGGCAACCAAAAGACTGCAATGTAAGCCGCGCACGGGATGATGAAGAAGTTCCAGGACACAAGGATGGCGTCCAAGAGCTTGTTGATTGCACTGAAGAAAGGGAAGGCGAGAGCAGTGATCCACAGCGCCAGGAACACTGGTATCCGGGACAACGTTCGCTTCACGTAGCTTGGTGAGTCGTGGATGCGCACTATCTTCTCCCACGTCGCGTAGAGTGCGAGGGAGTACATGCCAAAGTTAATAACCTGATGAATTGGGTTTCTCTCAATCGATCAGAGAAGATGTAGAACTTAGAGCTCATATGGATCCATGGTATACTAACCACATGAAGGAGGATGAGGACGTTGGCACTGTCGTGAAACTTTGATCTTGGGAGTAGCAACATCGCGTTTGGGGTGGCGAGAAGCTTGTCTCCAAATTTGCGTTCCATGCTGATGCTTGGAAGCATGACCACCACCAAAATGCAAGCCATGCCGTAGAGATTTGCTGCTTGGTACTCGTCAGGCTTCCACATTGCATCCATGATCTCCCTTGCAGTGAAAACACATTATCAAGGATGAAACTTTACTAGTGTGACATGATCTTACACAGGGATGGGAACGTTAGCATCCCGACCAAACCGGTAAAATATTCCTGGGAGCTTCGTGGTGACGAATGACGGACGTTTCCGGCCTGTGGGAATGTTTTAGTAATGATTGAAAAGTATAGTCTTGCCTTTCTGTCAATCAGCGTTGCTATTGTCATGTAAGCAGAGTCAAAGATAATAGTGACCACTCCCAGGAACGACCAAACTCTTTAGTTGTGAGCGCTCGGGAAAAAAATTGGCAGTGAGAAGATTGCCCCAAACACAAACGTCCAGCTTCTCTTGTCCAAGTTGTCATTCACGGTGTATGCCACACTGCCCGCAATTCACAAAGGAAGTCTGAGATATGACCGAGAGTGACGAAAGGAATGTCAAAAACAACTCTCTACATGCTATAAGTTGAGCCGACGAAACATAGAAGAGTGTGACAATGTTGAACACGAGGGAAACAATCTTCCATTTAGATCCCAGAAGCCCTCCAATAACTTCGTGAAGCTGCGGTGCTCTTAAGCGGTCGATTCTAAAACTCTTTGATTGTACCTGAGTCGTGTGCCAGGGTTGATTCGCTGTTGTCTCTGGATTCACCATCCGCTTGTGTCTCAAGTAGAGAACATTTATCGCGGATTGAGCCCACAATCCCATCGCCGATAGAAGCAGCTGGAAAACAATGGCCGAAGGCAGCCCCAATTGAGCAGTGGATTGTGGAAAAGTGAGGAGCCGCGAAGCCAGCTACACATGTTTGTATGATACTAGTGAGGCACATCTTTCTCGAGAAATCAGTGAGAAATCTTTGCAGCAACAATGTTGAGCCAGGCATCGAATGTGGAGCCACAAGAGACGAAGAGCGGCTTGATCCCATGAATTTGTTGCGGACATGGGAGAATGGAAAGTTATCTTCTTCACTGTTCCATCCAAACGCATCTAGGACGAAAGGCTGACGTGGTTGTTACGGTGCCAAGCCGTACGATGTACGGACAGACACCAGTGCCAGCTAGGACGCCAGGAGGCGCGTCGTTTTTGGTTGTATATTGACCAAAATCTCATAAATACACAACAGTGGTCCATCTGTCAAGAAAATTAAGTGGGGTTGGACACGTTTTCAGCGAGACCAGGGTCTTGTGACATCGTGGGCGGTCAAAACGCATGAAGCGATGATGCTTCCAATGAGTAGGGCCTCTCGAGTCTCGATGATGACTTCAATGGAGCTCCAGATAAATTCATGGAGGAGAGCTTTCGCAAGCTGCAAACCTATTGTAGAATCTTCTCGTATGATGACTTTTGACTTAGGGCCTGCGTCTGAGTGGGATATGGAGCACCGAGCTCTTGAGGTGGGGCAGAGCCTCGATCAAAATGATCAAGCACAAAACAAGCTACAAAGGAGCTCATTCCTACATGCAACATTCAACAGTGTCAGTGCCATACTTGGTGAGTGATAAATCGATATTCTTATTTGAAATGCTTCAAGCAAGCTGCCTTGATTCTTTTTGCAGGGATTTCTTTCCTCACCACACCCTACGCTCTCGAGCAAGGTGGCTGGCTGGGTTTGAGCATCCTGTTCGCGTTTTCAGTGATATGTTGCTATACTGCCTATGTTCTTGGTCGCTGCCTCACCCCAAATGGATCGTACAACACAATTGCCGAGGCTGCCTTCGGTTCCAGAGCTCGCCTCCCCTTCACCTTGCTGGTTCAATTCGAGATGATAGCAGTGTTGGTGGGCTACACGATTTCCATGGGTGACAATCTTGCCAGGCTATTCCCTCATGCCACCCTTCGGATCTCAGCTCTTGAGCTTGGCCCTTCCAAGGTGCTGCTTTTCATAGCGTTCCTCGTTGTTCTTCCAACAGTCTGGCTAAGAAACTTGGCATGGATATCATATCTATCTCTATTCGGTATTGTTACGTACATGATCATCACGGTTACAATGATTTATGCCGGAGCTGGATTGGGCATCGGGTTTCACCACTCCGTTCCACACTTGAGACCGGAAAACTTGCTCAACATCGCGGGAATCTATGCCTACTGTTTTGCGGCTCACTGTGCTCTTCCTAGTGTTTATACGTCGCTCAAGAATCCCTCCAACTATGCAAAGGTACCATTTTTATCGACTGACATGCAGATGTAAAACTAAACTTCGTACTGGACTTCTAGGTGTTGGTTCTCAGTTTTATGATCTCCACGATGGTATACATTGGATTCGCGTTTCTAGGAGGAACCATGTTTGGGGACTATACACTTCCGCAAGTATCTCTAAATATTCCCACACACTTGGTTGCTGCCAAGCTTGTGCTATGGATGGTTGTTCTCCTTCCATTCAGCAAGTATTCGTTATGCCTTGCTCCCATAGCTCTCGATATTGAGAGCAAATTCCCGTGGCCCAATACTTCGAGATCTTTTGTGGCATCCACCCTGCTTCTCAGGACCGGTCTCCTGATCTTCGTTTTTTTGTTGGCTATGGTTTTTCCATACTTCGAAACCATGGTGGCATTTATAGGCTCTGCCTCAGGCATGCTCGTAGCGGTGACCCTTCCTTCGTTATTTTACTTGAGAATATACAGAAACGTGATGCCAAAGTGGGAGGCCGGAGTCAACTATGCCATCTTGGCTGTGGGAACTGCGGTGGGCATGGCTGGAACCATCGCGTCCATCATCAATTTTGTGCACCGCATAAGATCATGATCATCATCCAAGTAACTCTTCATTTGAAGAATCTTCAAATAGAAAGATGACAGAGTTATATAGCTTATGATGGCATTCAAAGTGACTTGTAAGGACTGGTAGTGAAATTGCACAAAGCATCCCACATACCAAGCCTTTCCTGTGCGATGGTCTCGATTCGTTTATGGTCCCCGTCTGCCAAGCTGAAATCGAAGCTGTTAATGTTTTCCAGAAGTCTCTGGGAGTTGTAGGTCTTGACAGCGGGAGCTACATCGATTTCCGTGAGCCATCGTATGATCACCTGTACGCATGGATGAATGAAACTTAACGGGAATCAAGAAAACCATGTACCTGAGCAGGAGATTTGTGGTGCTTTAGAGCGATTTCCTGGATAACAGGATGCTCTATAACGGATTTGCTTCCCCAAGGCTTGCCAAGACCACCTAGAGGTGACCAAGCAATCACTTGGACACAATTTCTCTTGCACAAGTCTCTCATGTAATTCAACCTTGAAGAGTGACAACACAACTTGGTAGAAGTTTTCTTGAAGATCATGGTGTTACCTGATCCACTGCAGGAGTGATCTTTGCATGTTGAAGCAAGTCGTGCAGCTTTTTCGTGCTAAAGTTACTCACACCGATTGCCTTGGCCAGCCCCTTTCGAAAGCATTCTTCCATGGCTTCCCACGTAGCCGGGATGTCCACAGGTAAGAAATCTTGCTTTGCTCTCTCTGGGAAATTCTCCAAAGTTTGTGGTCTCTCGCAGTTTAACGACCTGGATCTGTCGACACTACCTACATACATACGTACACACTACAAGTACCTTGTACATAGTTTTCTCCTCCAATGTTTGTCTTGTTTGCGCTATAAGCTCTTCTAACTTTCCTGTGTTGCTACAAAAGCTTCGAGCACTGATAGATTCGTTGGAGCCTTCTAGTGTTCTTTCCATCGCTACAAACGCTTCGAGCATTGATAGATTCGTTAAAGAGATCTATATCACTTGTGGAGCTGTCAAAAGTACTTGTGAGGATCCGAAAGAGAAGGAATCGAATGCCGCACACTCACCTTGTCCCGTCCCAGCTTCTTTTTCTTCCTCGCCATCTCCTTTCTAGTGTGCTCGTCCAGGCCGCTTCCCTCGTACTCAAACCCGGTATAGTCCTTGAAAGCTCGGCTCATGAGCATCTTCCTCTTGTTATCGATCTTTCGCTAGATCAAACGCCTCGGGGAGCCTCCCCGCAAGCTTTGGAGATCGAGCGAGCTTTCGCTCCTCTGCTCCCTCTTTGGATGCAGCATTGCTGGCGGTGGTACTAACACTCGCCCTCCTCAGCCTATTCTCGCTGATGCAGCCCTCCTCCTGCCTTACCTCCACCTCCTCGCAGCATTCTCTCATCATCAGCCCTAAAAGGATATAGGAATCGACAGCCCTAAATTCTAGGAATATGCCCAAGAAGATGTTCTCTACTTTGGAGGTGCGCAGCGATAGCACTTTGGAAAGGGCCTGGTTCCCTCCAACACCTTGACGAAAGTGTGGACGTCGCCCCACAAGCCCAGCCCACATTGCATGACCAGCATCCACAGGATAATGCCCAGGCAAACGCTCAAATCCACCGCCCAGCCCAGCCTCGACAGGGATTTGGAGTCTCGCCGCGGCCGCGGCAACCAAAAGACTGCAATGTAAGCCGCGCACGGGATGATGAAGAAGTTCCAGGACACAAGGATGGCGTCCAAGAGCTTGTTGATTGCACCGAAGAAAGGGAAGGCGAGAGCGGTGATCCACAGCGCCAGGAACACTGGTATCCGGGACAACGTTCGCTTCACGTAGCTTGGTGAGTCGTGGATGCGCACTATCTTCTCCCACGTCGCGTAAAGTGCGAGGGAGTACATGCCAAAGTTGATAACCTGATGAATTGGGTTTCTCTCAATCGATCAGAGAAGATGTAGAACTTAGAGCTCATATGGATCCATGATATACTAACCACATGAAGGAGGATGAGGACGTTGGCACTGTCGTGAAACTTTGATCTTGGGAGTAGCAACATCGCGTTTGGGGTGGCGAGAAGCTTGTCTCCATATTTGCGTTCCATGCTGATGCTTGGAAGCATGACCACCACCAAAATGCAAGCCATCCCGTAAAGATTTGCTGCCTGGTACTCGTCAGGCTTCCACATTGCATCCATGATCTCCCTTGCAGAGAAAACACATTATCAAGGATGAAACTTTACTAGTGTGACATGATCTTACACAGGGATGGGAACGTTTCCGAGGATCAGCATCCCGACCAAACCGGTAAAATATTCCTGGGAGCTTCGTGGTGACGAATGCCTGACGTTTCCGGCCTGTGGGAATGATTTTAGTAATGATTGAAAAGTATAGTCTTGCCTTTCTGTCAAACAGCGTTGCTATTGTCATGTAAGCAGAGTCAAAGATAATAGTGACCACTCCCAGGAACGACCAAACTCTGTAGTTGTGAGCGCTCGGGAAAAGAATTGGCAGTGAGAAGATTGCCCCAAACACAAACGTCCAGGTTCTCTTGTCCATGTTGTCATTCACGGTGTATGCCACACTGCCCCAATTGACAAGGAAGTCTGAGATATGATCGAGAGTGACAAAAGGAATGTCAGAAAGAACTCTCACTTGCTACATGCTATAAGTTGAGCCGACGAAACATAGAAGAGTGTGACAATGTTGAACACGAGGGAAACAATCTTCCATTTAGATCCCAGAAGCCCTCCAATAACTTCGTGAAGCTGCGGTGCTCTTAAGCGGTCGATTCTAAAACTCTTTGATTGTACCTGAGTCGTGTGCCAGGGTTGATTCGCTGTTGTCTCTGGATTCACCATCCGCTTGTGTCTCAAGTAGAGAACATTTATCGCGGATTGAGCCCACAATCCCATCGCCGATAGAAGCAGCTGGAAAACAATGGCCGAAGGCAGCCCCAATTGGGCAGTGGACTGTGGAAAAGTGAGGAGCCGCGAAGCCAGCTACACATGTTTGTATGATACTAGTCAGGCACATCTTTCTCAAGAAATCAGTGAGAAACCTTCGCAGCAACAATGTTGAGCCAGGCATCGAATGTGGAGCCTCCGTGCCACAAGAGACGAAGAGCGGCTTGATCCCATGAATTTGTTGCGGACATGGGAGAATGGAAAATTATCTTCTTCACTCACCTTCTTCACTCTCCGCGTTCCATCCAAACACATCTAGAACGAAAGGCTGACGTGGTCCCGCCCCATCTGTCAAGAAAATTAAGTGGGGTTGGACACGTTTTGAGACCACCTTTAAAGGTAGAAACACTTGGGAGACGGTCTCGTGACTTCGTAGGTGGTCAAAACGCATGGAGCGATGATGCTTCTGATGAGTAGGACGATCATGACTTCAATGGAGCTCCTGACCAATTCATGGAGGAGAGCTTTCGCAATTTTTCATGTGGGATGGAGCTTTGTGAAGGGACAAAGCCTTGATTGAAACGATCAATTTGCAAATCTATTGTCAGAAATAGACACCATCCTTTATTTAGGTGGGCCCCATTTGTTTATTTGGACTTCACCTCATTGCTTACATAAGCATGCCACCTCATTATTACAAATTAAAGATTGTTCTAGTATATTATTTTTTAATTATTTAAGTATTTAAAAAATTAAATTATAATTTTTATTTTTGGAATAAGACCAACCGTAATACAAAAAAGTAAATGAATTTACCTTACTATTAGTTCTCTCAATAAGATCAGAAAAAGAAAGAATACTATCTGATGATGATTTACATATTCTAATCTAGCCATAATACTAAAGAGAATGAATAAAATAAGAAATAAAATATAAGAAGGAACACAAATATAAAGCACAATGAGGAAAAGCCCAAACCAAGCATAGGTTATATACTTAATTATAAAATTATAGTTGTTAAAATTATAATTGTTGTTAGATTTTGTTGAAAGTGCAAAGCTTTGATTCGATTCCCTTTGGCAATGGCAAAAGGTGTGGATGGATAATAATACAAGTGAGGTGAGGCAGTCAGATTTGTTCACATGGACATCACATGATCAAAGATAGGTTCATTTACCTTACCACAAATAACCTCAACAACCAAAGGCACCACTATTTACATTTACGAATTAAAGTTTAACGTTACTAATTTATAATTAATCATTAAACATTTATGCTGGATTATGCATTTCTTCCATGACTTTCTGACCTTTTGAGTTTAAGCAAGAATCAAGGCATAAAGTCATGGCACAATCCTTTTTTGAAGATTCACGAGATCACCTTGATTCTCACGAATCTTCAAAAAAGGCTTGTACCATGACTTTTGATTTTGGATTTTTTTCCAAGGGCCTTCGTCTGAGCGCGATGTCGAGATAGATATGGAGCACCAAGCTCTTGAGGGGCAGAGCCTTGATCAAAATGATCAATCACAAAACAAGCTACAAAGAAGCTCATTCCTACATGCAACATTCAATAGTGTCAGTGCCATACTTGGTGAGTGATAACTCGTGATTGACGATATTCTTCTTGATTTGAAAAGCTTCAAGCAAGCTGCCTTGATTCTTTGCAGGGATTTCTTTCCTCACCACACCCTACGCTCTCGAGCAAGGTGGCTGGCTGGGTTTGAGCATCCTGTTCGCGTTTTCAGTGATATGCTGCTATACTGCCTATGTTCTTGGTCGCTGCCTCATCCCAAATGGAACATACAACACAATTGCCGAGGCTGCCTTCGGTTCCAGAGCTCGCCTCCCCTTCACCTTGCTGGTTCAATTCGAGATGATAGCAGTGTTGGTGAGCTACACGATTTCCATGGGTGACAATCTTGCCAGGCTATTCCCTCATGCCACTCTTCGGATCTCAGCTCTTGAGATTGGCCCTTCCAAGGTGCTGCTTTTGATAGCGTTCCTCGTTGTTCTTCCAACAGTCTGGCTGAGAAACTTGGCATGGATATCATATCTATCTCTATTCGGTATTGTTACGTACATGATCATCACGGTTACAATGATTTATGTTGGAGCTGGATTGGGTGTCGGGTTTCACCACTCGGTTCCACACTTGAGACCGGAAAACTTGCTCAACATCGCGGGAATCTATGCCTACTGTTTTGCGGCTCACTGTGCTCTTCCTAGTGTTTATACGTCGCTCAAGGATCCCTCCAACTATTCAAAGGTACCATTTTTATCGACTGACATGCAGATGTAAAACTAAACTTCGTACTGGACTTCTAGGTGTTGGTTCTCAGTTTTATGATCTCCACGATGATATACATTGGATTCGCGTTTCTAGGAGGAACCATGTTTGGGGACTATACACTTCCGCAAGTATCTCTAAATATTCCCACACACATGGTTGCTGCCAAGCTTGTGCTATGGCTGGTTGTTCTCCTTCCATTCAGCAAGTATTCGCTATGCCTTGCTCCCATAGCTCTCGATATTGAGAGCAAATTCCCGTGGCCCAATACTTCGAGGTCCTTTGTGGCATCCAGCCTGCTTCTCAGGACCGGTCTCATGATCTTCGTTTTTTTGTTGGCTATGGTTTTTCCATATTTCGAAACCGTGGTGGCATTTATAGGCTCTGCCTCAGGCATGCTCGTAGCGGTGATCCTTCCTTCGTTATTTTACTTGAGAATATACAGAAACGTGATGCCAAAGTGGGAGGCCCGAGTCAACTATACTATCTTGGCTGTGGGAACTGCAGTGGGCATGGCTGGAACCATCGCGTCCATCATCAATTTTGTGCACCGCATAAGATCATGATCATCATCCAAGTAACTCTTCATTTGAAGAATCTTCAAATAAAAAGATGACAGAGTTATATAGCTTATGATGGCATTCAAATCTCTCCATCCCATAGCTCAAACGGTGACTTGTAAGGACTGGTAGTGAAATTGCACAAAGCATCCCACATACCAAGCCTTTCCTGTGCGATGGTCTCGATTCGTTTATGGTCCTCGTCTGCCAAGCTGAAGTCGAAGCTGTTTATGTTTTCCAGCAGTCTCTGGGAGTTGTAGCTCTTGACAACGGGAGCTACGTTGATTTCCGTGAGCCATCGTATGATCACCTGTACACATGGATGAATGAAACTTAACGGGAATCAAGAAAACTATGTACCTGAGCAGGAGATTTGTGGTGCTTTAGAGCGATTTCCTGGATAACAGGATGCTCTATAACGGATTTGCTTCCCCAAGGCTTGCCAAGACCACCTAGAGGTGACCAAGCAATCACTTGGACACAATTTCTCTTGCACAAGTCTCTCAACTGCTCTTGCTGCCACAATGGATGTAACTCAACCTTGAAGAGTGACAACAAAACTCGGTAGAAGTTTTCTTGAAGATCATGGTGTTACCTGATCCACTGCAGGAGTGATCTTTGCATGTTGAAGCAAGTCGTGCAGCTTTTTCGTGCTAAAGTTACTCACACCGATTGCCTTGGCCAGCCCCTTTCGAAAGCATTCTTCCATGGCTTCCCACGTAGCCGGGATGTCCACAGGTAAGAAATCTTCCTCCTTGGGTGGGAATGGAGCTCCTCTGGTTGTTCTGAGTGGAGCATGTATCAAGAACAAGTCCACATAGTTCATCTTCAAGGCACTATTCGAACTTGTGAGAAGAAACAAAAAATATATCCTCCTATACCTGAGGCTTTCCTGGAGTGCTGGGAGAACATCCTGGCTACCGTGATCCTCGTGTTTGAGCTTTGTCGTGAGGAAAATATCCTCTCTACTAACAAGGCCAGTTGCAAGAGCTTGGGCAAGTCCCTCTCCAATGCCAGCTTCAGTTCCATACAAGCCAGCAGTATCAAAGTGCCGATATCCGAGCTATGGATTTTCATTTGCATTCGACATTTGGGAGAAAAAGGTAAAACAAACCTTGATAGCACACACAACCGCGGCTTTCATTTCCTCCACGCTGATGGGCGTACCACTTCCAAAACCCAGTGATGGAATGGAAGCTCCAGTGTTGAGCTTAAAAAATGGCTGCTTCATCGTCATCGCCACGGGCAAGGCTAGGGTAATCTCCTACAGGTTAAAAAAACTTTTTTTTGTCCAATGATGTAAAGCAAAACTTTTGCTAGAAAAAAATACATACATTTCTCACGGGTAATGTACATTTATAATGGGGACCTTTCTCATGCTTATTTGGCAATCTAGATCCCACAAAAAGAAATAAAAGAATCGAAGTTTGTTTATGATCCCGTCAGTGGTAATTTCACTCCTAGAGGTGTCTCAGGACCATTATATGTTGTGGGTGCATAAATCCAGTACTCATCAGAGCTTAACATCTACATAATGAAGCTTAAAAAAATCAGTAATCGTGTTTAGAGACCATTTTGTGACAACTCACGTTGACTTGCAGCTGTAGAAACTTCACGTAATGTATTGCTTCTTCAAGCATTGTCACTATGTCAACCTGCATGGTAAATTCATTGAGTAAACTCAGCAGAAGAAAATCCATTAAAATTTACCTTTGCACCATTTGGAACAAGGTGTTGTAAAGTTTTGAGCCTCTCGTTGATCCTCTCTCTCCGGTGCTGGAGTTTTAACATTGATCAGAGTCAACATGGAACAATAGAACAAAAAATACTCACCCTTGCGTAAACGCTTTGGGGATCTGTTGCAGATCCACGCTTTGCTCTGGGCTTGCCATTCGTGTTGAGAGCTGGCCCAACAAAGCTCACACTTGAGAGCTTGTGCTTGGATTCATTCGTAGGTGAGCTCCATCCTTGAAGCCTTTGATCCTTCACAAGGAAGAGCAGGAGATAGTTCAATGACAAGCTCAATGGAATCCAGCCATTCGATCTTACCAGGCACTGCCTCTTGTTGCTTATAAGATCTGAAGCAGCAGTGAATGGCTGCCTTTGCTCCAGCTCCGAGCAATTGGGATTGAACACTCCACTGCGAGCGCTGCCGGGGCTGTTGTCCTCGCAGTTGACTAGCGTGGACTGGTCGAGAGACTCTCGTTTGAGGGATTTGAGCGGCTTCACCTGCATTGCCGGGGAGACCATCTGGAAGCATGGCACCGCAGTTTCATACTGCTGGCCATAGGGCCTAGAGGACGCGATGACAAAATTGAGGTTGAAACCTCCAAATTGATCTGGATCAAGCGCTAAAGTCTGCTGGGATTGTGAGATGAGAGCCGAGGAATTGAGGAGCTCTGTGGATGAATCTGCATTGCTTCGCTGCGGCTGCTGCAACGATGCCCAATCGTAGTCCTGGTCGAAAAACGAGGAAGAAATGTCGGAGAGAGAGTTATTGGAAGACGCCTGATCCTGATCTGGGGACGAGTGAGAGTGGTGATGAGCTCTGGCAGAACCGGGCGGCAATAAACTGCTGCAACAATCATCCATTGCTATCAAAATCTGATTCGGTATCTAGTGAGCAACCAACACAAAAAGTATCGAACACTTTGGCACTGGCAAATGTTGCAATATATAGTCGGATAATCTCCCCCAGTACAGTCAAAGGGCCCCAAGCAGCCGGCCAGACAACTGTATGGGCCCCGACCACGGGGGTTGACTTTTCTAAATCTCAAACTGTCGGCGGATCATTCGCAAGCACATATTAACTTTGGCACATGGATGATCAAAGAGCAATTCTGAAAGTAAGATGTGGATGCACTGCATTTGTGACTAAAGATCAGTGTTTTGTTTGCATTTGATCATGTACGAATTTAGAAGCAAATCAAAGCATTACCGCATATGATGAACTTTCATGGAATTGGAGAAGATTCCCTTGGATGAACGTGTTTAAGATCATGGGAGATTTTCACCAAGGGAAGGAATCAAAAGTGAGCCACTGGTCAACTCATCAATGGTGATCATGACAAAGGAGAATGTCTGAGAGCATTTTACATTGACCCAATAACATCATCAAGCTTTGACTTCCTCCCTAAAGTCAGCCATCATGCTTTACATGTCTCGAGCTTGTTAGCCTCGACGTGATGATTGACTTTAAGAGGCCAGAAAGAAGACAAGGGAACATCTCATGAGATTTTAAGCTGGATCTTGAATTATGCAAAGAGCTTGTCAACCCCAACATTCTCTCCACTCCGTAGTGTTAGTCAGACGTGATGACTGATACCTTAGGAGGCGAGAAAAAAGATTTAGGAAATGTCAACCCCAACATTCTCCATCTGGCACTCTCACCAACAATGCTGGTCCACTCCACAGCATCTGGGAAAAAAGGCATTGCCAAAGCAAGATCCACGGCTTGCTCTCTCAATGCCACAGTTCGGGACATGACATCTAGCATACAAGAGTAATGCTGCTTTGATGGCACCAATCCGAAATCAATAGCTATGGAGTGGAACAAAGCTTTTGCAGTATCAAGTTTTCCAGTGTGTCTACATGCTACCAAAATCGAAACAAAACAGCTTCCATCAATTGAGTCTATGAGTTTCAACTCGCTGAAAAGTTCAAAGGCACCCCTGTAGTGAGTGTGGTCTTGAGAATAACAAGAAAGGATGGCATTTGCTGCCACCAGATTAGAAGGTTCATAGGGAATCATATCAAAGAGCTTCTTTGCTTGTTCCAAATGCCCGTTTTGTGCAAACGCACAGATAATGGCAGTCCAGGCAACAACATCTCGCTCGAGCATTCGATCAAACAAGTGCTTGGCTTCCCCTGCCATGTTGTTTTGCCCATACGTAGCTACCAACAAAGTCCACGACACTAAGCACCAGTCCGGCATTGCAATGAGCAGATTGTATGCATCTTCTAGCGAGTTTTTCTGGGTATATGCTGTGAGCAATGCGTTCCAAGATACCAAATTGGTCTCTGGCATCTCGTCAAAGATGCGCTTGGCTTCTTCCAAGTCCCCGTTGGCAGCACGCGTCTGCAGAGCAATGTTCCACGTATACAAATCCTTGGCTGGCATTTGGTCAAAGAGCCTCTCGGTGGCAGCGGGTGAGGATGACAACGCTACCAGAATGGCATTTCCCGCGACAAGGTCCCACTCCGGCATGTCATAGAACACTCTCTCTGCCTCGTCAGCAAGGCCCGCGGCTCCGTAGGCTGCCAGCATGGCAGTACACGCTGCAACGTCCCTACCTGGCATTTCATCAAAGATCTCCTTGGCTCTGTTCAAATGCCCTTTCTGGGCATTGAGGACAAAGAGAGTGTTCCAAGAGGCGGCGTTGCGTTGTGGCATCTGATTGAATATCGCTGTTGCGTAGGCAAGATCCCCTCTATCAGCGTAGAGTGTGAGCATTGAATTCCACGAATACATGTTCTGCTGGGGCATTTGATTGAAAACTCGCACTGCTCGATCAACACAGCCCGCCTGGATGCAGCAGCTTAAGAGCACCGTCCACGAAATCATGTCCCTCTCTGGCATGGAATCGAAAGTTTTCTGCGTGCATTCCAGATCTCGCCTCTGAGCGAACCAGTTGAGGAGGATGTTCCATGATGCCAAGTCACGCCCGGGGATCTCGTGAAAAACCTCCAGGATCTGTTCAATGCCTGTTCGCTCTTGAGCCGCGATCGCTCCAAGGAGGACGTTCCAGCAGATGGTATCGCGCTCCGGAAGCTCGCGATCAAACATTAATCGCAACATTGCATGATCCATAGTCTGGGCATATGCGTGGAGCAAGGTGGTCCAGGAGACGATGCTGCGCATCGGCATTCTTTCCAGAAAGAGTCGCGCTTGATCGAGTTTTCCGCCGGCGACAAATGCTGCGAGCATTGAATTCCAAGAGACGAGAGTGCGCTGCGGCATCTGATCGAAGACGGATTGGGCTCGATCCAAATCTCCTTGACGGGCATATCCAGAGAGCAAAATATTCCACGACGCTACGCTCCATTCCGGCATCCGATCGAACAGCTGCTTCACTCCATGCGCACTCCCGCTCCTCGCTTGCTCCAAAAGGATCGAATTCCAGGAACCCAAGCTCTCGATCACACCATTCATTCATTCCAATCAATCAATCTACGCCTAGCTAGAGAAGCAGAAGGGGAGTTACATGTTGAGGCTTGGAATGCGGTACTTTCGTGTTATAGCATCGACGACTTCGGGGCTTTGTCTACCGTACAGAGCAGTAACTTGCTCGTACAAGACCTTCATCGTCTCGGGTTTCCTCCCACTGATGTTACACAAGAATGCAATCCTCGACAGCGTGTGCTTGCTGCCCGAACCGGTCTCACGCATGATCCTCAACAGCTGCTCGCAGTCGATCGGGACCCGAGGATCTCTGAGCATGCAAACAGCCAAGTAGTGATCCACAAACCCAGCACGAATCCAATCCTTCTCCTGCTCGCTCATCCCTTTGATCCGCTTCTCAATCTCCACCACCACGTCCATGACATCGTCGTCGACTTTGATCGCCAGCCCCGATCCCCCGCGATCGTCTTCGTAGCCGGGAAGATCACCCAAGACATGACGGTGGCTCTGCTCCAGCTTGCATCGCTCGCAGCTACACTCAAAGTTGTACTGCTGGATCATCTTCTCGCGGTAGCCGGCGTAGGGAGCCAGCGGCGGCTCCAGATACGAGAGCAGCACCTCGTCCCCGGCCTTGAGATCCTTGGCAGCTCTCACGAACACCACATCGCCGATGCTCATCTTGGAAGCGTTTGGAATGCACGAGTGGTTGATCAATCCCACCGATGCCCACAGCCCCGGAACGTATGAGCCGCCAGATCCCTGCGAGCTGTAGCCCACTCGATCGCGAGCTCTTCGAATCCTGGCAACGTCCACGCCCCGGCTGCTTCTCGGCGTGGCCGCCACCTTTCCGGTGTTACACTTGAACGGGGCCAAGTCGGGCAGTGCCGTCACCTCGGCTGCCTCGCGGTCGGCCATGGCATAGATCTGCTTGAGCCGCCGCTCGGACTCCACACACGCCTTGACGATCTCCACCACCAAGTCCTCGTCTGCGTCATGGGAAGCGGCGCTTGACACAGCCGCGATTGGATTGCAAGCGAGCAGCAAGTCCCCGAGTTGGACGTCGCGGGTGAGGAAGATCCCCCGTCCTCGCCCGTCGTGGGTGTGCTTGATCTCCAGAGGACCGAAGTAGTCACTGCATTGAAATGGCGTGTCGCTGGCCTTGTTGGGGAGGAAGTAAGAAGAGAGATCGTAGTCGCCGTGCTGGCTTTGCCGGAGGAACACCTTACACCGGTCGATCTCGCTCGCTAGAGCTTGCTCTTCTTCTTCATCGCCTTGTTTCATGACAGACTCGAGGCATTCCAAGGCGAGTTGGTGCTCCTGGAGAGCAGACAGTCCCCGTCCCTTGCTCCACAAGCTCCTCCTTCGAACGGCAATGCCACCATCACCAGAAATGCTCAAGGCCATGTCGGCGTCCGCCACCGCCTCCTCAAACTTGCCCAGCTTGAGCCGACACTCAGCCCTGCTGGAGAACACGTCCTTCTCCACCGGACCATACGTGCTCGCGTCCCTGGCCGCGAACACATCGATGCACTCGGTGAAGTAGAGCTCCGCCATGAGGAAGCTGCCCTTGGCCATGAACCGGCTGCCTTCCCTGCGCAGCTCCTCCAAAGGCCTCCGCCGGAGCCTCTTGGCCAGGCCCAGGAAGTGGAGCGAGGCGGGGCTGGAGACGTGCATGATGGAGCGGTAGCACAGCGGCTCCTTGATGGCGAGGCGGGCATCGGTGGGAAACATGGACTGGGCGGCGTCCTGCCTGGTGCAAGTGGAGGCGAGGGCGTTGAAGACGTGGAGGAAGGCGGCGCCGGCGCTGTCGGCGTCGTCGGCCTCGACGAGGCAGAGGAGGAGGCGGGAGTTGGGCACCCGGGCGGAGGCGCAGATGTTGGCGTGGATGACGCGGCCGTCGTAGCAAATCTCCTTGCCCAGCTGCTGCGACCGAATGTGGGCCTCGCGGATGTCCAGCGGCTTGAGGCCCAGCAGCGGCGCGGCGGAGAGCTTGCACTTGTCGCTCATGGCGGCGCCCGCCTCGCTGCACATCACCTTGAACGCCCTCATCAGCGACGCCTTGTCCATCTCTCTCTCTTCGAGCCCTAGGTTAAAAGGTTTAGGGTTTAAACGTACTATACTATGTTTCTGTTTTTCAAAAAGCTGAGAAGAGTAAGTTTGGTTTGGGTCGTGCTTGTAGCTAGGCCAACTACGTATAAAATTCTAGCAGGAAATCTTCTTGTTATATAATCTCCCACTTAGGTGTTGAAACTTTAACACCCGAGAGTAAGATAAAAGGGGCTCTGTGCTGCTCAGCAAATGTAGCAATTCAATGGATCTCTTTCTGGTACTTACGCTTACCATCTCTGCTTATACATGCACAGGTGACACAAATCACTTTAACATTTTTCTTGAGTTGTATGTAGCTCAATTCTTTTGGTCTTGTTATCCAGCAATCAGTCCGGAATCGAGCTCTGCCATCCCACCTATGAGTGAACCATCTGTGCAGCTCAAATGGAACTCCTATGACTACATCATTGTGGGAGGAGGAACTGCTGGATGCCCATTAGCCGCCACACTCTCCCAGAGGTTCAAGGTTTTGGTCCTGGAGCGCGGAGGTTTCCCCGATCCAATCTCCACACGCCGAGACAGCTTTTTACTGACTTACGAAAACCAACTTGGCAGCAACACACTCGTCCAGGGATTCGTTTCCACGGATGGCGTTAGAAACGGCCGGGCTCGAGTGCTGGGCGGTGGAAGCTCAATCAACGCCGGGTTTTACAACCGAGCGAGTCCTCAAACCATAGCAGACATGGGCCTCGATGGGAGCCTGGCTAACGCGTCCTTCCAGTGGGTGGAGAGAATTGTGGCGTCATTCCCAGAGCTTGGGCCATATCAGAGAGCGTTCAGGCAGTCCCTGCTCGAGGCAGGAGTGACTCCTGACAACGGTGCCAGCTACGACTTTCAAGTTGGAACCCAAACCGGGGGAACGAATTTCGATAGCCAGGGGTTCCGGCGGCCAGCTTCAAATCTGTTTGTTTACGGCAATCGTACGAACCTGGACGTTCTGCTCTACGCACAAGTTGAGCTCATCCTTTTCAAAGGTTCAGTCTTTACGTACTTATATTCACAATGTTTCTAACCGCCAAATCCAGGGCTTCGAGCGTATGGAGTGCGGTATACAGACTTCCTTGGCTTACCGCACACGGCTCTTCTTAGCAGACACCCCAAGAGTGAAGTGATTTTGTGTGCAGGTGCACTAGGAAGCCCGCAGCTGCTCTTGCTGAGCGGAATCGGGCCAGCAGACCATCTGACAGCCATGGGCATCAAGGTGGTGTTGAACGCAACTGGAGTTGGACAACAAATGAGAGACAACCCCACAACCCGTCTTGTTATACTCTCGCCTTCCCCAGTGGAGTCGTCACTTGTGCAAGCCGTGGGAATCACTGCAGCATTTGGCACCTACATCGAGGCTGCGAGTGGTGCTGCTGCAGCAGCTATACCCGGTGCGCCAGTCGAGTACATACTCCAGAAAGCCGCCGGGCCTTTATCTGTAGGCAAGCTTGTTTTGGGGTCCACGAATGTCCGAGACAATCCGATAGTCACCTTCAACTATTTCCAAAACCCCCAAGACCTGGCGACATGCGTTGCAGGGGTGAACAGGGTCGAGGAGGCCGTTCTCACAAATGCGTTCCGCCCTTTTGTGTTTGACATTCAGCCTCTCCCATCGGGAGGTACAGTTGGATCGCCCAACCGGAGAAATCCAGCATTTGCGCCCACTCTGAACGCAACCATAGCCACCTATTGCGTGACAAACGTTGCAACCATCTGGCACTATCACGGTGGATGCGTGGTTGGCCAGGTTGTGGATTCCGACTATAAAGTTTTGGGCACCCAAGGACTGAGAGTTGTCGATGGTTCTACCTTCGTGTTTTCCCCTGGAACAAATCCACAGGCTACAGTTATGATGCTTGGCAGGTACTGACTTCTTTTTCTTTTGGGAGTATTTGCTGAGAGTATGATCTACAGGTATGTCGGCGTAAAAATCCTGGCAGACAGGTAAGAACCATACCTTAAATATATACGAAGTTTGCGTAAACTAAGCGAAAGTAAACGTAAAGTCAATAAAAGGCTTCAACGATTGACTTTCGTTAACTTCAAGGATATTGCTTATAGTTACTCTACACCCGGTGATACACTCCATCAGTCTCATGCTTCACATAAATAGATAGATAGATAGATAGATAGATAGATAGATAGATATAGACAGTATAGTTGGAGATCATCCACCAATGTGGACCATGGGCCTGTTTGGTGTCTTTGCAAGCTCAAACATCCCGGCATGAGCTGCTTTCTTTCTCTTAACCTGCTAGGGAGGAAACGAATAGATACATATCAAGCCATTCTTATGGATACTCGAGAACCCACCGCTAGACTGATGATTTGCTCGAGCTCATCACTGGGAACGCCACTTCTTAACGCGTCCCTTAGGCTAACCTGTAAGCAGTGAATCAGTGAGAGATCATCGATCAGTTATACATGCAAAAGCACCTCGGCTGTTCCAAAGAGGCAGACTTTGAGATTTCCATCGGCCATTAGTCTCAACCGATTGCATCCGCCGCAAAAGTGCTGTGTCATGGAGCTTATGAACGAGACAGAGCCTTGGTATTCCTCGATGTGGAAGTTCTTTGCAGTGTCGTTCGGATGATCACAGTGACGCTTGAGAGACGGGTAACGTTGGGCCTTCAAAGCGAGAGCTAGATTGAGAGTTTGATGGAAACTTTTTGGCTTACCAGCCTCGAATGCATCTCGGCGTAAGAGACTAGTTTCTTGGAGCTCCACACGTTTCCGTCGAACGGCATAAACTCGATAAACCGGACGTTGATCGGTTTGTGCCTTGTGAGCTCCGCAAAGTCGGCGAGTTCATCGTCGTTGACGCCTCGCATCACTACACAATTGACCTGCTTGAACTTCAATCCCAGGGGAGGAAACCAACGAAGTCACACATGTACCTTGACGGGATCATAGCCCAGCTCCACTGCCGCGTCGATGGAGTCAAGAACACGATCATGGCCCTTGCGCCGCGTGAGGAGCTCGAACTTTGCCGGGACCAGCGTGTCGAGACTGATGTTGAGCTGATTCAATCCTGCCTGCTTTAGCTGCGGCAGCTTGCGCTCCAGAACCAGGCCGTTGGTTGTCATGGCCAGAGTCTTGACACCGCTCAAGCCGCTCAAGCGATGGCATATGTCCGTCAAGTCCGCCCTCACGGTGGGCTCTCCTCCCGTGAGCCGTATCTTGTCCACGCCGCCGCCAACAAACACCTTGGCCAGAGCCACGATCTCGTCCTGCGACAGCAGGTGTGCGCCGGGCGTGAGCTTCACCCCTTCCTCGGGCATACAGTAGTGGCAGCGAAGGTTGCAGCGCTCCGTGAGAGAGATTCGCAGGTAATTGTGCCTCCTGCCGAAAGAGTCCACCAGCATATCCGACACACTCGGCCCCGCCTCGTCTTCTCGCTCCGCCGCCACACTGCTGCTGCTGCAGCTGCTACACGCGGCTTTCGTGGCCACGGATCTTCCGCCCCCGAGCCAGTGAAATCTGGAGGGGAATCTACTCACCGCATCGCGCAATCCAGAGACGAGGCTCCTGCAGGATCTTGTCATCATCGATTAAACCCTAAGGAGGAACGCGCCACATACATACGCCTCTATGTAATTTAAAATGGTAGGTCAAAGGGAAAAAGTAATCCTTTTTCACCTTCGCGTAATTTCTTGTAATTTCGCCTCTTCGTTTCCACAGAGCCGTGCCACCTTGGCTTGGGCGGCCCTTTGCAACAGCGTTACAGCACCAAGCTTTATATTAAGCCAAAATCCAAGCTATTATATGTATTTCAATTTGACCAAGCACCTAGAAACGCTTATAGCCCCTTGGAGATCATAGCGAGCCAGGGCGAGCTTGGCTGGCCTTGGCAACAGCAGTGGCGGCAGCACCACTTCCACGCCCAAAACTAAAGCCCCGAGTTCCGTCCGGCATTCGAGGGCCTGGCGGCGGCTTTGCTACCATCGTTTCGCCAATGGAAGGGCTGCAACTTATCTGTGGAGATGTCCCCAGCATGCCACCGTTGGCGTTGATCAATCCTCCTCCGCCTCTCCCTCGCCCTCGGCCCCCCCGTCCACGACCTCTTCCCCCGGCCTGCTGCTGAACTCCACGCTTTGCGCTGTCTTTCTCCGTGTCAGGAGCTCCCGTTGCCTAAGAACACGAAAGTCAGTGACGAGAGAAGGGATGAAAAATGCCAGTACCGTTGTTTCATCTGTCGATGGTGATGCTTCTGAGGCGCCCTCACCTTTACTTTCCAGATCCTCTTCGTCCGTCGAAGACTTTCGGCCCTTGGCTCCATGATTGTGCTTGCTGGCAGGATACTGAAAACACTCCAAGAGTTTTTCCTCAACTTCATCCACAGCAAAGTCCATACCATTCGTCTGAGCAGAAGACGTACGTGAAGACCGCTCCTCCAGTTTCGTTGGTCAGTCAGCTCCGCAACCTGAGCAAGCCGATAAGATAATCCAAGTAGAAAAAAAAACATTATCCGCATGACTTACAGCTTTCTCGGCTTGCTCAAGAGTCTCGTACTCTACCAGAGCATGCAGCTTATTACTAACAACTCTGTCGGTTTTAGAGTGCTTCGCCAATGCAGCATTATTGACACTGTTTGCAGATCCTGGTTCGCACACTCTTACCATTTTCACGCTGCCAGAACACAACATGTCCAACATGAACAAGAGCCCTCAAAATCAGCGAGTACATACCTTCCAATCGTTCCAAATAGCTTTTCTAGGCTTTGTATGGAGTGATCCTCCGGCAGGTTCTCAGCTACGACTGTTCGTCCCTTTATAACGTAAAACAGATCAGGTGGCTAGTTTCTAGCCAGTAGAAGGGCTTACCTGGATTTCGTCAAGGTCAATATCAGCAAGTGGCTCAGCCCGCCTCACTTTCTTCCCGTCTTCGCTGACTACCTGGAACATTTAAGAATTTCAGATACTTCTGGAATATTTGTGCGAACAACGTACAAGTTTGGAAGAGGATCTTAGAGCTGCAGCTAAAGCACCGTAATTCTTTGTAAGCTGCTTGATCTTTCTGAACGATCCGATGATCGGTATCGGAACTGTCCAAAACGAACGCTGTAAAAAGCTTGTTTCCACGAACAGAATAGGCGGGCCTTACCGAAACCTTCGGGATCCTTTTTGATGAACTTCATCAAGTAGTTATCTGTTGGAAGGTTGGCATCACTGAAATAAAACTCCACCTATCACAAATCGTCAGCAGGAGAGACTATGTAAAAAGACAACGAGACTTCACCTGCTGGACGACTTGAGCGCGAGTATCTTCACTGAGAGCAGACGACTTCTGAGAGGACGACGGCACCGAAGCATTCTGGTCATCCACGTCCACAACCGAGGGAGCTTCCGGCGGAGATGGCTGGACTGGCATTGGTGGAAACGAGAGAACACCTGGCTGACCAGGCTGCAAAGCCGCGGGAGGAGGCTGAGGAGACGTCGCCTTGGGAACAAAGACCGGTGCTCCAGCATTTAGTTTGCTCAGAGAAATCTGCCGAGTGAGTGTTTGGTTCTGCTGCTGCTGCTCGGGCACAACACCGGGATCACTCCCAGATCCGGTATCGACACTGGGTGTGTCCACGCCTTTTTGCGTTTCGGTGATGTCCGAATCCGATTTGGCAGTGCTCACTTCTGCCACTGCCTTTGCGAGCTCAGACTTTACGACCCAGACGCCAGCCCCGCGATTCACCACCTTGTTGTGCTTTGGAGCAGCAAAAGCTGTGGTGGCGGCGGCGGCGGCAGTCATGGCGTTGTCGCTTCTCGATGGCGATGATGACGATTCCGTTTGCTGCATCAAGGTTCCTCCTGATTCAGCCATGGATCGATCGGCGTCAGCGATGGAATGACCTAAACGGGGGAGCTACGATTCCAAAAACCCTAGTGAAAGAAGAAGAAATCTCTGTGCAACCATACCTCACCAGTGGCTGCCAGGCAATGAATTCAACTGTGCCCTCGCCGCGCCCGCCGCCGCGCCAATGGATCGATCCACGGAATGGAGGAAGGAGACCGCGAATGGCAGCGATCGATCGATGGACTGGCGGTGTGTGTGCGTGACACTCGCTCCGTCTGTGGCTATGGCGATGAAGCTCCGAGCGATGATGCCCTAGTGGCGGTGGCGGCAGAGAGAGGGGGAGGGTCGCGCCGCGCCTCCTTCCCCTTCTAGACACACTACATGTCCTCCATTTTATACTGGCACGTCAGCCGTACACGTGGTCGTGTTGTCCATTTCTATCTACCGTACGGACATTTTCATTTTTGCCTATAGTGTGCCCTAGATTTCGGGTTTTAGGGTTTTAGCGATGAGCAGCACGAGGAGAGCGGCAAATGCCGCATTCCAGGTCTGGCACCAGCGCTCCTTCTCTTCCGGTTGGATTTCGGCGCTGCTGTCGAGAGGGAATCCTCCTCCTCCTCCTCTGGCTGCTCCATTTTCTCCATGGATCCAGGCGCGCTACATGGCCGCTCTTGCTCGCCCCGCCCCCGTGGATCAGTCGTGGCGAGACACGATGAACAAGATCCGAAATATCGGAATCTCGGCCCACATAGACTCTGGCAAGACGACTCTTACGGAGCGCATCTTGTTCTACACCGGGCGGATCGATTCCATCCACGAGGTGCGTGGCAAGGATGGCGTCGGCGCCAAGATGGATTCCATGGACCTGGAGCGCGAGAAAGGGATCACCATCCAGTCCGCAGCTACGCACTGCGTTTGGGGTGACCACCAGGTGAGATGGACGTTTTTCATTCCCTTACAAAGTTTCAATTTTGTTTCTTTCTAGATCAACATCATCGATACTCCTGGGCACGTCGACTTTACGATCGAAGTGGAGCGAGCTTTGCGCGTGCTGGATGGCGCAATTCTTGTGCTGTGCAGCGTGAGTGGTGTGCAAAGCCAGTCCATTACTGTAGACCGGCAAATGAAGAGATACGATGTACCTCGTCTGGCGTTCATCAACAAGCTCGATCGCGCTGGTGCCGATCCATGGAGAGTTATCGAACAGGTGAAAACTCTACGTGCATCTAAACCCTGCATCCTTTCGTTCTTTATAATTGTTTATTTCTTTTGGCGAATTAGCTTAGGAGCAAGCTGCGCCATAACTGTGCCGCGGTGCAAATGCCGATTGGTCTTGAGGGCGAACATCGGGGTCTCGTTGATCTCATCCACGAAAGAGCGTTTTATTTTGAAGGAGCTCACGGGTTCGTGTGTTTATTACTTTAGATGAATTTCAACAAACATCTTCTTACAGGGAAAAACTTGTCCAAAAGGAAATCCCTACCGAGCTAATGAAAGAAGCAGCTGACAGGCGGCGAGCGCTTATTGAAATTGTGTCGGAAGTTGATGACGATCTTGCAGAAAGATTTGTCAACGACGAACCAATAACGCCAACTGAACTTGAAGTAAGATGTCTGCATTTTCTTTTTTTGTTATGAGCTCGGCAGGATTGCTTGGTTTACAGGCGGCAATTCGGCGAGCTACAATAGCGTTACGGTTCACTCCAGTTTTTATGGGTAGTGCCTTCAAGAACAAGGTGATGGTCATCATTCCTGGGTTCTGTAAATTAAAGTTTTGGTGCAGGGTGTCCAACTGCTTTTGAACGGAGTGTGCTCATTTCTGCCGTGTCCCACTGATGTCTCAAATTACGCCTTGGATCAAAATAAGAAGGAAGAAAAGGTCAGCCTGATGAACTTGTAACATCGAGTTTTGTTTGATGTTTTATTGTTTCTAGGTTGCGATAACTGGGTCTCCAACTGGTCCCTTCGTAGCTCTGGCCTTCAAACTTGAAGAAGGCCGGTTTGGACAGCTGACGTATTTGAGGTAATGGCTGTTCTTCATTTCAAGTTGATATCTAGCAATCTTCGTTTAGAATTTATGAAGGCACAATTAGGCGTGGGGAGAATCTACTCAATGTTGTTACTGGCAAGAAAGTTAAAGTCAGTAACATCGGTTGCCATTCTATCCTTTTGCTGAGCGTGACTCTGGCCATTGCAGGTTCCAAGACTGGTGAAAATGCACGCAGATGACATGGAGGTAACTTGTCTTTCGTATTTTATCTAGCTCAGTCTTGCTGGACAGGACATCCAATCGGCACATGCTGGAGAAATTGTTGCAATGTTTGGGATAGAGTGTTCGTCAGGTTCTACTTGATGCTTGCTTGTGTATCTTGAGGTTATTATCGTTGGGGTTTTCCAGGCGATACCTTCACTGACGGTTCAGTAAGGTATACAATGACGTCGATGACCGTTCCCGAACCGGTCATGTCTCTCGCGATCGCTGTTTCGTCAAAGGATGCATCAGCTCAGGTTCACAATGTCTTCTATTTAGTCTTCACACAAGCTGATTCTTTTGTATGGCAGTTTTCCAAGGCGCTGAACCGATTTCAGAAGGAAGATCCTACCTTCCGTGTTAAGCTAGATCCGGAAAGTGGACAGGTATGGATGTTGTATGCTTCAATAATATTTTTTCTGACCGTTTGTCTCGTTTCAGACCCTCATTTCGGGGATGGGGGAGCTGCATCTTGACATTTACGTGGAACGCATGAAGAGAGAATATAAGGTTGACAGGTGCACTTCTGTTTTGCTCTTCATGACGCTGAAGCTATCAGGTAGAAGCAACTGTTGGCAAGCCTCAAGTGAACTTCAGAGAGGCCATCAGCACCAGGGCGGATTTCAACTATTTACACAAGAAGCAAAGTGGTGGCCAGGGTCAATACGGTCGCGTGGAAGGGTGAGCTTCTCTTGCTTTTCTATAGTTACTATACTAATCTTGCTGGATAAATAAACAGCTACATTGAACCGCTTCCAGAGGATTCCGAAGTCAAGTTTGAGTTTAAAAATATGCTTGTCGGTCAAGCAATTCCAAACAGCTACATTCCTTCAATCGAAAAGGGATTCATCGAGGCTTGCAACTCGTAAGCTAGTGTTTGTACTCGTGCTGACAAAACGGCTTGCTTCCTTTTGCCAGGGGCTCATTGATTGGCCACCCCGTTGAAGGAATTCGTATTGTCCTGACCGACGGTGCTGCTCATGCGGTAGATTCCAGTGAGCTTGCTTTCAAGCTGGCTGCTCTGTACGCATTTAGACAGGTAAAACACATCGCTTATTGTTATAAACTTTTGATAGAACACATACCTCTCTGCTGTCTAGTGTTATCCTGCTGCCGATCCTGTCATTCTAGAACCAGTCATGCTTGTCGAGATCAAAGCCCCCACGGAGTTCCAGGGACCTGTGGTTGGCGACATCAACAGGTATGGCATTAGCGTTAGTTCTTCTCTTGCTCTAACACCACGGCGGCGACAGGCGCAAGGGCATGATCGTCAACAGCGAGCAAGAGGGCGACGATGCGGTTATCACGTGTCACGTAAGTCTTTCGTGCCAGAGTTGTATCAACTAACCTTTTGTTCTGGATTTCCAGATTCCTCTCAACAACATGTTTGGATACTCGACGTCGCTGCGATCAATGACTCAGGTTTGTCAATCTCAGAGTTTGTGTAGGTGTCCACATTAAAAATGTGCCGCGGTAAGCAGGGTAAAGGAGAGTTCACAATGGAGTACTACAAGCACTTGGGTGTGTCGGCCGAGGTCCAAAGGCAGCTAGAGACGAGCCACAAGAAGGGCAGCGATGACAAGAAATAAAAAATACTAGGAATCATTTGATCGATTCGATCACGAGCACACAACACTAATTTAAACGATGAATTCCCCGCCATTTTGGTTTAGGGTTCTTGCGATGGAGGAGGCTGGATCGCCCGAGTCGAGCAAGAAGCGGCAGCGGGAGGCGAGCGCCGAGATGGAAGCCAGCATCCAGCAGATCCAGCACAAGATCGAGCAGTTCACGCAGCAGGTACTTGGCGATAAATTTCCCCTCCGCGAGCTTGCTCGATCGAGATTACATAGGTGTCTGGCCTCTTGGAGGCCGGGAAATCCTTCTTCACCGAAGTAGCCAGCGCGTTCGAGGAGAGCGTCGTCCAGTATCCTTGATCTCCTATCGATCGCTTGCGTTTTCTTCCCTTGATCTCTCGCGCAGATTGCACCAGAAGCAAGTGGAGAAATGGGAGGAGGAGATTGGGATGCTGCGCGCCGTGGATGCCGTCAACGAGGAGATGAGCGCCAGGCTGAGCAACGCGCAATCGCTCATCAGCAGCACCGTCACAGCTGTGGATCACGAGTAGAAATTTAAAATGGAGCTAGATTTTGCTCAAGAACCCTAAAATGGCAGGGAAATCTCTCTCTTCCAGGGTTCTAGGCCAGGGTTCAAGATGGAGCGATGCAGGTAGCGCGGCCAGGCGCCGCCGCAGCATCATCACTGCGACGAGCAGCAATCCAGCGCCTTGGCGTGGAGGATTTAACGGCGGCAGTGTCGCGGATCATCGCGGATCAAGGCCACTGCGCGCCCAGTACCTACGGCTGCCTCCTCCAGGCATGCGGTCGGCTGCGCGCCCTCAAGCAGGGCCAGCGCCTCCACGCTCACATCCTCTCGCGGCGCATCGACCTCCACAACCACAGCTTCCTCGCCAGCGATCTCATCGTCATGCACGCCAAATGTGGCAACCTCGCGGAGGCAGAGGCCCTGGCGGATCGATTCGCGAGCGTCTACTCGTGCACGGCCATGATTCGGGCGTGGATGGAGCACGGCCGCCCCGACAAGGCCATGGAGCTCTTCGATCGGATGGAAGTGAGGCCCAATTGCCACGCACTCATCGCGCTCGTCAACGCGTGTTCTTGCCTGGGCAATCTGGCAGCGGGGCGGAGAATCCATTCGCAGATCAGCGACCGCGACTTCGAGGAGAACTCCGTGCTGGGCAATGCGCTCATCAGCATGTATAGCAAGTGTGGGAGCCTCATCGACGCGAAGCAGGCCTTCGATCGGTTGCCAAGAGCTTCCAAGCGCGACGTCGTGACTTGGAATGCCATGATCTCGGCGTTCCTCCGCAATGGGTCCGCGCGAGAGGCGCTCCAGCTCTTCCGGGACATGGACCACGACGGAGCTCCGCCACCCAACAGCGTCACCTTTGTCAGCGTCCTGGATTCGTGCGTGGAGGCGGGGCTCTTGTCGCTCGAGGACGTGAGGGCGATCCACGGCAGGATCGTGGGCGCTGGGATCGAGAGGGAGGCCTTCGTTCGCACGGCGCTGGTGGACAGCTATGGGAAACTTGGCAGCCTCGACGACGCGTGGGAGGTGTTCCTCCGGAAGAGCGACGAGGAGCCCAGCACCAGTCTGGTGACATGCTCGGCCATGATCTCGGCGTGCTGGCAGAATGGATGGCCCCAGGAGTCACTCCGGCTCTTCTACGCGATGAACTTGGAAGGAACAAAGCCCAGTGGAGTGACGCTCGTCTCGGTGCTCAATGCCTGCTCCATGCTGCCGGTTGGGTCGGCCACCGCATTCGTACTCGAGCAGGCCATGGAGGTCGTCTCAGCCACCAGGGACAACGTTCTCGGCACGACGCTGCTCACCACTTACGCTCGATCCAACGACTTGTCGCGAGCTAGAGCCACGTTTGATGCCATCCAGAGTCCCGACGTCGTGTCGTGGAACGCCATGGCTGCGGCCTATCTCCAGCACCACCGTCCCCGAGAGGCGCTCGTTCTGTTCGAGCGAATGCTGCTGGAAGGCGTGAGACCAAGTGTTGCAACCTTCATCACTGCTCTCACTGCCTGTGCTGCCTATCCTCCTCAAACTGCTAGCGCAATTGGGAAGAGGATTCAGTCGCTGCTGGAGGAGGCCGGGCTGGAGGGAGACACTGCAGTCGCCAACGCCACCCTCAACATGTACGCCAAGTGTGGAAGCTTGGCTGATGCTCGGGCCGTGTTTGAAAGGATATCTCCCACTCGCCGGGACTGTATCACCTGGAACTCGATGCTGGCGGCCTACGGACACCACGGGCTTGGAAAGGAGGCGTTTGAGCTCTTCCAGGCGATGGAGGCCGAGAAGCTGGTGAAACCAAACAAGGTGACTTTCGTTGCGGTTTTGGACGCGAGTACTAGCCGAACGAGCATTGCCCAAGGCCGGGAGATCCACGCCCGTGTCGTGAGCAACGGGTTTGAGTCGGACACCGTGATCCAAAACGCGCTGCTCAACATGTATGCCAAGTGCGGAAGCTTGGACGACGCACAAGCCATCTTCGACAAGTCGAGTAGCAACCAAGAGGACGTGATCGCTTGGACGAGCCTGGTCGCCGGGTACGCGCAGTATGGCCAGGCGGAGAGGGCTCTCAAGCTGTTTTGGACGATGCAGCAGCAGGGCGTGAGGCCCAACCACATAACTTTCATCAGTGCTCTCACAGCTTGCAACCATGGTGGGAAACTCGAGCAAGGATGCGAGCTCCTGTCCGGCATGACACCCGACCACGGCATCGTTCCCGCCTCCAAGCACTTCAGCTGCATCGTCGATCTGCTGGGACGGTGTGGGCGACTGGACGAGGCTGAGAAGCTGCTGGAAAGGACGTCCCAAGCCGACGTGATCACCTGGATGGCTCTTCTCGACGCTTGCAAGAACAGCAAGGAGCTGGAGAGAGGAGAGCGCTGCGCGGAGCGGATAATGCAGCTCGACCCCGAGGTGGCGTCGAGTTACATCGTTCTGGCGAGCATGTATGCTGCTGCTGGTCGATGGAATGAGGCCGCCACTATCCGCAAGACAATGCTGGACAAAGGAATACGAGCAGACCCCGGCTGCAGTGCTGTGGAGGTGAACCAGGAGCTGCATTCTTTCTCGGCCGGAGATAAGTCCCATCCCAAGTCGGAGGAGATCTACTTGGAACTGGAGCGGCTTCACTGGAGTATCAAGGCTGCTGGCTACGTCGCTGACACAGGGCTGGTGCTGCACGATGTGAGCCAGGAGCACAAGGAGAGGCTGCTCATGAGGCACAGTGAGAAGCTGGCGATTGCATTTGGACTGATGAGCACCCCCAGTGGATCACCCCTCAGAGTGATCAAGAACCTCCGAGTCTGCAGCGACTGCCATACAGCAACCAAGTTGATATCCAAGGTGACTGGACGTGACATCCTGATGAGAGACTCGAGTCGCTACCACCACTTCACCAGCGGAACCTGCTCGTGTGGTGATTACTGGTGACGAAACAGACACAGATTGGGCCGACTAGCGCTACTTATGGCTGATAGGAGATGGAATACGAGCCTGTTTCCGGGTCCTTAACGCTCTTGAAATTGTCAACGCTCATACCAAATCGACCCAGGACAGAGTTTCCAAGCTCCTTGAGCTTCCCTGCAGTCCAGGTTATTAGTGTCCATTCTCATCAGCCAAAAAGCTTACCCAGCATCTCTTCTTTCATCTTTTCGCGTCGCTCGGCTACAACTGGTTCTAATCGTCTCACCGCCTTGGCTGCTTCTTTATTTGCCGGATCAAGCTCCAGCACCTTCTTCATATCTGTAAAGATCAAGCAAGAGGTTGTCCGCCAAGGAAGAAAGCTTAGCTTAGCCTACCGGCAAGGGAGTCTTCTAGCTTGTCCACTTTTTCGTGAGCTTGCGCTCTCCTTAAGAATGCCTTGATGTAAGCCGGATTCAATTCGATGGCTTTGGAACTCTCGTGAACTGCTTCTTCGTACTCATCCTGCCAGCAAAAGAAAAGCAAAGTGATGAGAATCAAAAAGAGCAACACCCAAGCTCCCTCACAATCTGTAGATAACACATTGCCCGGTTACACAGACACATTGAGCAGATTTCCTTTGCATTTGTGTTGTTGTTGTCAGCCAAGAGCTCCAAAGCACCTTGGTAGGCCGCGAGCGCGTCTCGATACATCCCTTGCGCGTACGCCGCATTCCCCTCGGCCTTGGCACGCTCTGCCAGGGAAACATCCCTCTGGAAACAAGGGGCCAGTCGGGAATCGGGATCAATCAATCAATCAATCAATCGACCTGGAATCTCTCTCACCTCGCGCTGCTGATCCTCCGTCAGTGCGTCCTCGAACCGATCCTCGCCATCGCTAGCCGTCTCCCACCCCTCGGCGGCGACGCCGGGCGCCCTCTTCGTCTCCTCCTCCTCCTCCTCTTCTTGGATTCTCACCATTGTTGGAATAAAAGAGCCCTAGAGATGCGATTTTAACATCATTTGGAAATTGGACATAAACTATATGATGTGGCAAAATGATGATTAGGTCTATCGAAGGAAAGTATTTAAGTGGGAGGGGCGGTATATGCTCGGCACGGGTATAATGTTTGTGAGAGCTAAGCTAGGGATGGTTCGTTAAGCGCGAACGAGGGCAAGGGTTTTTGTGCTCGGGAGAGGGGGCGCGCGGCAAAGCGGAGCGCGGACAAGAGGAGCTATCGCCGTGGCTGCGCGAACCATGTAAGTTCCTCGATCGTCTCTCCGATTTGTCTCCCGGAAATTAGGGTTTAAGGGAATGTAGGCGTCCCTTCTTTCCTCTGGCTCCTCCTTCCCAGCTCGCTCTCTCGCTGCATGTAGTTTCCATCCAAAGGGGATGAGCTAGCGACGCGCGAGCGCATCAAAATGTAGCTGTGTAGCTCGCGCATACAGAGGGTTTATACTCGTGCTCGTCTTTTTTGCCATTCAAGGTTTTGGGCGACGGTGAGGAGCTTCGTCGAGGCTTATGGGGTCGGGAAACACGTTCCACAGCGGTGCTACGTCGGCTGCTCCATCCATTTCCATGGCGTTTTCTGAGAGCGGGGGCTGGTCTTGGTTCCGTGGGGGGCCTGCTAAGGGAGACGAGTTGCCACCGGAGGATCACTGGTCCGAGGACAAGGAGAAGAGCGCGAGCTGGGCGGTAAGCGATGACGTGCCCGAGCACCGGAGCGTGCCATCCGGTCTTGCTTCCCCACAGATGACACAGGAAGCCGCCGCTGCCGTTGCTGCCGCCGCCACCGTCGACAAGGCAGGTGACAACATTGGCGTGAACATTTTCTCGAGTTCATTGCCTGACTTGTTCCGAAACAAACGTAAGCTTTCGTAAGCCTCCCTCGCTCATTCTCTGCTTACCATTGTTTGCCTGTGTTTGCAGTAGGACTGCTCGATGTTCAACAGCCGCCCTCATCGGAGGCCGACGAGGAACCTGAAGACAATGAGATTCCTCTGGAAGAACTGGAGCTGCATGCTATCGGCAGTCTGCTTCCTGACGACGATGAGTTGTTGGCCGGTGCTCTCACTGATATGCCACCGGGGTCGTCCAGCACCCAGGATTCAGAGGATCTCGACTTTTTCAGCAACGGAGGGGGCCTTGAACTCGACGGTGATGGCTTTTCTGCCGAAGAACCGACTTCGCGCACGATTTTTGTACGGAATATAGATAGTAAAGTTTCGGATGACGAGCTTAGAGCTGTTTTTGAGGTGAGTATCGGAATTATCGCCGCCTGCGGGCTTACTGACCTTGAATGCTTCCTCGTGTGCGCAGCGTTTTGGTGACATTCGTACGCTGTACACTGGATGTAAACCCGAAGGTTTGATTTTAGTCTCCTACTACGATTTGCGGGGTGCCAAGCGCGCGATACGTGCGCTCCAGAGCCGGGTGCTGTGGGGCCAAAAGTTGGAGATGCACTTCTTATTTCCAAAGGTGCGTTACCTTACCATCTTTGTTTTCGCTGTATACTGAGACTGGACAATTTGCAGGATAGTCACCCATACGACACAAGCCTTGGCATGGTTGCGGTTTTCAATGTCGATCCCGCCGTGTCAAACGACGATCTCAAAGAACTTTTCGGAGTGTATGGGGACATCAAGGAGGTAAACCATCTATACTGCTAAGCATGGCGTTTGTAAGCTGGCCGTTTTTGTTTTGTAAGCAGGTCCACGAGACACCGCTTAAACATCGACACAGGTTCATCGAGTTCTATGATTCACGAGCTGCATGCGCTGCGCTTCGGGTTCTGAATAAGCGTGATCTACTCGCCAGGCGAACTCGACTGGACCCGAGGTATGAAGTGCTGGTCAAGTTATCCGCTGCTAGTAAAGCTCACCTTCCCCACCTTCAGCTCAATATTGCAGTTCAACGATGACGTTGATAACGATGATCCTCTCGTGCAGTCTCAGCATCTGTTCAACGCGACAGGTTGGACAAATCTTTTTTTCCTTTGCTCTTAGCATTTACTTTCCTTCATTTGCAGGCTATAGTGAAAGCGAGGCTTTGAGGGAGCTTCACCAGCAAGCGAAGTTTGCGTCGTTTAGCCACCCTTGGAACTCCCTGGCGGGTGGTTTATCTTCACCATCCTCCGTCATGGGAAAAGCTGGTGATGTTGGGCTGGGCTATCACTCGTATCCGGATTTTGACTACGGCCTTATGAACCATATTCGGCAGAGCTCGGCCATGTCAGCTTTACGTGCACGTGAAGGACTGGAAGAGATGCCTCTTCATAGGAGTCCTGGTTACGAGCATAGAGGTAGCGCCTTTCTTTCCTCACCTCTTGTGGATCTCAATTCTGTGTTGTTTCTCAGGCCTGGCAGTAAATCCTCGACCAGGATTGGTGACAACGCCAAGCTCGCCTTTCCTGTGGGGCAATGCTCCGCAGAGCTCTCCGTTGCTGTGGCCACCATCAGCTCATTTGTATGGTCATCCAAAGGTTCATGGTTGCAGCCTGCAGAGCCACTTACTCAATCCGGTTCTGGCTTACCCTCAAGTAGGATGCCTACCTTACGGTGAGAAGTTACGAGACAGAAGGCGCGGGTATTTAAGGCAATCGGCGCCTGGAGGATACCTTGGGCTTACAGGGTCACTGAGGCTGGGGTCAAGAAGTCATCCTGATCGCAAGAGTGATTTGTCGAAGGGCGCTCTTTCCAGCGGCGTGGGCCGATTCAACAGCCGGCACAGAAGCCGCAGAGGCGACAGTAACGCAGCGGACAAAGAACAGTTTCACCTGGACCTGGATCGTATAGTCAGCGGAGAGGACAAGCGTACGACGCTCATGCTTAAAAATATTCCGAACAAGTGAGTACGCTCGAGAGTCACGAGTGGTTTGTGTTCTGAGGCTCGTGTTTGCAGATACACGTCGAAGATGCTCTTGGCAGTGATCGATGAGGCAAACCAGGGCACTTACGATTTTATCTACTTACCAATCGACTTCAAGGTGTGTGATTTGTCATATGATATTCTGGACTAACCTTGCGCTGCAACGCAGAACAAGTGCAATGTGGGGTACGCTTTTGTGAATATGATAGAGCCTTCCTACATTGTCTCGTTTTATAAGGTAAGCAACACAGCAGGCTTGGATCGCGACGCTTACCGTTGTCTGTTATCCAGGCTTTTAATGGCAAGAAATGGGAAAAGTTTAATAGTGAGAAGGTTGCATCGGTAGCTTATGCTCGAATTCAAGGCAAAGCCGCTCTCGTGGCTCATTTCCAGAACTCGAGCTTGATGAACGAATGTCGTCCTATAGTGTTCGGCGAAGAAGGGAACACTCCGGACGATCCAGGCAAAGAAATCGGTTTGTAACTCGAGTTTTCTCTGTTGTATTGTTCCTAATGGTTACGACTGTTACAGGGATTGTAATGGGTTCCGAGGAAGCGACGAAACTGTAAAACACGTGAGGGTAACACAGAGAGGCAAGGAAGATGATGAGCACCTCTTCAAGCGAAGGTTTTGATGTAGATTCCTTAGGACTGGCTCATCCATCTATCGTTGAGGTTGTTTTTTTTTCCTTTCGTTTTCCTTTTTTATCTTTTTCTACGTTCTTCCTTTTGCTTGTAAAAAATAATGAGCTAGTCATGGAAGAAGATCCGGCAGCCGCGGTAGCAGCAGCAGATTTTATGTAAAAAGTTCAGAAGAAGAAAGTTTGGTGTTCGGCAATCAGTGGCAGTGTTGATCTCCGTTAGTTGGTTGGATTGGAGAGAAGGGAGAGTTTTTCAGGCCTTTGGTGGTGGCTCTACCTTTGTAGCTCCATCAGATTTTGTAGTAATGGTTTCTTTCGTTTTTTCCAGTCTAAGATGAATGAGATCCATTATCTTGGATGGTGACTTTCCATGTGGGAATGACAGGAGCACATTTTCTTGGCGCTGCTGTTTTGAATGGAGACGTCCCTTTTTCTCAGCTCTTGCAGCTCGGCTCTGCGGCCTACCTAAAGCTGACACGCCGAAGTTGAAGTCTTGGTGGCTTTCCACTTTTGCCAAAAGAGATTTCGGAGCGCATCGTCTTTGTATGTATCTCTTACGCAAGTTTTGTTTGGACACAACAAACACTCCAGCGGCTATAATACAAATCCTGCATCGCAACCTTGTGACAGTCTCGCGTGGAGAGATGTGTGATGCATGACCTCTAGCACTAGCTAGCAAAGTTAATGAACGGAAAGCTAGCAGCCATCGTAGCTTGATTGCACCTGACCGAGCTTGGGCTTGCCCTGCTGCAAGCAAGTCACCTGTGGGACTGTGGGTGAGAAAATCTCGCCGTAAGAATTCCAGCAAAAGGCTGGAATGTCGTCGTAGCCCCTGGCGGAGAGGAGCTCGACGTTGGCCACCACGATGCCGACGCAGGGGACGCTGTCGCTGCATGCAAAGTGGATGTTGCTCTTCTGCGTGTAGGTGCCCCGGATGTTCTTGTAGGAAACGTCCGAGATGGAGACCCCGGATGTCTGGTTGTGGCAGCTCCGGCCGTCGCAGTAGAACTGGTCGATGACGATCGGATTGCTCACGTTGAGCACGGCGATGTTGTGGAAATGGACGCTGCTCACGGAGCCAGACCCGCCCTGGTTGCACGAGCATTTGTGTATGACAAGGAACCGAAACAAGAAACGAGAGAACCTGCCAGGTCTTGATGCGGACTCCGTTCTGGGAGGTGTGAACTACAACGTCGTGGACGGAGACGTCGGATACACAGGCCTTGGTTCCTCCTCGTCCCAGCCCACCAATGCTGGACAAGAGAGCGCGAGTGTGTGAGAAAAACTTGTGTGTCTACAAGGTACCTTATGCCGTGGCCCGGACCACACATCATGTCGAATATCTCAATGTTGGAGCAGCCAGTTTGGATGGAAACGCAGTCGTCTCCTGCACAACACAATCTCGAGCTGTCAAAAACTTAAACTCTTTCTCCTCGACCGTTTGCTTACCAGTTGACACCCGGGAGCTCCGCACGGCCGCGTATCGTGTGTCCTGCAGGTGAATCCCATCGGTGTTGGGGCTGGTGTAGGGAGAAGAGATGGTCACATTGTTGACGACGACACCTTGGCAGCTGTCGAACTTGAGATGCGTTTGGGGGCTGTTGACAATGGCCAAGTGCTGCACAACCACGTTGCTGCTGCCAAAGAAGCGTACAGCCTGCGCAAGGGCAGGGGACTCACATTATCACGCAGTCCGAGCGTAAGATCTGAAAGAATATGTATGTAGTTGTTGGAACTAACTTACAGTTGGGATATCACAGGATTTGGATGTCTTGTGACCCTGCGAAATCAAGTTGCAAGTTCCATTTGCCAGGCGTCAGAGAACTTATTTCTAGTCCCTTACCTTTGCCTTGCAAGAAGAATTCCACCACGCAGGGCCATTTCCATTTATCGCGCCAGTGCAGCTCCCCTGGAGGAGTAATCCGTGAACTCTCGCAAACTCGATCCATTGGAGCAAGCTCGTTCCGTTCCAGGCCTTGGCGCTAGTTGGAGCGACGATGGTGCCATCCACCTGAGAGAGGGAGAGAGAGAGAGAGAGAGAGAGAGAGAGAGCCTTGTAAGAGACAACACTCTGATTGTAGGGATTTCAAAACAAACAGACCTGAAAGACGAGATTGTTTTGGCATGGCCCCGAGAAGACAAGCGGCTTCACCAAGAACACAAAATTCGCAGGAACTTCAACCATGGAGGATTCCACCTTGCATGCTTGGTTCCAAGCTGCTAGGAACGCCTGAGGCCAGACAATGTGAGGAAACCGAGAAAGAAGACGAAGAAAAGCCTGCCGCTTACGTGCGTATCATCGGTGACTCCATCTCCTTTAGCTCCAAAAGAGAGGACGTCGTAGATGTTGGTGCTGTAGTAGCCATATCCTCCATTGCTTGGCTCAGGTGCTGCTGCTGGACCTCCTCCATCTCCTCCGCTTTTGTGCCCGATTGTTGAGCTCGATCCTCCTCCTCCTCCTCCTCCAGCATACTTGGAGCGACCACTTGATCTTGCATCGACCACAAGGAACGCCACCACTAGTGTGACAAGCCTCCGAAGGGCCATTGTCATTCCTTCTCTCTCTCCCTGTCTGAGAAGGAAAGACAAGCGTATCAGAGAGCTCTGTATTTATACTTACACATCCGCTGGAACACAGGCCCGTGACAAGCTGCAGCGCTGTTCACTGTTCCAGTATTTAACGTCGAAACTTGCGGAAGAGAGAAAAAGTATTCTTTTTCTTCTTTCTTTTCTGTGTTTTACTTCCCCAGAGTACCGTCACATGATACCACAGTATTCCCTTTCACAAGCAATTCACCTTTGCTCTTCAGTACAACAGTCTGCTTCTCGTCTGTTAGATGTAAGGACCAAGGTTACCATCCCAAAATTTCCCTAGCGAGAAAAATCACCGTTGTCCAAGAGAATGTAAGCTCTACAGTCACGACAATCAATTTCGACCCCAAAACCGTCCTCCAATTTTCATGCTGAGTAGTAAACTCGAGGTTTAGTGCCACCGTGATTTGCTTTCCATAAATCTCGAGCACGGTGTCACACTCCAATCCCAGGTCAAATTGACTTTGATGGAAACTCTCTGCAAATCCAGTGCTACAATGATTCTTTTGCCAGAGAGGGGCCCTGCCCAGACCTGTTTCAAGGATTTAAATCAGCTCAACACTCGAAGGAGTTTTCCCAGCAAACTCAGATGTTTAAATGGGAACGATAATCCGTTGCCAACCTGAAGCATATCAGGATCCAGAGACCAGCTCTAAAATGTCAATACAAGAGGCATTCTGCCAGTATGGAGGATTTCTTTCTTATCTTCCATCTGTGTAAAGAGAGACAGAGGTTGTTCACCGTTGGCATCGGCCAAAAGCTTAATTCCCAGAAGAGGAAAAGCTTCAAATACCCTTCCCATCTGTCCTCAGGAGTTGGTATATTTTTCCTGCCCACAATGCGCAGGGCATTCCCTGCTTTCAGATACAACCACTAAAATGTACTCACCATTTGCAACCGGTGGTTCTCCCTCTTTTATTGGGACATTCTAGCTACAAGCAACCGCGGAACACGGGGGGTCAAGCACACCTGAGTGAAGGACCTCAGGGTTAGATAGACACTTGAAAGGACACTTGAACGTAATTTTGGGCTCCTGTGTACTAGCTTGCATTCTCTTGGCTTCTACTATCACCTGCTGACAAAGAGCAAGATCACTCACTCACATCGAAGTTTTGACCTTCAGTGACGCTACTCTGGTCTTTACGGAGTCCGCTTCTTCCTTTGCCACTTTGCGTTGTCTTCTCACCTGCATTCATCACTCGACACAAGTCATTTGTCGTTGAAACAATCTTGTCCGGAGATTCCCATCTGCATTCGCGGTACCCTAGTATTCTTTTATGGCGGATGGAGAAGCGAGAGCAAGGTTCTCGGGAGCTGTGGAAACCATTGGAAGTATGAGAGGGTGGTCCACTCGTTGAGCACATCCCAGTACTCGTGCCATTGCACGAGGTTTGATGCTCACAAAAGCTCTGCTCTAGCTTTCTCTATGTTGCTCCTTGGCTAGATTCATCTCGTTGCTCGGTGATGTTGTTAGGGTTTGGGTTCCAATTCTGACTGACAAGGCTCCGACCTGACTGGGTCGTATAATCTCTATCTTGGTGCTGCTTTTGATGGTTGTCGAAGTCCTTATGGTCCTCTCCTGCAGCAAGGCGGTCTGCTCGGCCGATCGTTCTATGTCCAATACATGTTTTGTCAAAATCCAAGAAAGAAGAATGAGCGCACACTAGGAAGAGTTTAGACAGAGATCAAGTAGATATAAAGATTATGGATGATCTGATTGCAAGCGTACAAAGGCAAATCGAAGCAGTAAAGATTCACGGAGTGAATTGGCCACAATTTGCGCTATTACGTTGAAGAAGTCTGCAGCTATAAGTCTCTACTGAAAGCTACAAAACACAAATTATGCACGGTTGATTCACATGCATGAATATCATTACAAGGCTGATAAACAGTGCTTCCTAAGATTGAGGTCAAGTTGCAAGGCAAGATCATGGAGTTTTTAAAAGTCGAATGGCAGTAGCTGCTGAGATAAGGCGCAATTTGGCTACTTTGGAGGAGTGCCAATCAGACTCATGTACCTCAGATCAGCCACAATTATGATGCTGGACATGCAAATTGAGCAGCTTAAATCTCAGCTTGAGGTTGCCTAAAGGATTCAGATCTCAGAAGCAATATGATGTGCTGGACTGCCAACATGGTCGAATGCGTGCTCAATTGAAGATTCAGCCCAAGATGCTAGCTTCTCTCTAGACAGTGCTGCTATACAACAAGTCTGGTAACCCCATCAGCATCACACCGCATATGCTAGAAGACGACATGATCAAGAAGGGTACCATTCTGATTCGAGAATGCCCTCTATGAACAATATTGCAGTGGCCAGCTGTACGTGCACATCCCATTTCGGCATGCGAGCTGGTTGCAGGCCACCTTGAGCAATTGAATGGCTCACAGGACTCGTCTTAGCACACTACAGGTGTTATCACGACAGCTTCAGGTATGTACTTCGTTTTTACTAACTCTAGTAGCATGAAAGCTCTTCACATGGTAGATTGCACTTAGATTTACAAGCTTCAAACCTATGTGAGGAAGCCAGTCATCTATTTTTTCTCATAGGGACTCAGTGAAGACACCCCAGGGAATATCTAAGAGTTTGCTCTAAAATAGAACCGCTGCCCACAGTGAGGACAGGGTATGCTCATAGTGGCTCGTTCTCTTGCTTCTCGTCGCATCCGAAGTCGCTCGTTCACACGATCAAGGGCGCTTCGCCGAGGACCTCTTCATCGAGGCATCCTTTTTCCTTTATTCTCTTCTTCACTTCCTCACA